AGTTACCATGCGATGCGCCTTGCAACACAGAGGAGGGGCCTGCACTGATCGATCCATCTCACAGCCAGCCAGTCACATGAAAGTCGAATCAGCACGACCCCACCTCTCAGTGCAGACCATGTAGAGACCCTCCCTGCCAGCGCGTCATGCAGCACAGGCAGATGCCACGAAGGGGCGGACTAGTGAACAGAGCTGTCATGGCCTGTGTGACAGAGCGCCGGGCCATAATGTTCTACGCAGTTTTACTGATCGGCCTTGCGCTTCAGCTGGCGACAGAGGAGTGCACACCTGTTTCTTCCGGTGGCCCCAACACTTGCAAGGCCTGTGACGCTGTCATCAACGGCAAGAAGTACTGCTCGCAGTGCAATGATACTGGGAATTCTGATTCCAGTGGCGCCCCGACAGACGGAGTGTGCTCAGCAGACAATAACGAGTGCAGCCAAAAACAAGATGGGAAGTGTACACAGTGCGCTAATAAATCCTTCATGTACAAGGGCGGATGCTACAAGGATAGCCAGGCACCTGGCAACACGATGTGTGAAACAGCAACTGATGGAGTGTGCACGCAGGCTAAGGCTGGGTACTTCCTACCACCCGATGCTGATAGAGATAATGCACACCAATCGGTCATACCATGTGGAGATGACACAGTAGTAACGCTTGGAAATAGCAAACAGTACAAGGGCGTACCGCACTGCACTCAGTGTGAGAAGCCCACAGAGGCAAGTGATACTACTACTGCCAAGGCTGCGACGTGCACGGCTTGTGAGGACGGGTTCTTTGGGGCTACTTGTGAAGCATGCCAAGACGAGAATTGCGCTACGTGTGCCATGACAGGCAATAACAAGTGCAGTAAGTGTAAAGGAACTGGTACTAAGACATATCTGAAAGTGGACGGTGGCAGCACAGGCACGTGCGTCGAAGCATCTGGATGTACAGCTGCTACGTTTCCAAAGGTCGATGAACAACAGGGAAACAAGTGCGCTGCATGTAATAGTGTGCCAGATGGTGGAATCGCTAATTGTGCGACGTGCAGTCTGCTCACTCAAGGATCTAGAGCCGCCCCTTTGGTCACATGCTTGACGTGTGAACAAAATAAGTATCTCACTCCAGAAAAGAATGCGTGCTTAGATACCTGCCCTGCTGGAATGTATGCCGTTAGTGGCGATAGCGGCAATGTTTGTACCCCCTGCCACGAGTCGTGCGCAAGCTGTAGCAATGACGCAGCAACGTCGTGCACGGCCTGCTATCCGGGGCATGTGCTGAGTCGGTCGTCTGGTGACGCAGGAACGTGCATAAAAGAGTGCACGGGAGACTTTATGGCCCACTGCAAGGCCGACGGCTGCTCACTGAACGTCGGAGGCTCGAAGTACTGCGATCAGTGCGAGGAGGGGTACGCCCCAGTCGACGGCGTCTGCACATCCATACCTGCAACAGCGAGAGATGCCTCCGGATGTAAGGCAAGTGGCGGGAAATGCACTGAGTGTGGGGCAAACTACGCTCTGTTATCGGGCGGATGCTACAACACACAGAAGCTTCCTGGTAGCTCTGTGTGTACGGCTGCACAGAATAAGGGACAATGCCAAACGTGTGCCAATGGACAAAGCCCAGCTGGAGGAAAATGTCCGGCGTGTACTGAAGGATGTGTGAAGTGTGCGGGTAGTAAGGAAACCTGCACAGATTGCTTAGCAGGGTATTACAAAGGTGCCGGTGATAAATGCTTCAAATGCACGGATAGTGATAAGGCTAGCTCTAATGCAATAACTGGTGTAGAAAACTGCATAAGCTGTGCCCCGCCAGCTGGTGGCAATGGCCCTGTCACCTGTTACGTAACGCAACAAAAGGCTGACGATGGCACCGGCGGAGATACTGGAGGAGACAGCACGAACAAGAGCGGCCTCTCCACGGGCGCCATCGCGGGGATCTCCGTCGCTGTGGTCGCTGTCGTGGGGGGCCTCGTGGGCTTCCTCTGCTGGTGGTTCCTCTGCCGGGGGAAGGCGTGACTTAGGTAGTGAATGCTGTACAGTGATAGTGATAGTGCTATGTGGTGTGACATGCTCTGTGGGTGACTGCAAGAGCTGTGTGATGGATGATGTGTGTGGGGAGTGCAGCGATGGGTTCAGCATAGAGGGTGGCAGGTGTGTGTCTTCTGGCACCAACAGGAGCGGGCTCAGCGCGGATGCCATCGCGGGGATCTCTGTGGCTGTCGTCGTCGTCGTCGGAGGGCTTGTCGGCTTCCTCTGCTGGTGGTTCGTGTGCAGAGGAAAAGCGTAGATGTACTTAGGTAGTAAATACGTCACTGTATAAGCCTATCACTCCTGTTTCCAGGGCCTCGCCTGTAGGTGCATTCAAGGATCTCACGGGCAATTCTTATTCAATTTCTGGCCGTCCGGAGATGAGGGTTGGTTTTGGATAACATAACGAGAGAGTCCTCTCCAGTGATATATCCAGAGCCTAGCGCCTTCCCCGGTCGCTCCGCAGGGGTGTGCTCAGACCGAATGCGTACTTCGGTCCTTTCGGGGTTCAGGCCTTCTTACGGACTCTCTGGTCCACCAATGGCGCCTCTTCTTGGTCTTCCTTCGTGGCGGGTGAAGCTCCGGTCGCTGTCTTTTTTAGATGCCCCGTCTGTCGGGGGCTGCCATCGGGCTCTCCGCTGGCTGGGCCCCTCGGTGTCCGTCCGGCTGTGGTTCTGGGCAGTGGTCCCACAGTCGCGGTCACGTAGGTCCCAGTGGGCCGGCTGGTGGGTGGGGCGGGGGTATGGGGCGGTGAGGCTGGAGGGGCTCTGGTGGGACCAGGTGGTGGGTGTTCGTATGTGCCCCTGAGCTCCTGATGAGTGGGGTGATCGCAGCTGTGGTGACTGGGGGCTGTCCATCTGTGACTCACCCCTCTGTGTGCTCGTGGTCTGTGAGTGCCTCCACCCAGACAACGCCTCAGGAGCCGTGCACACCGGGACAGAGAGGATGACCAAGGGGGTCAAGCAGCCCCGCTACGAGAGATGAGAGTGCACAGCAACCAGCCTGATCTGCAGGGCTGCTCGAGCGATGTAGTGGTAGACGGCTCCCTCTGACAGCGACCCTGGTGACTGCACTGGCCTGCTCTCGAGGCTGAGTGACAGTGTGCACAGATGGACCTGAGTGCAGGAGGACCATCCACACACGAACAGACTGTGTAGACCCAGAGAGGACTGGAGTCTGCTCGGGACACGCTGACTGTGCCCCCATACGAGAGCACCAGGCAACCACCCGAGCACCCGAGAGGCAACAACAGACACGGGCACCAGAGATCCCCAACCAGATACATTGCTACGCTCATCCACAGGGGCATCAGAGGACCAGGTGGGGTCACCCTCACAGTCAGGGCCTGATAGGAAGCCAGAGGACTCACGCAGCACAGTAGGTCCAAGGGAGGCACACTCCAGGCAGGTGAGCAGTGGCAGAGCCCTGACAGCTGCCAGCCCCCATGACACCCAGGCAGGCACCAGACTCACCGAAGACTCCGCTGGCCTCGACTGTCTTCATTGATGACCCGAGGGGGCAGCAGCCAGAGGAGTGAGGAGGCCTTCGGACGCCACAAGAGGCCCGGCTGTCCAGCAGGCTACGAGGCAGACAGGTGACCTCTGAGCACCACCCAGGCACAGAGCCGACCATCAGAGTGATGCCCGATCACAGAGATGATCACGAGCACCCTCCACTGCACTCTGAGGGGCTGTCAATCATCCCAGCTGCCTCTCATAGCAGACCTCCTTGGGGGCAGTGCAGTGGGTCCCAGCTCATGCAGGAGGGTGCACGCCCCTCGGCATAGGATGCCCCGGCTCTCCCCGAGGGGTCATCAGAGCCACGAGAGGTGTTAAGGTTAGTAGACCACACCGGGAACTCCCGAGGGCACAGCAGGTGATGTTGGGTGATCCTCAGCGTGCTCCTCTCTGATGGTAGAGCATCCTGAGACCAAGGAGGCTCACCTCTGCCTACGGACGACACACAGCGCTCCACAACGAGGACCCACCAGGAGCAGCACAGCTGGTCACGGGGATAGTGCAGCCACCCGGTGCCCCACCGTGTTAGTCTTTTGAGTCATCACACTAGAGGCATGAGAGAACCCCATCCCATCCACAGGCTCATCCACACCCCTGCTGGCCCGAGGTGAACTACCGTCGAGGCACTGGACAGGGCATGCCAGGGGCTCAGCAGATCCACACAGAGCATCAGCACAGAGCATCAGCGAGTAGCAGGAGAGGCTGCGATGGCCTGCCTCAACCCTCACGCACCAGCCAGACAGAGAGGCAGTACTGCCCGAGACAAGGGGCCAAGGGAGGCGCTCAGTCAGGGGGACACGACACGATCGTCGGTGCCTGTGTCTTGGAGTGCAACGAAGGCTGGGGATCAGACACAACCACCTTAGCAAACAGAGCGGGGATCACCCACCACCCCACTGGCCCACTAGACCCAGGGACACATACAAGCACCCCCCACCTCAGCCCCCACCAGGAGCCTACCAGCCTCACCGCCCCATACCCCCGCCCCACCCACCAGCCGGCCCACTGGGACCTACGTGACCGCGACTGTGGGACCACTGCCCAGAACCACAGCCGGACGGACACCGAGGGGCCCAGCCAGCGGAGAGCCCGATGGCAGCCCCCGACAGACGGGGCATCTAAAAAAGACAGCGACCAGAGCTTCACCCACCACGAAGGAAGACCAAGGAGAGGCGCCACTGGTGGACGATGTACATGGTGAGTAAGCGGAATCCCAGGCCGACTGAGCAAGCATTCCCGGGTGTGCACACTCAGCTGAGCACACCCCTGCGGAGCGACCAGGGAAGGTGCCAGGTTTTAGATATACTAAAAGAGAGGAGCTCCTCGTTATATCATCCACAACCAACCTTTGTCTCCGGACACGGCCAAAGGAGCGAGAATTTATTCGTGAGATTTCTGGATCGTACCTACAAGCACCCGGTAGCACATCCATATAAGCTACATAAAGTAACGCGTTTACTACCTAAGTCTACGCCTTCCCCCTGCAGAGGAACCACCAGCAGAGGAAGCCCACGAGACCCCCCACAACGACGATGACTGCGACGGAGATCCCCGCGATGGCGCCAGTGGAGAGCCCGCTCTTGTTCGTGCTACCACCGGCACTGTCACCGTTCATGAGGTAGCAGAGAACGGAGCCAGTACTAGACGATGGAGGAGCGCAGCTCATGCAGCCAGCAACTCCCTTGACACTTCCACTGTTGCTGTCACACGAAGTGCATGGTCCAGCTGCTGATCCGACCATATAGTACCCAGCTGCGCATGACGTACACTGGTCAGAGCTATCTGCAGCTGAACATGTATTACAGGTTGAATGACACGAGGGGCATGCTCCATCATTGGGCCGAAGACTATTAGCACATGTTTCGCACTTACCCCTGCTATCAGCTAATGTGCATATCTGTTTGCCTGGCTGCTTGGTAGTTTCATAGCAGCCGCCTTCCTTGAGGAAGTAGTTAGCGGCGCATTTGATACATGCTCCATTATTCATTTCAGTACAGAAAGCTACTCGTGCGTTACTTGTTGTACAGACCCCGTTCAGAGGAGCCTGATTATCCACTGAGCACTGGGAGCAGTAGTCTGTCCCGCCGATCCTTGCCCCACAGACCTTACATCCGTTCTTGTCCGCCGTACACGCATCCCCGCAGGTGCCCCCTTGCACAGGATCACTACTTTTGTATATTAATGCCTTGCCAGCAGGACAAGCACTACACTGATTGTTGGCTGGCCCAACGCACTCAGCGCACTCAGGGCTGCATGCCTTACACTTCCTGTCAGTATCTCCATAGTATCCGCTGATGGTCGTGCAGTCAGGTATGCACTGGTTTGTTGGAGTGAGATAATTGTTGTCATTACATTCAGTGCAGACCTCTCTGTCAGTCTTCGGGTTATCACAGGCCTTGCAGTTGGGAGTATTGCAGGCCCCTGCCTTCGGAACACACGTGAGCCCGTCCTCTGACGGCTGGTACGTCTCCGTGCACGTGCAGATTCCTCCTGCCTCGTTTGCGTTATCGGGGCACTTCGCTATGCAGCCCTTTCCGTTCGGCTGGACCTTCTGTCCGACCGTCGCACAGCCCGTGCATGTCTGCTCGCCCCCAGGAGGCGTTGCGCACGTGCTACAGCCGGGTATCGGTGGGTCACAGGCCGTTTTCAGGACACACGTGAGCCCGTCCTCTGACGGCTGGTACGTCTCCGTGCACGTGCAGATTCCTCCTGCCTCGTTTGCGTTATCGGGGCACTTCGCTATGCAGCCCTTTCCGTTCGGCTGGACCTTCTGTCCGACCGTCGCACAGCCCGTGCATGTCTGCTCGCCCCCAGGAGGCGTTGCGCACGTGCTACAGCCGGGTATCGGTGGGTCACAGGCCGTTTTCAGGACACACGTGAGCCCGTCCTCTGACGGCTGGTACGTCTCCGTGCACGTGCAGATTCCTCCTGCCTCGTTTGCGTTATCGGGGCACTTCGCTATGCAGCCCTTTCCGTTCGGCTGGACCTTCTGTCCGACCGTCGCACAGCCCGTGCATGTCTGCTCGCCCCCAGGAGGCGTTGCGCACGTGCTACAGCCGGGTATCGGTGGGTCACAGGCCGTTTTCAGGACACACGTGAGCCCGTCCTCTGACGGCTGGTACGTCTCCGTGCACGTGCAGATTCCTCCTGCCTCGTTTGCGTTATCGGGGCACTTCGCTATGCAGCCCTTTCCGTTCGGCTGGACCTTCTGTCCGACCGTCGCACAGCCCGTGCATGTCTGCTCGCCCCCAGGAGGCGTTGCGCACGTGCTACAGCCGGGTATCGGTGGGTCACAGGCCGTTTTCAGGACACACGTGAGCCCGTCCTCTGACGGCTGGTACGTCTCCGTGCACGTGCAGATTCCTCCTGCCTCGTTTGCGTTATCGGGGCACTTCGCTATGCAGCCCTTTCCGTTCGGCTGGACCTTCTGTCCGACCGTCGCACAGCCCGTGCATGTCTGCTCGCCCCCAGGAGGCGTTGCGCACGTGCTACAGCCGGGTATCGGTGGGTCACAGGCCGTTTTCAGGACACACGTGAGCCCGTCCTCTGACGGCTGGTACGTCTCCGTGCACGTGCAGATTCCTCCTGCCTCGTTTGCGTTATCGGGGCACTTCGCTATGCAGCCCTTTCCGTTCGGCTGGACCTTCTGTCCGACCGTCGCACAGCCCGTGCATGTCTGCTCGCCCCCAGGAGGCGTTGCGCACGTGCTACAGCCGGGTATCGGTGGGTCACAGGCCGTTTTCGGGCCGATTCCTGCTAGAACCGTTGTGCACACTAAAAGAATTACTGCCAACATTAAGTTTAAGCTTACGCTCGATTATTATTCTCTTCAATTAAGCTTATAATTAATCCATAAGTTATAGACAAACCACTGTTACCTTTTGATAAATCAATTAGAATGGAAAAGAATAAAATCAAGAGCACACCTACCAGAGGCCGGCTGATAGTGCGGTTCTCCCTGGCTTCAATAGAAACAGGATGAGTGAGGGCTAGACTCAGATCGTGCGTCCCTTGCGGAAACTAATAATTGTTCAGAGATGCATTCCTATACATTGCTGTCAGTATGTTTGTCGACTTTTTTGCAGAGGCAAGGTGTAGATTTAGGTAGTAAATGCGTTAACTGATATGTGCAGATCCCTCTGTGCCCAGCTCGGGCTCCTCAGTAGCATACCTGGATCTGATGGATAGAGAAGCACACCTACTATAAGCATCTCTTGCTGATGGCCTGTAACCACCTTTTACAGTCCAGTGTGCATCCTCTAGTGCTCCACTTCCCCCTGTGGCCAGTGTATCTCTAGGGCGAAGCAGACTCTTTTGAAAAGGTATTGACCTAGCACCATGAAGGAGCGCGGGGCACTGCACTGGGCCCGTACACAGGTCAGAGGCCCGTAGTTGTAGGTCAGCAAGATCCCGGTGCGACGGTCGGGTGCTCGTCCATCAGAGCTCTCAGGATGGTGGCCAGGGGGCAGGAGCGACGCCTTTCTTGTCGGTCGCGACGCTGGTCAGTTGTCGATGCAAAATGTGCAAGGCCCCACAGGCGAGGAGCACAGAAGGGCACAGGGAGCGTAAGGCCACCAGCAACTCGTAACTTTTTATATCTTGGTGGCCGGTCTCAGCACTTCGTAGGTGCAGATATGAGAAGCTGGGCCGAGTGATCTGCTGGTGGAGGGGCCGACACACACTTCTCTAAGGGTTCTGCCATGGGTGACGACGATGGTAGGCCGCACCACTGCAGGACCGACGCACGCCAGAAATAGATGAAAGGCTCGCAAGCAGGTGCAGACTGGAGCGCCAGCCGCTGGCCGGATCACCCGCACAGGCACGCTCTGGTTACTTCAATAGATGGTTCAGTGGCACCTTAACGGAAAACACTGCTGCGCTCCACTTGCTGGCCATTTGAGGCACGCAGGTTCGATTGGTCCCAGGGCCACCGCTAAGCGTGGCATGACAGGCTATCTCCCAACATCGGGCGACGGTAAGACTCACGCCTACTTTTAGCCAACTGAGCTCGAAGCAATCCATGCCCTTGCGGGTCCATACTGGCGTGGTCTGTACAGCTATGCGCAGTGATGCATAACAGACCTCGGAACCGTAGACACCCTGGGCGCGCCCCTTGCTGCGCAGGGCCAGGGACGCCGGGAGGGCTCGGGCCGCCAAATGCCTTGGTTCGCAGTCTTTCGCAGGAAAACCAGCTAGGAAGCGTAACCGCACGCCTCTTCGAGGTGAACGGGAATGGCGCAGCACTGTTCAGATTATAACCTAAAGAGCATGAAAGTGTGTAATCATCTGTAGTTTGTCTGCATCCTTATATGAACAGAAACTTCCAGATTTGGCTATTATGACTTCACTGTCCCCTTCAAAATCCATTTCACGTACATATCCTTTAGCCACGTGAACGGTCGCAATCATGCTAAGCCGCTGAGAAAGGGCATCTTTCATTGTTGCAGTCTTATTTTGGTACTTCCTAGTCATCCTCTTATCATCGCAAGATTGAATCCTCTGAAGCTGGCCGTGGGTATCTACCTCAAACGAATAAATAACACTCCGTGTCTCTGAAAGTGTGTCTTGAGCATCAAGTCCTAGAGAAATTTTCATCGTAAGCCCTAGTGGTGTATTAGGATCCTCTACTTCTACTGTATCTAGTTTTCCATTTTTTGCTTCAGTGGTACAGCTGGCAGAAGCTTTGAAGTCTTCGTCAACTATCTTGAATAAAGGAGTAAGCACCTCTACTGTAGAACCAGATGATGTGCTACTCCAGTCTTCATTTCTCTTGCCTTCTATGGTACTGCCCCCCACTACTGATAGCCTAGTCAATGGATTTTTAGATGTACTAATATTAGTATGGGATTGATATTCTTCACAAACTTTACAAATAAAATCTTTGGTTCGTATTCTGTTAAATTCCCTAAGATTGCTAGCTGTCAAAGTACAGTCATTATATATAGTCCCCGATATAGAATAAAAATATGCTAAAGCGGACCCAACGCAGTCAGTTATACCAGGATTGGTGCACTGATTGGGCTGTGCCAAGGCTATTGGGTCAAGCTTGTACTTAGTGTTGAGAAGAGGGAGCGAATCAAGGAGTTGTAACTTTGATAGATACTGATCTACTAGGTGCTGCCTTTTAGCCGAGATCTTGAGACTGTTGCAAATATGAACAAAGTCGTCCTCGCCGAATGTATTTTTCTTGTTGGTGCGATGGGATTTTTCATAATCTCGAATCTTGTTTTTAACAATCGTGCTTGATATACTATACAAGGCAGTCAGAGCATTACCAAATGCGTCTGCCGACAGACACTGTGAGTAATTTGTGTCATGAAGGTAATACGATAACAGATAAGGAAACCCTCTGATCTTTGGAAGGCGATATAAGAAGTAACATATTTGTACATATACCTCGCACGTGATGACTTCGACGCTCGTGTAAGCATACTCCCAGATGAACCAAATATCTTCAACTGTCGCAGAGAGCTTATAGAGTGTCTCTGTACAGACAACATCGTACTTAGTGAACTGCTTGGCAAGGGCCATGCCCAGTGTACGGCGAGAAATATGTCCATGGCCGTGAAAGTCAAGAAGGTGGAAATCGTGGGCCACTTCTGCTGGCCTAAATGCAAAGAAGCTAAAGTCGGCATAAAGCCCGTCAGTGCCTAGAGAGCCAGATGCACGTGTATGTCCTAGTGCACCACGTTCAGCCCTTCCATTAGATTTCTTGCTGTCATCTTGAGATGTCGATCGAGCTTCCAAACCCTGTATTGAATAGCCTTTTGGGATTAGTGGGAGCACAGCAGTCAATTTTGTGCGAGGTTTATCCTTGGGAGGTTTTCTTTGCAGACATTGTTGTGGGCTATTTTTCTGTTGACTAGAAGACGAAGAAGAAGAGGACAGCTTTCTCTTTAATAGTCGGGCCTTCTGACTAGGCGATAGCATCGCCAAAAACATATCTTCGTCTTGGCGGCTGCCAGCTAAACCCATGGTCGACGCACCAAATGACAATTTTTTGCTTGAAACTGACCTGGTTCCAAAGCTCAATTACGAGATAGAAGCACCCGCTGCCAATGAATACGTGTCCTTCCAAGGCAATGGTCTGAGACAGTAGACTTCAATTCCCAAAATTTTCATTTACCTTTTAATGAGTGGAAACAACCCTCTGAAGAAGCTTGTCACCATCCAAACCACTTTAAAGAAGATTATGATGCGAATAACTAACATAGAAGAGCAGATAGAGCAAGAGGAGCGCGAAAAGGCGCGGTGTATGATAGGGATTACCCGAAGCATTATGAAGAGACATATAGAGCAGAACAAAACTTTGGAGCGTGAGCTAGCAATTCTTATGATGGTGGACGAACGTCTCACAAACCAAGCGAATGCTAATGAAAAACTTAGTAGAGAACTCGTCAGCCTCGTGACGTACTTCAAAGACGCAGTGATCCCAAGAGAGAGGCAGCTGGCTCCTGTGTTCGTGCCGGCCATGACGCCCCAGACCGCCCAGGTGATTCAGAAGGCTCCGGCTCCAAGGCCGCTTTCTCACATTCGGCAGATCACGCATTTGAACAGTTCGGTAGGGTCTTTCATTACAACCACAGCAACGCCTGTTACGAAAGACGTATCAAAGTAATGTCTACCTCTACCGTCATCAAAATCATGGTAGACTTCTTGTAAATTTTACCTTTAATCAAATGGAGAAAGACCGCCTGCAGAATAGGTCGACACCTCATGTGGTCGCTATGAAGCATAGCACAAGTAGCTTGTTTCATGATAGTAAGCGGGCAATCCCTGGACCTCCCAGATCGATTGCTCCCGTTGATCTACAGGCATTGAAGCGGATTGCAAGCAATGCAAGCTCTGCTATTCCACCACCCTTGGACTCCTATGTACCTAAGGCAGAACAAGTGAAGGGCCTGGCTCATATGTGCCCGAAGTTGTTCGAATTGGGCAATCGCTCTGTAGTTCCACTATCTAAGGTGAAGGCTATCCCGGCCTACAAGGGCACCCCATATGACCAGCGAGCAGATGATATTTCTATCTTAGTAGCAATTGCTCATGAGAATCTAAGCTATTATCGAAAAATCAATCTCCTGGTATTAATTCTAAACATGGTCTCTAACGTGTCTCAGTATCTGCACCAATGGATTGCTAACGATTACGCTCACTATATTGAAAAGAAGAAGGCTGGAGACACTTGCATTAAGAGTATCTATGATCCAGCCAAGCAACCAGCAGCTGACCTCATTCGCGACCCGGAGTACTTGCCGGACATGTCAAGGTTTTGCAGTGAACATAGAAAATACAAACCAGAACTGTACAATAGCACGATCTCTATTCTGTCCGACTGCTTCTCTGACGCTGCATCTGAGCCTCCATCAATACTAGAATCGATGGTCAACACGCCCATAGGTTCTTCTGCCACGTCGATCCCCTCTGAAAACTCGTCAATCTCCTCGTTATCAGATCTGTCCACAGCCAGCGTCAGTGCCGAATTGCAGCGACGAAAAGTCATGAGAGAGTCTGTTTCTATGACAACAAGCAGCCTATCCGAGGGGTACAAGCAGATGGAACTAAAAACACTAAAGCAGATACTACAGACTACTTTCAGTTGTCAACGAATAATCCCATTAGTTGATATAGAGAAGCAGCTGAAGCGAAAGCATCCCAAGGTAAACGCTCTTAAGCTACTCAGAGACCTAGCAGACACCACCACCTGCATTACAGTTTCCCAGGGAGATGTATCTATTGATTGGGCTAAAGCAAACTTCTGAAGCGGCATGCGTTATTCTACTTTACGGTAAAAGAGCCTGTATTTAGCCATGAATGTGTAATACATACAACCAGATCCGTGATGTTACTGGCCCCAGTTGAGTCGGGACTGAAGTGTTGGGCCACTGCTGCATGAATACACTCAACGGATGGGTTCTCTAGCACTAGCTTAATGATGCTACGGAGGCTCTTGTCTAGAAGCTCACGTCCTATCACCGTCTGTGCCTTTTGATATAGCTGCTTATATCTGTGTGCTAGTTCTGCCCGTAGTACCTTAGTATATTCAGTATTTAGAACTATTGGCGTAAGGACTCCAGGCTGGCTCATCTTGCCATTTGCAGATTGTCCAGCACTAGCTAGGACACCAAACATGGCGAGTGCTTCTGCTGCATCTGAGCGCCGCTTTTCCTCCTTTTCCAGCATGTTATAGATGGCGTTGCAGAATGGTTTGGAAAACTTTTCCGGAAGAGGGTCGTACTTTCCTTCAACAATCTGCATGGCAACAGATACAATTGTTCGCCCCGTGAAAGGGCGTTTTTGCGCCGCAAGCTCATAGAGTGTCACGCCTAATGACCATATGTCCGATTTTGTGCTATACATATGCTTAGAAATGAGCTCTGGCGAGAGATAGTAGGGGGTTCCGACCAGTGTCGTTGCAAGGGACGACTCTCCAAGGACCTTTGCAATGCCAAAGTCTCCCAGCATCACACGAAACGGGTACTTTCTTTCTTTCGAAGATTCTACAGTGGTCTTTGCGAGGAAGATGTTCGCCGGCTTTACGTCACGATGTATCACATTGTGTGAATGCAAGTATATGAGAGCGTTTAGTATCTGTGTAGCAACATAAGTAATGAACGGCTCATCAAAAGGTTCTGAAGAACTTCTCATAAAGTTTTGGAGATCTCCCTTGTTAGCGTATTCTGTTATGATGTTGAGTGCTCCGTTTTCTAAAAAACTTTGCTTGTAGGAGACTATGTTTGGATGGAAGAGTTGTGATAAGAGATTTGCCTCCCTAAGCGCTCGCTCTCTCTCGGCAGCAGGTAGCTGCGCCAGGGTAAGCTCTTTGATAACGACACTGGCACCAGTCTCAGTATCCTTTGCTAACCATGCAATTCCATAAGCACCTCTACCAAGAATACGATTCTTTATGTACATCAGTAGGGTAGTATGAGTCCTTCGATATTAAATTTAGATTAACGTATGCAGTTACTGGCTACAGTAATATAAAACGTGTTGAGAGAATATTACAGATTTCCAAGTAGCACGTTTATTTGTTCTAGAACACGGTTGGTGTGGGGCAAAAAATAATGAGAGAGCGACTGCACTCCCAGTTCCATAAAAACAGTGTTTATATCCGTAGTAGTCAGCTGGGGGCTGTGTATAAAGCAGAGAGACTGTCGGATGGAGCCACCGTTGCTGTAAAGGAGATTTCTCTGCGGAACATCCCTGATGACCAATATGTGGCTCTGTGCCGTCCGTACGAGCTGTCACGCTACCTTGCTCACCCACACTTACTAGTATACCATGAAGCGTATGTCATTCCTGGAGAGCGCTGCCTTCTCGAGATGGAGCTCTGCGAGAATGGCGCACTTATCGACGTCCTGGATGACCTTTACAAACGGAAAGAGCATCTCGAGGAGTCGTTCGTGTGGGAGATAATTGCACAGATTGCAGATGCTCTTGCCTACCTTCACGACGCTGACAAGCCCCAAGGACCAGTTCTCCACAAGGCTGTCAGAGCCTCGAGCATATTCATTGGGGAGAGCGGTCTAAAGCTAGCAAAGCTAGGCTCAACACGCCACGCATCAGAGCTCACAGTGTTTGGGACCAGGCACAAGCACGATATGTACCTTCCTCCGGAGGCCACAGTGCGGCGAACGCCCACTGATAAATGGGACATCTGGGGCCTTGGCTGCCTCGCAGTTGAGGTGTGCACCCTCGGGACTGTTTATAACGACTCCTCGACAATGCTTAGCAGATTATCATTTGATCTCCGACCTTACTCGAACGCTCTTGCTTTCATGGTGGCGAGTTGCCTCAGTGTGTGTGATAGGGACAGACCATCGGCTGTGGAAATCAAGGGCCATATAGAGATAAAGCGTGCGCTACGCCGCGTCAATCCGTCCAGCGTGACAAAAATTTGCAATCCGGAACTCCGGGCTCCAAACGAACATGGATCTGAAACTGACAGTTTACAAGATGAGTGTGAGGTAGAAACAGACGTAGAAGTTTGTACTGCTGACTTCGACCACAGCATCAGCATGAGCTCGCCCATTGTTGGAGATGGTGTCATAAAAGCATCCCTCGGTGAAGCTAGCCAGTGTTCTCAGGTCGATCTAACTCTATCTCGAGGGTGTGCACACAACGGGCTCATATCTGACGATCTCATGGAGCTTATATTGAACGACAATTCCCACGGTGTATCTGCTCAAATAGACAGGCTCATGAACTGCCTCAAAACAGCCTTAGATGTAGCTGCATTCGAATCTAGGCCAAATGCCCTTCGGATTATTTGTGAAGCAATCTATACAAACGCACTTCCCATACAGATTTCTAAAAGAAAGGGGGAACGTAGTCTTGGGAAGACCCCCTTGATGTTTGCAGCAGAAACAGGTAATACAGAGAAAATTCTACAACACCTTGACCAAACAATGCAGTTATTCTACACCTCTCTTCCTTCTAGATCCGATCAAGGTGTACACCATGGTGTAAGCAATAATAGACATACAGATGAAGTGACAGCGCTGATGATTGCTGCTTCAGCAAACAAAGTTGAAGCTGTAAAGCTTCTCCTCTTGGAAATTGGTGTGCAGAATCAAAATGGGATGACGGCATTGATGTTTGCAGCCATGAACGATAGCGTTGAAGCAGCAAAATACTTAGTTGCCGAAGCGGGGTTTAGAACTGCGGAGGGAAAGACTGCCCTTATGCTTGCAGTTTATAACAATGCAACGGAATGTGTAGAGCTACTCAGGGGGAGAGAAAATCACATCGCCGACAGAGCTGGAAACCGAGCTATAGACTATGTGTACACATCCGGAACGAAGGTCCCTTTATACCATCAAAAGAGAATGGCAAGTATCTTGAACAGTTAACCGAAGTCTGTGACACTTCCGCATATTATGCAGAGAAGTCATAATCATCTAGAGCGTCGTAATCATCATCTAACAAGTCAGATACCGTAAGGTTATCATGCTTAGGAATGAATTCGTTATCAAGAGCCTCTACCTCCTTGTGCTGAATCCGGTATCCGGCATATTGAGATGAGTAAGGTATGGTGATCGCCTTGTTCTCTCTTTCTTCTTCAATATTTTCACCATGCTCTCTTTCATCGGTGAATGTCACACTTTTCTGCCTTACCTGATTTTTTGGTGTGGGTGCCGGTGTAGTCCGTCTGGTAAGCTTGTGTGCGGATGCTTTGTATTCAGAGGAACTCGAGGCTTGTGATGGATGTGCCTTCTCCTCGTTGTGGCTGTTAGCAGTTGGCCTAAGCTCCCTTGAAGGGTTTCTAACGACGGACTTTACGGGATTCTTGTCATTATTGCTTGCATAATCGTCTTCGTGTTGCTCTGAATCAGATTGCATGTTAGATCTTGGTCCTCTCCGATCTTGTTGACTTTGGCGCTTTGCCGATTTATTAGCGCTTCTCTTATTGTAATTTTCTTGATAATTAACCACTGCAATCCTTACTTCGCTGTCCTCGTCGTCATTTTCACTGTGGCAGGAATGGTTATTTGTGTGCACTTGGGCTTTCAAGTCTGGGTCTTGCTGCTCTGGGAGGCTGCTTTTGTACGCTCCACTTCTGCTCTTTGTCTTTACAACGTTGAGTACACCATACCCGACACTTTGAGAGACATCAAGGGGACCCGAAAAGAGGGATTTCAGAAGCTGATGATTCGACACATGAACCTCTTGTGATGCGGAGGAGTCATCAGCGCCCCCAGATGACGCTAGCACAGTAGGCAGGGGCTTTGGCTCAGAGAGACTTTGTTTTGCAGATGTGCGCCGCATGACTCGCCGTATGGGACCTGTTGCTTGCGCACTCTTTCCACGCCCGTTGCTATTGGAGATATTAGTATTGCTTGTACTGCTGTTTAGTGGCGCAATAGCAGAATACTGAGCCTTGCTACTTTTATTGCTCGCAGAGGGCAGTCGTTGATCTGGCTGCTGCTGTGTCTTCAACTGATCTATATTCTGGACTCGAAGTTGGTGCGGACCAACTGCTGCATTTGAAAGGGATTCTTTTACTGCCTTGCTATCGTGCATCTGCTGGTGTTTAAGGTAGTCTAGGCGCTTTTTCTGTCTCTGCTCGTCGGTGAGGTCGTCATCAGGTGATCCGTATGCAAGATCTTCTAACGTCTTAGAAGGTCGCTTGGGAGGATAGTCAGACAGTATGGAGATAGATACCCCGGCTTGGTGGCTTACGTTTGTGCTATCGATAGAGTAGTTTGCCAGTTTCTTGTCCAGTTCAGACAGCTCTCTCTTCAATGCCTCTTCATCATCGGTGCATTTGGCAAGGTTTCGATTCAATTTCACGGTTTCTAGGCCCTCGAATGTCTTTGGTTTCGGGGCTGGCCTTGTTTTGAGCTCTACTTCTTTGTTTTGTAAGATAGGAGATAGTCGCATGATACCATTTGCTAATTGCTCGTGAGCAGACGCAGAGAAAAACATGTGCGTGTGGGCCTGGTCATTCGTTAGATGGGGCTCCAATTGAGCCGAAGAGGTAAGTGCTGGTATAGCAGCTTGAGAGTACCGCTGCAGTCCATTATCATAGACACTATCTGCGTAGTTTGTGTCGTCTTCATCATCAGAAGATTCTGCATATGTTGGAAGTTGGCGAACATCATCAATGGCTCGCTGTAGACCTGCAGCATTATTCGAATTGATGGAAGTAAGGTATTCATCTTCTGGCGGGACTACGGGTGCTGATGTTTTGGCTTTGGCTTGTGAAAGGTTGGCTATGGAGGTATCTGTACTAGAGACACTGAATTCGTTAGCGTGCCGCTTATCGCTACGACGGTCAACTGGTCCACCTTTCATTTTGGAGGGCGGAAGCTTATTCTGAACGGAGCACATGGCAAGCTGATGTGTTTCCGAGACGGCACGATTTTCCTCCAAAACAAACGTCTTTGCGCCCTGGGCTTCTGACTGCAAAAATGGGACACATGAATCCATAAATGCAGTGTTCTGTAGTTTTCCTCTGGCAACTTCTTGATAAACATTGTGTAGTATATTAGTAAACGTTGTCCCTGTGTGGTCAGTTGTTTCGTTTGTGGGTAAGTGCAAATCTGCCGACCTGGCGGATGACCTGAATTCAGCCGAGGGCGCCGGAAGCCGGCTAACCTTGCGTTTCTCTGCCACTTGTCTCGTGTGCGCTATTTTGTACTGCTGCATTCGTTGATGCTCTTGTTCCTCCAGCTGCCTTGTCTGTTCATCATAGCGTTTTATCCTGTCACGAGTCTCCTTAGCAGCGCTGGAAGACGAAGCCGAGGGCGCTGGCTGACGCATACTAGTGGATGGTTTCGAGGCTGATCCATGCGAGTAGCTGTAAGCATACCCGTTCCCGTCCATTAAGGGCGCCCGACTAGCCCTGGGCGGCTCCCTCAGGGCCATGCGGTGATTCTTTTTTGGACTAGCCTACACCCGCAGCCAAAGAGCATAGACAGAGACACGGGTGAGTAGTTGACATTTACTGGGCCTGCAGAGAAGGCAGGCGTAGAGAGTGCTTAAAGGCTCAGGGCGTTCGATGCGCACGCAGAAACACAGGCCCCACACTCTATGCACGCATCTGGACGGGCAACAGATACAACCTTGGCCCCCGATGGAAAATCGAACACGTCTGCAGGGCACACCTCGCAGCACTCCATCGTTGCGCAGCACTTAGCAGCATCAAGCTTGATCGGCATTTTTAAAGTGGAACATCTTCTAGTATTTACGAATGCGGTGGGAAGTCTAAATTTACAACTATCAATGCAGCGTTATACATACGAACGTTGGGCTGGACGGCGAGGACAAAGGAAAAGTCCGATTACACCGTACAATATTAGCACAGTAGTAACGCACACCACTAAGAACATAATTATGGACCCGACGAAGCGAGGCATGTGCTCCGACGAAAGATTGTAAGGGTATGCAAGACAAAGAAACGAAAGGACAACGAGGGAAGCCCACTTGTTGAGCAGCAGAGGGTTCGTGTCCAGGAACTTCCTCATGATTGCAAGGTCTAAGTGGCAGAGGCCAAACAGGATTGTGATGAAGCCGAAGAAGAGTGAGCACATGAGCCAGTAGAACTCAAACCCGCCGTTGTTGATTTTGTAGAAGATAGACAAAATGAACGCAAGACAGGTCAGAAAGTGCGTGATAGAGAACACACACTTTAGTACGGTAGCCCAAGTACCCTTGCTCACAGGGTACGTGTCTGGGATGCGAACGGGAAGACGCGCTTTTGCGTACTCATCATCGTCGTTTCCGAGGTTATCCCTATCAGGAACCGGGGGCTGGGAAGCCCTGAAGTTGTTAACGGCGCTGTTGTCAAGGTTCATCCCGGAGCTCCCGATAGCGTTCCCGGGTTCTGAGGTCTGCCATCCCGGCTGTTGCGCTGGTGCATAGGGATTGCCTGAGGCGATGGGCCCCGGGGCCACCATACCGGCAGGAGCGCCCATACCCATAGTTTGGGGCATGTTGGAGTTGTACTGCATGTCGACAAGAAAAGCCTTTTAAAACTCTATAAAATCTTACAGGATAAGACACGTGACTCTTATCTTTAACATTTCATTTAATTTATCTTAATAACCTTTTCACTGATTTGTCCTTTAATAACTTTATTTTTCGGACATGTCCACTGATAGAGAATGTGCACAATGCAACTGGGTCATGGACAGAGATGACGTAGATCTCACCGTAGCAACCATGGTGAGCGACATCCTTCAGCAGTACTCACGAGATCCTCATAAAACTCACGGTACAAACCGCTCGGGGAGCCCCTGCTCGACTCAGGCGTCTGTTCCTCTATCCGAGATTACTGGCTCAGAAGAAGAAGCCTCTCTCCGGCCCATTGCTCACAGATTAGGAACTGTTCCCCGTCCTGCTTCAATGAATGCAGTTGCAGACGTGAAGACGCGTCTTAAAGAGTATAAGCAAAGGGTCAACCACCTGGAGGCAGAAATTCGCAACCTGGAGCAGACACTCATCGACGAGCGCACCAAAGCATCCGTATATCAAATGGAACAAGAACAGCTTATTGCTACCATGAAGGAGAGCTTTAAGCAAGAGAACTTGAAGCTGCTGGCGTCCAACAAGCAAATTGTAGAGAAGCTCCTTGCAGAAAAAAAGGACCTGGCCGACAAGTATGAGGAGCTGGCCAATGATCTCCACAAAGCCAAGCTTGAGCAGATGGGCAACGTAACGGCTGCCTCTGAAAACGAAATTCTCAAGACGCAGTTAGATAAGCTTAAGCAAGAACACGTGTCACTAAAGGCAACCTTCGATGAGCAACTTGAGAAGGCCAAACACAGAATCCAAGTAACTGAAAGCAAGAAGCGAAAGCAAGCTGTTGAAGAGGCCATAGAGCAGACCAAGCATACGCTAGCATTAGGATTAGAGCCAAAGCTCCAGGAGATGGACCTAGCTCATAAGACAGAGACATTAAAGCTCACAGCTGACCATGAAACAGCTCTCCGACGGCAAAAGCAAGACCTGACTCTTCAGCACGAAGAAGCCTTGGCAAAGCAGCGTACAGAAATTATGAAGCAAACAGCAGAGGAAATCGATCAACTCCGCGAAGAGATGCAACAGAAAATCAAACGAGTCAAGGCAGAGTTACAGCATGAACACAGCCTAGAACTAGAGACCATCAAAAAGAAACTGCAAATGGAGCACGATGTGTCTGTCAGCACAGAGCTTACCAAGATGCGCGGCCTTCTCAACGAAAAAACATTAGAATGCGACATACTCAATGACAAATTGCAAAAGTTGAGTGCAGAAGCTCAGAAATCTATAGAGCAGCTCAAGCTAAGCTACATATCTGAGGTAGACAAGTACAGAGTTGCCTATGCAAATGAGGTTTCAGTGATTAAAACGCAGTACAAGGAGCTAGCAAGAACACTCTGGTTGCAGAGTAAGCCAGAGATGGTGGAGCAGGTAAGGACGGAGCGCGATAAGATTCTCAAGTCCATGGCAAAGACATGGGATGAGAAGATCGAAGCAGCTCGGCTGCAAGAGCGCACGGTGGTGACTGAAAAGGAGGCTGAGATAGCTACAAAGGACGCGAGGATTAAAGACTTGCAGCTACAACTTCTCAACGCTGAGGTAGAAACGAGCAAATGTAATGCAGAGCGGGAGGCTTTAACTGGTAGAATTTCTCACCTTGTTAATGAAAAGGATTCTTTCATGACTAGGCAATCCTATAGTTATGCTAGGCTGCAGATGAGTGTGGAGGACTATCGCTGTCGAGCAATTCGCCAGCAAACCAGACGGCGCGACTTCGAGGCCAAGATTAAGAACAAGGTGCAGGAGAAGCTTCTGGCCATTGCTCAGGAGAAAGACACTCTAATAGCACAACTCACTGAAGCCCTGGAACTAGAACAGCAGCGCTCCGCCGAGTATGTCGCACAGCTTGCTCAGCTGCAGGAGCTGACAAATGCCGAGTGATAGATGTAGAGGCATGCATACACGAACATATGCACACCAACGAATCATTCACTTACTTGAAAAGTTTAGTCCCCACGTGGAACTCTTGATTGGCCCCTTTTTGTCGACAATTTGGGGTATCGCGTTCAGTTTAGATAGATCAATCCGTTGCTTAGGGTCGTAGTTTAACATGCTCTGTAGCGTTCCGATCAGCTCCTCGCTATACTCCCGCTCTCTTAATTCATTCACGTCTACCTCAAAGCCTTGCAGCTTTTTCAGTAGCTCCTCGGGGTTTGCAGAGTATGCAGGCGGCTTAAGAGCACACACACAATACACAAGAGCGCCTAGGGACCATAGATCGCTTTCTTCTGTGTATCTCTCCATTTTGAGGACCTCTGGGGGACAAAATCCCAGGGTGCCGAATATGGTAGAGCTCAATATTACATTGTCCAGCAGTCTAAACGTTCCGGAGTCAGCGAGTTTGCAGTATCCGTCGGCTGCTAGAAACACCTTCGATGGCTTAATGTTTCTGTGTACTAGGGGACCCATGTCGGTATTGTCCTTCTGTGGAGAATGGTAATAAAGAAGAGCCTCTGCTAGGTGAGAGAGAATATACCACACCGTTTCCTCAGGGATCACGCGCTCCTTCATTCTGTAAAAGAGGATCACATCCATTAGGCAGCACCTTTCGTAATACTCCATTACAAAATGACCAAGGTTTTTCGTATCATTATAATAAACATCGTAATACTTCACAAGGTTCTTGTGTGACAGTGAGCATAGCTTGATGAAGTCGTTGCGTACGACAGATCTGTACCTGTTCGGTATACTTGTAATATTGACTACCTTGACTGCATAGTCTTGCCCTTGACTTCCATCATTGCACGCTGGGTCCAGTGACCGTACCACTTCCACGTGTCCCAAAGCCGTCTTTGCTAGGACGGGGCCAGTGGAGACATAATGCTCCTCGAACTTGGCCATTTTTTAAAATGCCTGAGAGGTCTGCAGAGGCACCACGTTACAAATTATTTAATATATAACCGCTCTGGATCACTGGACAATCCGTCCTATAAATTTTCCATCCAGAGAATAGATAATTACATACTTGCCATACCTAATTGTTTTATAGTATTGTAGTAAATTCCTATTGACACTTGGATCTCTATCAATATAGATTGGAAGGAAGAGCCTAGTATCTTGCTGCGGCATGCCCAAAGAGACGCTTTGGTGCTGGCCTGTCATCTTCTCTGCTCCGTCTCGAACAATTAGCATGGAATAGGACAACAGCTCTAGGCGCATGCTCCTCCTTGAGATTATGTCAGTCAACTGAAGAGTGCGAAGTATAGTACATAACGGAGGGAAGTCACGAGCCCTGTCCACATTGTGAACAGGCCGCCCCTCCAGTTTAAATGAGCCAGTGACCTCTGGAAACGAGGAGACACCGTACACGGAGATAGACTTGGCTGCAAGCAAGCTTATGTTGCTAGAATTGATGAAATAAGGTGCATTGTTGGTTGAAACGATCTGCTTCGAGGATACGCGGTCAAGAAAGGCATCAAATGTGTGTTGCATGAACTGGAGAAGAGCTCGTTGGCAGATTACAGTGTTAATTGTGGTTAACATTATGAGAGAGTGGATTGAAAGATACTGCAGGTTGATTCGAGAGTACTTCTGCAAGAGATACATCGCTAGTTCTTTGTCCAATGACTCATAGCAGAGGTCAGACAGCCAGTAGCGAGGAGCAATCTCAACCGTCATGACAATCGAGAGGACGTCCTCTACGCTGACTCCTGGACTGATCTGGTTTAATTTTGACGAGGTATTTGTCACGCCACAAAGGAGATTTAGCAAGACGTTACATGTCTTGGCTATTACAGTTTGTCTGGTTGGCAGCGTATCGTGGTATGACTTCAAAAGGCTGTGCATGCGTGCATACATTCTCGCGAAAATTGGCTTAATACGCCCATTGCTCTGGATGAGGGAGAAAGAAACCTGGTCGTTTTTGGCTATCGCCTGCATACGCTCCTTCTCTAGGGTAAATGTGCGGAGAAGAGTAAGCAAGTCGCCCTTCTCTGATAAATCTAAAAGGCCTAGGCAAACTCTAAAGGCTTTCTTCATGCGAATGTCAGCTACAAGACGCCGTTGGTCATCCAGTGAAGTGGATCCAATCAAATTACAGTTAAAGTAGGGAACAAGGGCTTCATCGAACTGCTTGTACAGGCTTCCTAGGGAGATAACTGGCAGAACTTCGTTGTTGTAGTATCGCATAAGATAATGGCCCACTCCATTAGAGTACGCTTTAACGTACCGAAATGCAGGGGCATCGAATGCTAGCTTGTACCGCAAGTGTCTGGGAGCAAACACCGGTATGCCATCGCCACCTGAGCGTGCCAACCACAGGTGCACCGTTTCAGGAAACGATGTAGTGTCCCCTATATAGTCATAGCCAGAGGGCTCCTCAACCGCAGTCAGCTGTGTATAGATGGACGGAGGATTGAGATCAAAGAGAATGTAAAAGCTTTGTGGACCATTTTGCAAAACAGACGGATTAGTATAGCATAGCATTCGTACACTCAGGTGAAGGAGCCCTGTGTGACCGGGTAGTGGATCAACCTGCGTCTGCTTGGCCATGGTATTGGTGATTCTCTTGTAGTGCAGGGCGCCAGAGACCACCATTGGCGAGAGAGAATCGGTTAGCTTAACGTGGGACGTGGCGCTCTTGTCAGGCTGATATTTGCTTTCCTGGCTCTGCGGCCAAGCCCGCTCAAAGGTCTCTCGCTGAGTACTAATCCGTGCCCTTAGCGAATCTGTAGCCTCTATGGTTGTCGTTGCAACAAACTCCCTCTCCATGCCGGCAAGCTTTATGCAGTGAGGCTCAGTAGTTGCATATGTATCCAACGGCTCAAGCAAGAGCCTGTTTTCAAAGAATGTGGTAGGCATGTACGCCATGCGAAAGATAACACCAAGAAGCCGTGCATTTTCATACACTCTCCCAAAGAGGCAATTGAGTAGCTGCCGTGTTTGCTTATTGTGCTCAGGTCCCAATCCTTTATTAGACGGCTCACGCAATAAAAAGCATGAAAGCTGTTCCGGATTAAGGTATCCCCCGGGGAATTCTAAAGTATGGGTGTATATCTGCTGAGGTTTGGACCTCTTGTCGCTCCTATTATCAGTCTTACTCCAGGCATCGTCAAGGCGATAGGAGTGCTGCGTTATCAAGTGTGCAAGACTGGTTGCAGTAAAGATGACGATGGCCTCCTCTTCTTCGACGATGTTATAATAATGCTCAAGTGGCAGGCCTGGCACTTTGACTAAAGACTCTTGTAGACCTTGGGAAGCGCTTACTTTGTTGTCGCTCCAAATCTTTGCTTGCTGCTTGAGTTGACTACCTGGCATGAAATTAAGATAGGATAGCTCTCGCACACGATGATCAGATGCAGATAGGGAGTGCTCCGATCCTGCTCCCTGATGTCCAAACAGCCTCTGCGAAGGAATGAATGGTATCAATGGAATCTTTTGTCCTGGAAGCTTAAATGAATAGATGCACCGTCGCAAGCTCCGCTTAGACACAAAGTCCTGATGGAGAGCAATCAGCTTGATAAACATCTTATGCTGCTCTGGGGTGCATCCGTTAAGTTTAACGTTGGTCGGTATGACATCTGGATCTAGTATGTAACTAATGAATGACTGATAATTAAATTGAAGCTCACGAGTTTTCATAATATAGTTTCGCAGATTGAATAACAAAAGGACAAGGTCTCGTCGCGTGAACGCCCGAAAGTCTACCTCGGTGGCCCGTTGACGCTGCATGGAACTCTGTGTCTGAAGAGCCTTCTCACTACGCTGTAAATAGATGTGCAGAGGGAGGTTGTCGATCATCGCCTTTGCAAAGAGTTGACAGCAAATGGTCGGTGCGATTGTCAGAAGTGCTCTTGAGACAAGGCTGTAGCTGGCCCGCCCATTATAAATAGCAATTGACCGCTCCACTTCTCCAGTTGAATCGGGATTGGCTTCATCTGGTGGGGTAGTGTATAGAATAAGATGCAGCTCAAGTGCAGAAGCAGCCTTGCTACGACATGGGTTTTTTAGATCACAGTTGCATGCCTTACACTGTCGTAGTTGTGGAATAAGCATAGTATTAAGTACACTTGAACCTTTGGCAGAAAACGCTCCTTCAGTTGAGTTAGGCAGTGTCCGATAGACGATACGAAGTCTGTATGGAAGAGCAGAATATGAGGGCGATCGGTTAAGCAATAGCGTAAACAACTGTATTGTTAGTTCAGACTCCTGACTCACATCACCATGCGCTGATGTCCTCTGAATAAACTGACGAAACCGTTTGCACTCGCTGCAGGCCTTGTTACTCTCCAGAATCACCGAGGGATTGTATCCTAGAAGAAGGCGCTCAATCGCTCTGTGCCATAGCAAACTGTCGATATGAGCCACTATACCATATAGTTTGGAGAGGCACATAGCGCTCCCAGAGACACGACACGTTGTGACAGTGGTATTCAGAAACGCATACGTTGCTAAGAAGTCAGACTCATATGCAGGATTGCATCTGAGATACTTTAGATATGCAGAGTTGATTGGAATGGATTTGATTACAGAGCCTGCCCATGCGCCTGAGGGTTTGGCGCTTAGAAGGCCCGAAGGGCTGATAATGTTTGGTAATGAGTAGGCTAGTGCCACGAAGACGCAGCACTCTGCTTTCTGTTGAATGGTCATATCTGTAATAGGGCTTTTAACAGACATGCTTTCCTTCAGAAATTCGCTGTAAAAACGAACGCTTTTGTCCCACATAGCCACCGCCACATGTGCATGAGGAATGGGAGTTGGAATAAAGTAGCCTCCGTGGTAGTAATTCAACTGTTCAGAAATGTTTTCAATGGACATAAATAGCGACGAGTTCAAGCTATTCATGGAGTCTCCCTCGTTGGTTTTAAAGGACTTGATGTCGGCTCCAAAGAGCGAATACTGTGTGTGGGGTATCTCCATAGAAAACCGGCATGTGCGAAGAAGGTAGTTAAACTTTCGCAGCGCCTTATAAACCTTCTCAGTGTAAAGAGACTTCGTTGTATCCGTGGGAGGAAGGCTAAACACTGTTGTTGGATCTATGCCCTCGAGTACCAGATACCTATTAGCCTGCGGCTGCGCCTGCAGTTCCTCGAACTGCAACTTGGAGAAATGGGGTTCCGTATTTCCTGCAGACAAGTCACTTATCAGAAAGAAGTACCTAGCAAAATCTGACATGAAGTCCACAATGGTATCCGTATAGGAGTAGATAGCTGCAGAAAAGATACGCTGAACAATTTTAGTAACATCCGCCCCTTTTATCTGGAAAGTAAGCTGGAGGCGTCCATCACCTCCAGGGCTTATGATAGAGACGGCAAGTCCGAGAGATGCATCGAGAACAATTTCAACGGAAGATATTTCTGCCTGGAGTCCTTCCCTGGTGGCATCTACCAGGAAAGTATTGTTAGCCAATATTACCTTAAAATGATTATAGAAATCTACGAGAGGTATGTTGATATGTGAAGAAAGCTGCGAATGTAACGACATGATGAAGCGAAAAAGAAAAACGCTGGATTGGCTGCGTGTAGATAGGTCCGTACTGTCCGTAGAGTAGTATGGGATTCTTGTCACATCAAGATACTCGGCGAAGTCTGGGCCTTTTCTGTGCTTGACACGTGTATCTGAAAGCAGCTGAATAAGCCCAAACGGATAAGTGTATACAGGCCGGAAGAAGAAAATAGCATAGTTATCTTTCCGCTTTGTCTGCTGATAAAGGGTAAGAATGTGACCGATTGTTTGGTGGGATCCTTTCCCGACACCCAATGCCAAGCTCTTTACTGCAGTCAAGGAGGTATCCTCATCTACAGAATAACCGATCATATACTTTAGGTCTATGTGTGGATAGAAAAGGCCGACGTCCTCAAGCATACAGCCCCCAAGTTCGTATACCTTCTCAATCAACGAATTGCTCCATACTGTCAAACGAAAAATGACAGCAAAGCAGGGCTGCAATAGCCTATGTTTATGTTTATCAAAGAAATGATGAAACGAGGGAACAGCGATTTCATGGAGCGCATCTTGTAGCTGAACACCGTAAGCGTTGGGAGCTCTCCGGTAGAAGCTTGCCCTTGCTTGAAAAGCAGAGTTCTGATTGGAGGCCTTGTACATGGCAAGCTGTGTCACCATCGTCGAGGCAGCTCTTGATGAAATAAAGTCACAAATAATCGAGTGGACCATGTAGAAGCGCGTATCAGTAGGACGAATAGAGGTCATCTCGAGACTCTTACGTACACGCTGCAACTTCTCCTGTATGCACTCTGTAATAGAACTTATCATTATTGTATTCTGTGCTAGCTCTGCCGGGTAGAACTGGAGCTTCATAAGCTCCATAGGTAGAAAGTCAATCCCGCTATTGAGATAAAAGTTTATATCAGTAACAAAAACGCACCGGTAGAAGTCTGTTTTTACGGCAACCCTAGCGCCACTTACAGCCAAGGACATCCCCGCAGGCTTCAACTCTCGTACCATGTAACGAACTACTTCCTCGGTTGTGGCACGCTTATATTGTCCGTGTATGAGTGATTTGTACCGTTCCTTTGATGCCTGCAACATACTAATGGGGGTGGAATAGAATGGCCACCGGGTCAATCTTGTCCCGGGCGGCCCCGAGAGCATGACGATTGCCCGGTCAACCGCGTAAATGGGGTCATAGAAGCCGTGTACTTCAGTGAAAGTAACTGGAAACTCATCCACCGAGCGCAGAACCCGATAGTGGTCATGGGACGAAGCCCACCGGGAAAGAATAAGTTGCTTGCCCTTGGAAATAATATCTCGCGAGTGTGTCGAGTATATCGGTAAAAGATGCTTCAGAAAACTCAGCAAAGTTCTAATCTTGGAAAGAATCAAGATCGAGCGTGTTGCTGGGTTAATCTGGCCCTTACGGGGAAGCTCCTCTACAACTCGCTTGAGGGCCTCATAAAGGACATATTTTAATAAGACGTAATTAGGAATGCTCTCTTCTATGGTCTCGCTGTCTGCTATAACGCTGCTCAGATCCTTGCAGCTGGAATCATGATTATTCATTTTATTTACTAGCAAACGGCCGAAACTTGCTTAGAATACGAAAATAGACCCTATCCAGACAATATAAGGCGGTGTCTCATATAGCCGCCTTCCTATTTTTGTTACTTAGGAGTTTTAAAAGATGAACCTTGCTATACTAGGTTATAAGTTATGTCTGTTAGTAGATTGAGACGAGCTGTATGCCACCCGGATACGTCTGTTACCGTAATCACAGCACCTCCGTCTGTGATGTCTACCTGCTCGTCGGCGTCAAATTGCGAAAATGCGTTCCAGTCTGCCACGGCCCTACTAATTTGCTCTAGCTCATCTGCTGTGAAGGCGTAGTCTGATGCTTGTGTGGTTGATAACATTGCATCTTCACAGCTACTGTCTCCATCTGTGAGACTACCCCAAGTGGTACTGGGGTCACAGTCTGTGTGCTCTGACACATGCTTAGGTACTGCCTGAAACAGATGTAAGGGCAACAGATTGACCACATCAGTCTTAGCGACAGAGTCATGCTGGGGTGAAGGCGTGATATTAAGTGTTGTTGGGTCTTGCGTGGAAATAGCGTTCTCGTTAAGGTCAACAATGCTCTCTATAAGCTGTGGAATATCTTTTGATACTGGAGCACAAATGAATTCTTCGCTCTCTGAATCGTGTGGCGAATTGAGACAAGAGCTTGGCGCACTAAACATAGGACTAGTAGAGTCACGCGACTGTGCCACAATGCGCTGCTTAGGTGGTGATGGTTTATCTAGTAGAGAGAGACTTCGGAAATTAGCTGAATCATTCAGATATTCTTCTTCAACAGAGGAACGTGTAGGCGCCCTCTGTGATAGACTTGAGCGCTTTCTCACCATGATAATGTTTGTGGGAGAAATCCGCGGCTTTGATGGCTCTCTGTGTGTCTGATAGGAAACAGCTGGCTCGCACTCGCTGTCACTTACAACGATGGCGCCGACCGAAAGTGAACATCCGTTAGACAGCGGCCTCTGCACAGCTGTGTCAAGCATCTGCGTCTCTGTAGGCGACTGATAGGGAATAGCAGCCGAAGCCAGTTGCCTGTCATAAATGTCTGGGGAAAACCGTGAAAGTGTTGGATATATAGAATGATTGTCTATTGCTGTGATACTCTTGCTTGCCTTGCTCATAGTGGTCTTCCTAGGCAACTTGTTACTGTCCATTGGCAGGCCTGGGACACGTATGGGCTGAAGGAGAGGAGACGGACTGACGCGTGTTTCAGTCAGCTTTGATGTTACATACGCCTCGATGGGAACAACGGTTCGCCTGGATCCTACCAGGAGAACAACAGATCCTTTGAATAAACCTTCTACGCTGGGAAGAAACCGGACGGAGATGCGTAAGAGTGGTCCCTCCGGCCTGGAAGAAACCTGTAACGAATGACACGAAGAATATATGCGTATAAGTGAGAGGGGTGCGTCCATAACTCGTGAGTCCGCATACATGGTAATTGTCTCCGGCTCATCTATAGTAACCCTGTCTAAAATGACACGCTCTGGGGTAACGAAGGAGGCCGATGGCCTTTCACGCGCACTGGCAACGCGCTCTCGCACAAATCGAGTCAACAAGGTGTTCAAATGGGCATTTGATCTCTGAGAGGCTCGCGGTCTTGGAGGCATTCTGTAACTAGATTCCGTCCGCCGCGCTTCGTTTAGCTGCGTAGATGATTCCAGAGCCAATTCTATATATTCTGCGTGGACATAACGCAAAAAGAGGGGCCTGGGGATGTTGAAGTATTCCTGGCGTGTATGCTGTAAAAGCTGCACAATGTCAGTAATTGAGCGCCCAGACCTCATCGCTTCCTTCACATCGCGAGCCAGGAAGGGAAAACGCTGCTTTATGTCCATGCCAAAGCCGACACGAAAGGCGACCCACGCTAAAGAAATCCTTAAACTGTAAAGGTTACGAGGTGGTCGTTTACAAAAGCGTTATACCGAGGATACAATCGGAGGGACAGTCTCCTTTAACCGAATGTAGTTGGCATAAATGTTTTCAGTCTGTCCAAATTCGTTCCAAGGCTCTGTGTAGATGGAGCAGCCGAGGCGGTGCATTGTATCCAGGAAAGTATGGTAACACCTGTCAAGCCCCTGCAGATAGGAAAGGGGGATGGATGCCTCACATGGCCTACAGCGTACATTGTGGATGCGGTAGTAGCATGTTTCTGGAGTCGCATCCAAGTAGAGGATAACCGTAGGCAGCGGCAGGTCCTTTAGTTGGCTCTGGTACTGCTCATTATACAACTTGAAATCGGCGTCTGATATGAATCCGTCTTCATAGGAGTTGAGCGCGAAAACTAAATCACTAAAGACAGAGCGGTCAAGCAAGACGCCCTTGGCAGTCTTCGACGCCTGAATTGCCTCCTTGTATGTATTAAGACGCTGGTTGAAGAACCAAATCTGCATCTGATACCCCCATTTCTTTGGGTCCTCGTAGAAGAGCTCAAGGTAGGGATTTTCCTCCACAGGCTCTGTAAATAGCGTCAGGCCATACATGTTGGCAAGCTTGCTGGCGAGAGTGGATTTACCAGCTGCTATGTTCCCTTCTAATATGAAAATGTTTGGCGCAACGTAGCACATTTATTTTTTACGATGTAGAACGGAGGCTCGTAAGACGCGAAGGTTAGTAGGCAAAAAGGGAAATGGCTGCAAAAAGAATATTAAGGGATAACTACTCAGCTGGTAGCAGTTCTTTGCTAGGCCTGAAGATCTGATGTTTTCCGCCAAAATAGTCGTTCAATCTTTATTAATAGAATAGCAGGTCGGTAACGTGATGAGAGGCAGTTCGAGGTATCCCCATGGTTAGCAGACGCTGCTGGACTGTAGATGGGGACTCTATTACAAGGGACTTGTAAGTAGGATAGGTTCTCACAACTGCCTCGGCGACGCTGGGTGAGTAATTGCAAAGAATATTTCTGATGAAGCAGTGCCAATCATTACAATCATTAGAGTGCATGGTCGGCAAAGGACCAGAATCAGCATCGTCTGATGGACAGACACATCGACACCGAGAAAGGTCAGAGGTACTTCTGAACAGATATTCATATATGCGTGCAGTATGCTCTGCACTAACACTTTGAATGATAGACGACACGTTTCCCTTGCTCACCTCATTGAGCACAGCCTGGAAAAGCTGACATTCATGAATGAGGAGCAGTTGCGGATCCTCTACCAGGAGAAAGGTGGGAAACCTCGCAGGACAACCAAGCTGCCGTTGAATGCGTCCATCATAGAGAGACGCAGACAGGTCAGAAATGGTCTTTCGCTCAACTAAAACAGTAGGGTGATCATTACTCAATATAAGACAGTCTCCTCGAGGAAGTTTAGCAACAATTGTGTATTGTGCAATATCATGAGGCAGTAGCCTCGCATACGATCCCTCTCCACGGCAATCTAACACGAGTCTCGATCTGCACTCGATAGCTGTTTGATTCGTAGGGTCAGCCCGATGGGCATCGTTCAAGATAGACTGCTCATTCTCCGTGATCTTTTCTATCTCGTGGTGCTGAGGAGATAGCTTCGCAAGTATACCAGCCCCCTTCTTTGTCAAAATAAGCTCATTTTCTTTCGATAGCGTTACGTACTTTAGCTCTAGAAGCTTGCTTAGGGCCGTGTCAAATTGTACTTGCAAGGAGGATGGTTTCATCTCGACAGACGGAGACTGGGAAAGTGTCTTTGTGCTAGTACTGCTATCTCGGATAGACATAAGAGCATTCCAATATATGTCACCAATTCTAATTCTGGTCCTTTTGCTTCTAGACTCTGCAAGCGCCTCTTTTCGAGCATGGTATTCTTTCTCTGAGAATCTTATGAACTCCAAGTCCGCAATATCTAGGGTTGGGGCAGCAGTAGAACGCTCCGATTCGGGTTCAAGAAACGAACCTGTGCGCTTGTACACAGCGTCAATGCCGTGAAGGTAGTCCTTCAGTGCAGAAGAGAGTCGATAATGGAGCTGTTCGGAGATGAGCGTCACAAATGCTGACGGCTTCATACAACTTATAAAAAAGGAGGTCAATGTCACTGGAAGCATATTCTCAGGTGCTTGTGCGCAAGGTTGGGGATACCTTTGATATATTCGATACTGAGAAGAATGGAACAATTGATGTCAGAGAGGTAGGAACTGTTCTGCGCTCCTTGGGGGTGTACCCCACTGAGGCCCAGCTGCACTCCATGCTGTTAGAAATACAGCAGGATGAGCCGTCCATGTATGTTTCTAAGGCATCGTTTATGGCTGTGGTGTGCCGGGTGATCAGCACAAATGAAATAACTGGTCCTGCTCCGGATGAACTTGCCCGGGCATTTGCCGTTTTGGACCCCAACAATACCGGGTTTCTAGAAACGGAGCAGCTCAGGGTTTACTTGACTACGAGCGGGGAGCGGTTGAACGCCGATGAAATGGAGAATTTTAGTGCCTTTGCCACAGATACAGAAACGGGTCTAATTGATTGGAGATCCTATCTAACTGCTGTGACAGACATCCTGTGGCAAAATGATGACTAAGATAAGGCCAGGGTGAGATGGCTTGCCTATTAGGTGCTAGCTCGCCGGAGATAGTTTGCTTAATTAACTTAAAAATGCTGACCTTTTATGCGCAAATTGCGGCAGCAGAGCGTGCCCCTCTAGTGCCAAGCATTGTCCAGCAATTAGATCCTTTTGAAGGGGGGCTGTGTCTTCACTCTCTTGGGTCCAAAGACCTTCGGATTATCTTTCGTGCAATACTGGCGCAGCCCAAGGATTTACAACGCCTCATCATAGAGGACTGCAATTTGAGCTCCCTCGGCGTGGCACTAAGCAATGCCATCTGCTCGGCAACTGAGCTAGAGACCTTGATCTTCGACAGGTGCCAATTTGCAGTCAACGCTCTGTACACACAAGTCCTAGCCAACCTCCACCTTACTAAAGTAAAGGCACTCTCTATCATCAATTGCAAACTCACAGATTCTCAGCTCATATCTTTTGCACGCACTCTTGACAGCCTACCCTACCTTACCGAGCTTTCGCTCTCGCACAACCACGTCAAAGATAGCGCTATAGCGCAGCTCTTTAAGGCTCTTCAGAACTATTCTCTTGATACTCTGGACTTGCGGTTTTGCGGCCTGGGGTTCCAGAGTGCCAAAATCATCTTGTCGTTTCTTGACCGATACCCAGCAAATATAGGTACATTGCTACTGGACTACAATAACTTTAGTGCGAATTTACAGAATCGTCTCCTTCAACGATGCTCTGACGGTGCTCCGCGGGCCTTGGACAAAAGCCAAGGCAGTAGTAGGTCTTTAAGCAGATCCTTAAGCAGGTCATCCAGCAGGAGTCCACAAGATCGTCGTCTTTCGCATGCTATGCGCACAAATGTCTGCACTAAGATAAGTGGATTCCACGACGACGCGCTCCAGAATACTGAGTCAAATACGCTTACTCAAACCCACTTGGATATCAACTCTGGTACACAGATACACATGGATTCTCTTGAACTTGCAGATATACAGCCCAATAATCAGGCAGAAAGCGGTGATATGAATCCGATGGTGTTACCATCTCAATCTGCTTCTGAATTGACTCTAAACTTCCCCGGCACTGAAAATTCTTCTACCATGTTACATACCATTCAGCATTGTATCAATACTAATGAGCTTACTGCCTTTCTAGATGCTCATCCAGACAAACATGGGCACCCGCTCAATGTAGACTTCAAGACGTTCAAGTGGTCCTTTTCAGACATCCTTAGTACCTTCCAATCTATTATTTTTTCCTGCCAAAAGCGTAAGGAAAAACTCGGGAAAGCTGACCTTCGGAAGATGCTCAGTATCTTGCATTCCTTGCACAACGGTTCTGTGACATATAACGCACTCCTGAGATTAGATATGATATATAAATTAAAGTGTGCAGGCAAACGGAGTGATGCGTACGTAGTGTATCAGGAGAAGAAGGCTGGCTTACTGCTCAAAAGCTCGAACTTGGAACAAGTCGCTGCTTCCCATCAAAGCGAAATGCAAGGTTTATTTACTCGTATATCAGACTTACAACAACATATTAAAAATGTTACCATACGGCTAGAGGGTGGTAGCCTCGACGAGGAGATTAACGATCTAGAGAAGAAAATTTCAGCTACAAAAACCAAAAATGTGGAGCTGTCTACTCAGGTAAAAGAAATACAACAGCTTTACGATGAGCTACTCGCCACTGAGTATGCCCAGCAATCATCTGCAGCTGGGTATGTTGATAATCTCCGAAAAGAGTTTCCAGTTTATGCCGAAGCCAGAGAAGGATACTGCAAGTACCTCTACAATCTAATAGATGAGCTGCTTGAGCGGGTGCGGAATCACAAGAATGAACTGAAAGGTCTTTTGGATGCTATCCGTGTCCGCAGTGTATAGGTAGAGGGTGCAAGTACGAATTTTCTCCTCTCCATGCTTTGTCTCTGTAGCGTTTGGAAAGCGATCAGTATGTATTTGTTGGTAGATAGATTGGCTAAGTAAGTATTCCTTTATAACAAGCTTGAATCATGTATCGATACGTGTCAAATTACGATATCAATTACCCCTAGGAGAGGCGCCCGCCGCCCTCTGCCGTCTGCCCCGTGGGCCTCTCGAGTGCCCGCGAGGCGATCCGGCTAGCGTGTCCGCGCCCCTTACGTAGGCAGGGATTCTCGCCGTCTCTGTCCCGCCGCCCTGGGCACCAGCACAGGGTCGCTTGCTGCGCCATCGTTGGTGCCTCTCCCGTGCCGAGCCAGGAGCACTGCAACCGCTGCAGCCTCTGTGTCAGGGCGGCCCGCACTGTTTTGTGGGTCCTCCTATGAGGTGCAAGCCGCGTGGGTGCCCTGATCGAGGTCGGCTAGCTGATCGGAAGCCTGAAGCCGGAATGACAGGCGCTCACAGTCTTCGACAGCTTTTGGTTCTGCTACTAGGGACAGATACCCACGATGACTATGCCCCCATCAGTTCGAATACAGTTGGCTGCGTTGTGGCCACGTCGTCAGCGTGTATCGGCTGGGCCCCTCAGAAGCTAAGAGTCTCGTCCAGAGCCCTTTCATCTCTATTTTGTTTCCAGTACTACTCCTGGAAGTCTACTAGCCCTTTGTCATGGTTAATGTGCAATGTTTCTAAGCTCTCAAGTCGTGGGACAGCCCGAGCACTCCTTGCCTTTCCCACTTCCTAGCAGGTTCACAAGCTGAGTTAGAGACGGCCGATTCTCCTGGCCCACAACTAATAGACGCTGTACTAGCTCTACTCAGCTGCGCCTTCGGCTCTGTTTAGGCCAAGCTCCCAGTTCCCTGGAGGGACACCCTCATTCCCCATATCTTTAATAAAGGCTAGAGCATTCATAGCCATACGTTCATGTAAAATATAACGCATGCTCCAAATACTCGAGGTGGTTATGCCCTTTCCTACTCCATGCCCCCGGGACTGTATGCATTAGCATGACTTCAAAATATGCTCTGTTGAGCCTATCTTTTGGAGCACAGAAAACTAAAAGAACGGAGCCATGTTTTCGCCATGATCGAACTCGGTTACGACTAGATATACTGTACTGCGACAGAGGAAAGCTCTCCATTAGAGTGTCTTTTCTCAGACACGTGAAATGCGCCATCAGAGCCGAAATCCGACGAACCATCTCGAGGGCTTTGGCCTCTTGGATGGCCATTCTCCACTGTCTGAAGAACCTTATTGCGTCTTTAAGAGCAGACTTATAACATTGCATGCACAGGCAAAAGGTTCTTTGTTGTGCAATACCTGTTTGTATTCAAAGGGATGTAAAGGCTTGAAGAGCTGCATAGTACACAGGTCGGCCTCAGTGGCGTCCGGAATAATCCCCTTCAATTAGATACCCCTACCTACCTCGTCCAATGTGTCTTTCAATGCATAAACAGTTCTATACAATCCTTTGCCAATCACTATAGCCAGCTTAATCATCGGATCATCACTCGTTTCAGTTTTCTCAGACATTTTTAGTTGATACTCGATGAGCTGACCTAATTGGTAGTGCCAAAGGTAGCATGAAGTTTGTCTGCTTTGCATATGGAAGGATCTGTTATATCCTTACAGAATTTGGCAGTGCAATGTATAATTACCAACAAGGATCTGTAAAGCAAATAGTCACAAGTTTTGAAGGATTTAGCAAGACTAAAAGTCACTCTCAGACCTCAACTTGAGTATAAGTGATGATCCTATCGAGAACTAAAGGTCCATAAACGTAACGGAACAGGCGAATAGTCCGATAATTATTTCTTCTTGAAACGACAGATTTTTTCATGCTTCTAAGTGATTAAACTAAAGACAAATTCTAGGCTAAATAAGAGCCCCGGAATCCCTTGAAGCATAAGCTATCCTATTACTGGGTTATTATAGAATCTAACTAACTCTAGTACTGTGGAATGGCAACCAGGTTTAAAGTAAGGGAAGATCTATGTGCTTACAGACTTTAGGCCCACGGGATAGGGGTAGCAAATCATATATTTGAAGCTAATTGTTTGCCATCTTATCTTCTAGCTGATTCACAGTAATGTGTATCCTTCGCACCGCAAATGGTTTCTAGTATCAAGAAAATGCATAGCAACTCTACCGGGCTACAGCTAAAATAAAGCAAGAAGCAAAGTCCACGGATATATGCCCAACTATACATAGTTATCATAATTGGCTAGGGCCTCGCGGATTACACAGTGCCTTTGCGATGTGCAAGATAACATCGTATAGTAATGTGCACTCATCCATAAAGTAGCACGCATTATTTGTACATATTGATGTAGCAGGGCCTGGTATCTCCAATTATCCGGATAGCTTTCTAACTCGACTAGTAATAAGTTGCAATATCTTTATTCTTCGCCAAATGGCCAGCATTTTCTGAGGGTCTAGACCAGGAATAGTGAAGTCAGCATTCAATTGAGTACTTGTACACTGCACATAGGGTGGGTTGGTCTCTACGCATCCAAAGTTTGTAGCGGAAACTCATTGCGTAACTATCTAAGAATCCTATGCAAAATCGATAGCTCTTAACGCAGATAGGCTATCTTTTCAAATCTACAAATCGCTAAGATCCCCTTTCTAAAATCTTCGACATCACAGACCCCATGCCAGGCAGCAAACCTTGTGCTACATAATATGAGAGCCTCTAGGATGTGTAAACACCTGTGCGGCTACAGCGACGTATCTCCATTCACAGGTGCCAGTAGAACCGATGGACACTGGTGAAGCATATCGGTGGGTGGAAGATGTAGTGAGTCAGGCATTCTGTATACTGTCATTCACCACAGCTCCCGTAGTGAGCCATGGGGAGCCTGAAGACTGGTGCTCTATGGCGGCGTGAGTGTGGGTGGTGAGCCTAGAGCAGTCGCCGAATCGATGGTTTCGGGACAGCTTCTGTCATGAAGGATAATAGAACAGTGCAGCGAAGAACAGGTAACCCAAGTATCAAGAGATACACCTATAATGGCAACCAAGAGAAGTGCTATACATAGTTAGTGACCAATTCCCTTAGACAGGAAGCGGCAGATTATATGGCAGAAGAGAAGTGTTGTTACTGTCGGCCGATCAAGCATTCTAAGACATCGAAGCTGTGACGATGCATCTACCAGTGAGCTCCATCGTGCATTCTGAATGGCACGTTGCCCAACTAAGCTAGGGAAGTTCAGGAGATGACTACGCCCTTCTGTCATCGTATGTGCCCTTTGTGAACACATGTTTGACCCAGCATCCTCTGGCACTCAGAGTAAACCCAAGTGCAAGCAGGGTCAGGCTCATTGAGGCACACCTGCTACGAGTAGCCCCTAGTGTTGGCCAGTCACACCTGAGAGCGTATCTGTCTAGGAGAGCTCTATGTAGGGCGAGGAAGACCATCCTTCGCTGGTTGGCCGTGACTTGGAGCTCAGAACAGACAGGAAACTGAAGTGGTGGCTGGGCTATTGCTCCGCATCGTCTGTGCAGCCATGGCCAGGTCAGCCAGAAGGATGCCTCGATGTGCACATGATTGGCTTGTGTCTGAATACTAAAAAAACTTGAGGCAGCCACCGCGCCCGCCACCCCCAGGACAGAGCTTCTGCACGTATGGCTAGCTCCCCTTGTCAGTTCAGTCTATTGGTCCAATAGTCTGGGAACCCTCTGCCCCGCTCTCTGGCGTACGATGTATCGCAACTGCTCATAGGGGTAAGCAGCATGAAAGAGGAATTGCATGTGTAGACAGCGTGTTATGCCCGTCTCAGAGGACCGAGGTGTCTAACTACAGAGCGCTGCACCGAGCCATGCGCCCCACTGCCTTGCACTGGGGGCTGCCTCCACCACTGCACTTGCTACAACGGAGCTGTGTTGGCCCAGCAGATTAAGTAGATACTGCATCGACCCTATTTGACGATGTGTACACATCGCGTGATGTCCAATGGTGGAGCGGACACCGTGTGCCAAGGTGTCTGCTATTAACGAAAAACAGCACTTGGTTGCACCAGAGATGCTTCTGTGTAAGCATGGGGTCTTCACACCTGTCCCCTATCAGCTATAGTGCCAGCTGTATATCCAGAAAGGTCCTGCAGAGCACTCCACCGTCTTTCAAGGTGAGACATGGGCTCCACACCTATAGCTAGAAACAGAACTCTGTACACCAACTGTTGTGACCCTCGTGTGGTAACTGGCCTGTATCATAATCAACTTACTAAACATCTATACACTTGTCTGGATGCCCGTTGCTGGTTTTAGACGGACCTGCGAAAAGGTTTGCCTTTGTCCGCATGACCTAGTGGTATCTAGTCTTGGTGACAGGCTTCAAGGAAGGAGGATGTTATTTGGGTACACAGAAGGCTACTCGTGTACAAAGATTCTCGGGAAGCAAATTTAGACAAAGAAGATGGAGAAAGCCAGGGAGCCCACTCTGTAATAGGATGACTAGGTATAGACCCATTTACAATAGGGAAGCACGTGAGTCATTCTGGCTTCTAAACATGGAAAGATCGTGGAGTCTGCGGACGACTTGGAGGCTGATTTGATTTTGTGCATTTGTAGCGAGGCAGAGGCTTTTGAAGACCCACCTGTTCCGAAGTCGAGGGAGCTCGTTTCCTCTCCGTACGTGGCGCAAGACCCTATTGTAGAGGTATACGGTGCACACCAATATCAGTCAGCGTGTTTGCTACTCAGCAGTTCCTCAGTTGCGTCTTTCCGCAGTAGACGAGCCACCGGATGAGGCTCCCACAATCCACACGATTAGCTTTATAGTGCTCTGTAGATGGCCATCCACCCTCACCAGGGGATGACTACATGCATTACGCAGTTTGAGGTACTTGGCAACCAAGGTGGCATAGTTAGCTCTTGCCCACTCAAGCTAGACCTCAACCACCTTGCCAACTACATTCCAAGTCACGGTGTTTATAGATGTCCACCTCAAGTCTGCAAGGTGCATCCCACGACTGCACAGCGCGGATAGAACCCTTTACCTGCTATAAGAGGCGCCAACCAGTTTGCTGCATCTGGATATCCCTTGTGCGCCCAACGGAGACTTAATGGATCACATTGCTGTGCACACCAGCCTCTCTGCTCGCGAGCTGCTTTAAGGCTCTCTCATTGTCTCGCCTCCACATGGTTGTCAGACTACCAAGCACTTTGTAACGTCAGCTGATCACCCGAGATATCAAGCTTTCGTACAGCGGGTTGCTCAATGTGACACGAAATCTAGAGGGCACTGACTTTCTTAGCTTGCTGTCCATATAGCACTATCATCAATCTTCAGTCCAGTTGACCAGCACACAGTCCGTTCTCTGGCCAGCCAACCGGGCCTAGTCTTGCTGGTAGACTTTCGAGCATAAGAGTATCCCCTGACAGCGGTGGCCACGCTGTGTGCCTTGCCCAAATGATCACTCTCGGCAATGGCTCCAGGACCTGGGCACCCCAGACCAGAGGGACGACAACGGCCCAGTTCGTCTACGGCTCCACTATCCCTTAGTTAGCATGGAGTGTGGCAGCCCAGATAGCGCTGGCCGTCCGGTATCACCTTTTCTCCGGTGCGCGGGGGTAGCCCTCGTGTGAGAGGCGCTGTGATATGTTGGCTGGAGCCGGTCAGGCGAGCGGGACCACCGCTCTAGAAGTGCTGGCACATCATTGCGTGTCCGAAGGCGTGCCCACCTCAGTGGGACCATCCCAGATGAGGACGAACGGGTACCGGTTCCTTCAGAGGGGCCTGCGACCAGCGAGGGACAGTCTTTAAAGACGATCGGCCGGCAGAACCTGCTTCAGTGGCATAGGAGTCGACAGGGGGCAGGCTTATCGACGGTCTGCGGTGCAACCAGGTTAAGTCGTATGACAGACGGACATCCATCCGTTCGCGGTGGGCATGTTGCGTGTCCCTAAGCAGAGGGGGCAGTCGTAGTGAGTCGCGATAGAACACGCAGCCATCCTCCACGGGGCATCGCTCCTGCCGGGCCTCAATGTAGGACCTCGACAAGCAGTGTCTGAGGCATCTGCTTGTGATGACCCGTGGCTCGGGCTGCTGGGGATCGCACGGCCGGCTCCATCGGGTCGCTGGTCAGACATCCAGGAGAGCCTAGGAGTCCCTTGGCAGACCTTGTGACTGGCACAGCAGGAGAACTGGTCGCCAGGAGACCCTCACATCACAGCGAAGAGCGAGGCAGACCACTGTCTAGCAGTTACCATGCGATGCGCCTTGCAACACAGAGGAGGGGCCTGCACTGATCGATCCATCTCACAGCCAGCCAGTCACATGAAAGTCGAATCAGCACGACCCCACCTCTCAGTGCAGACCCATGCGGAGGGCCTTCCTTGCCAGTGCGTCATGTAGCACAGACAGATGCCACGAAGGGGCGGACTAGTGAACAGAGCTGTCATGGCCTGTGTGACAGACGCTGGCACAATGTTCTACGCAGTTTTGCTGATCGGCCTCATGCTCGAGATGGCACGGGCAGCGCAAGCCGGAGACGAATGCGAAGAGGTAACTGGCAGCGAACCCAACACTTGCAAGGCCTGTAGCGCCGTCATCAACGGCAAGAAGTACTGCTCGCAGTGCAACAGCGGTGGGTCTCAATCTGCCCCGACGGACGGCAAGTGCACAACAGACAACAACGAATGTAGCCAAAAACAAGATGGGAAGTGTACACAGTGCGCTAATAAATCCTTCATGTACAAGGGCGGATGCTACAAGGATAGCCAGGCACCTGGCAACACGATGTGTGAAACAGCAACTGATGGAGTGTGCACGCAGGCTAAGGCTGGGTACTTCCTACCACCCGATGCTGATAGAGATAATGCACACCAATCGGTCATACCATGTGGAGATGACACAGTAGTAACGCTTGGAAATAGCAAACAGTACAAGGGCGTACCGCACTGCACTCAGTGTGAGAAGCCCACAGAGGCAAGTGATACTACTACTGCCAAGGCTGCGACGTGCACGGCTTGTGAGGACGGGTTCTTTGGGGCTACTTGTGAAGCATGCCAAGACGAGAATTGCGCTACGTGTGCCATGACAGGCAATAACAAGTGCAGTAAGTGTAAAGGAACTGGTACTAAGACATATCTGAAAGTGGACAGTGGCAGCACAGGCACGTGCGTCGAAGCATCTGGATGTACAGCGGCTACGTTTCCAAAGGTCGATGAACAACAGGGAAACAAGTGCGCTGCATGTAATAGTGTGCCAGATGGTGGAATCGCTAATTGTGCGACGTGCAGTCTGCTCACTCAAGGATCTAGAGCCGCCCCTTTGGTCACATGCTTGACGTGTGAACAAAATAAGTATCTCACTCCAGAAAAGAATGCGTGCTTAGATACCTGCCCTGCTGGAATGTATGCCGTTAGTGGCGATAGCGGCAATGTTTGTACCCCCTGCCACGAGTCGTGCGCAAGCTGTAGCAATGACGCAGCAACGTCGTGCACGGCCTGCTATCCGGGGCATGTGCTGAGTCGGTCGTCTGGTGACGCAGGAACGTGCATAAAAGAGTGCACGGGAGACTTTATGGCCCACTGCAAGGCCGACGGCTGCTCACTGAACGTCGGAGGCTCGAAGTACTGCGATCAGTGCGAGGAGGGGTACGCCCCAGTCGACGGCGTCTGCACATCCATACCTGCAACAGCGAGAGATGCCTCCGGATGTAAGGCAAGTGGCGGGAAATGCACTGAGTGTGGGGCAAACTACGCTCTGTTATCGGGCGGATGCTACAACACACAGAAGCTTCCTGGTAGCTCTGTGTGTACGGCTGCACAGAATAAGGGACAATGCCAAACGTGTGCCAATGGACAAAGCCCAGCTGGAGGAAAATGTCCGGCGTGTACTGAAGGATGTGTGAAGTGTGCGGGTAGTAAGGAAACCTGCACAGATTGCTTAGCAGGGTATTACAAAGGTGCCGGTGATAAATGCTTCAAATGCACGGATAGTGATAAGGCTAGCTCTAATGCAATAACTGGTGTAGAAAACTGCATAAGCTGTGCCCCGCCAGCTGGTGGCAATGGCCCTGTCACCTGTTACGTAACGCAACAAAAGGCTGACGATGGCACCGGCGGAGATACTGGAGGAGACAGCACGAACAAGAGCGGCCTCTCCACGGGCGCCATCGCGGGGATCTCCGTCGCTGTGGTCGCTGTCGTGGGGGGCCTCGTGGGCTTCCTCTGCTGGTGGTTCCTCTGCCGGGGGAAGGCGTGACTTAGGTAGTGAATGCTGTACAGTGATAGTGATAGTGCTATGTGGTGTGACATGCTCTGTGGGTGACTGCAAGAGCTGTGTGATGGATGATGTGTGTGGGGAGTGCAGCGATGGGTTCAGCATAGAGGGTGGCAGGTGTGTGTCTTCTGGCACCAACAGGAGCGGGCTCAGCGCGGATGCCATCGCGGGGATCTCTGTGGCTGTCGTCGTCGTCGTCGGAGGGCTTGTCGGCTTCCTCTGCTGGTGGTTCGTGTGCAGAGGAAAAGCGTAGATGTACTTAGGTAGTAAATACGTCACTGTATAAGCCTATCACTCCTGTTTCCAGGGCCTCGCCTGTAGGTGCATTCAAGGATCTCACGGGCAATTCTTATTCAATTTCTGGCCGTCCGGAGATGAGGGTTGGTTTTGGATAACATAACGAGAGAGTCCTCTCCAGTGATATATCCAGAGCCTAGCGCCTTCCCCGGTCGCTCCGCAGGGGTGTGCTCAGACCGAATGCGTACTTCGGTCCTTTCGGGGTTCAGGCCTTCTTACGGACTCTCTGGTCCACCAATGGCGCCTCTTCTTGGTCTTCCTTCGTGGCGGGTGAAGCTCCGGTCGCTGTCTTTTTTAGATGCCCCGTCTGTCGGGGGCTGCCATCGGGCTCTCCGCTGGCTGGGCCCCTCGGTGTCCGTCCGGCTGTGTCCCGGGCAGCGCTCTACAGTCGCGGTCACGTAGGTCCCAGTGGGCCGGCTGGTGGGTGGGGCGGGGGTATGGGGCGGTGAGGCTGGAGGGGCTCTGGTGGGACCAGGTGGTGGGTGTTCGTATGTGCCCCTGAGCTCCTGATGAGTGGGGTGATCGCAGCTGTGGTGACTGGGGGCTGTCCATCTGTGACTCACCCCTCTGTGTGCTCGTGGTCTGTGAGTGCCTCCACCCAGACAACGCCTCAGGAGCCGTGCACACCGGGACAGAGAGGATGACCAAGGGGGTCAAGCAGCCCCGCTACGAGAGATGAGAGTGCACAGCAACCAGCCTGATCTGCAGGGCTGCTCGAGCGATGTAGTGGTAGACGGCTCCCTCTGACAGCGACCCTGGTGACTGCACTGGCCTGCTCTCGAGGCTGAGTGACAGTGTGCACAGATGGACCTGAGTGCAGGAGGACCATCCACACACGAACAGACTGTGTAGACCCAGAGAGGACTGGAGTCTGCTCGGGACACGCTGACTGTGCCCCCATACGAGAGCACCAGGCAACCACCCGAGCACCCGAGAGGCAACAACAGACACGGGCACCAGAGATCCCCAACCAGATACATTGCTACGCTCATCCACAGGGGCATCAGAGGACCAGGTGGGGTCACCCTCACAGTCAGGGCCTGATAGGAAGCCAGAGGACTCACGCAGCACAGTAGGTCCAAGGGAGGCACACTCCAGGCAGGTGAGCAGTGGCAGAGCCCTGACAGCTGCCAGCCCCCATGACACCCAGGCAGGCACCAGACTCACCGAAGACTCCGCTGGCCTCGACTGTCTTCATTGATGACCCGAGGGGGCAGCAGCCAGAGGAGTGAGGAGGCCTTCGGACGCCACAAGAGGCCCGGCTGTCCAGCAGGCTACGAGGCAGACAGGTGACCTCTGAGCACCACCCAGGCACAGAGCCGACCATCAGAGTGATGCCCGATCACAGAGATGATCACGAGCACCCTCCACTGCACTCTGAGGGGCTGTCAATCATCCCAGCTGCCTCTCATAGCAGACCTCCTTGGGGGCAGTGCAGTGGGTCCCAGCTCATGCAGGAGGGTGCACGCCCCTCGGCATAGGATGCCCCGGCTCTCCCCGAGGGGTCATCAGAGCCACGAGAGGTGTTAAGGTTAGTAGACCACACCGGGAACTCCCGAGGGCACAGCAGGTGATGTTGGGTGATCCTCAGCGTGCTCCTCTCTGATGGTAGAGCATCCTGAGACCAAGGAGGCTCACCTCTGCCTACGGACGACACACAGCGCTCCACAACGAGGACCCACCAGGAGCAGCACAGCTGGTCACGGGGATAGTGCAGCCACCCGGTGCCCCACCATGCCAGTCTTCTGGGCCATCACACTAGAGGCACGAGAGAATCCATCCCATCCACAGGCTCATCCACACCCCTGCTGGCCCGAGGTGAACTACCGTCGAGGCACTGGACAGGGCATGCCAGGGGCTCAGCAGATCCACACAGAGCATCAGCACAGAGCATCAGCGAGTAGCAGGAGAGGCTGCGATGGCCTGCCTCAACCCTCACGCACCAGCCAGACAGAGAGGCAGTACTGCCCGAGACAAGGGGCCAAGGGAGGCGCTCAGTCAGGGGGACACGACACGATCGTCGGTGCCTGTGTCTTGGAGTGCAACGAAGGCTGGGGATCAGACACAACCACCTTAGCAAACAGAGCGGGGATCACCCACCACCCCACTGGCCCACTAGACCCAGGGACACATACGAACACCCACCACCTGGTCCCACCAGAGCCCCTCCAGCCTCACCGCCCCATACCCCCGCCCCACCCACCAGCCGGCCCACTGGGACCTACGTGACCGCGACTGTGGGACCACTGCCCAGAACCACAGCCGGACGGACACCGAGGGGCCCAGCCAGCGGAGAGCCCGGTGGCAGCCCCTGACAGACGGGGCATCTAAAAAGGACAGCGACCCGGGCTTCACCCACCGTGAAGGAAGACCAAGGAGAGGCGCCACTGGTGGACGATGTACATGGTGAGTAAGCGGAATCCCAGGCCGACTGAGCAAGCATTCCCGGGTGTGCACACTCAGCTGAGCACACCCCTGCGGAGCGACCAGGGAAGGTGCCAGGTTTTAGATATACTAAAAGAGAGGAGCTCCTCGTTATATCATCCACAACCAACCTTTGTCTCCGGACACGGCCAAAGGAGCGAGAATTTATTCGTGAGATTTCTGGATCGTACCTACAAGCACCCGGTAGCACATCCATATAAGCTACATAAAGTAACGCGTTTACTACCTAAGTCTACGCCTTCCCCCTGCAGAGGAACCACCAGCAGAGGAAGCCCACGAGACCCCCCACAACGACGATGACTGCGACGGAGATCCCCGCGATGGCGCCAGTGGAGAGCCCGCTCTTGTTCGTGCTACCACCGGCACTGTCACCGTTCATGAGGTAGCAGAGAACGGAGCCAGTACTAGACGATGGAGGAGCGCAGCTCATGCAGCCAGCAACTCCCTTGACACTTCCACTGTTGCTGTCACACGAAGTGCATGGTCCAGCTGCTGATCCGACCATATAGTACCCAGCTGCGCATGACGTACACTGGTCAGAGCTATCTGCAGCTGAACATGTATTACAGGTTGAATGACACGAGGGGCATGCTCCATCATTGGGCCGAAGACTATTAGCACATGTTTCGCACTTACCCCTGCTATCAGCTAATGTGCATATCTGTTTGCCTGGCTGCTTGGTAGTTTCATAGCAGCCGCCTTCCTTGAGGAAGTAGTTAGCGGCGCATTTGGTACATGCTCCATTATTCATTTCAGTACAGAAAGCTACTCGTGCGTTACTTGTTGTACAGACCCCGTTCAGAGGAGCCTGATTATCCACTGAGCACTGGGAGCAGTAGTCTGTCCCGCCGATCCTTGCCCCACAGACCTTACATCCGTTCTTGTCCGCCGTACACGCATCCCCGCAGGTGCCCCCTTGCACAGGATCACTACTTTTGTATATTAATGCCTTGCCAGCAGGACAAGCACTACACTGATTGTTGGCTGGCCCAACGCACTCAGCGCACTCAGGGCTGCATGCCTTACACTTCCTGTCAGTATCTCCATAGTATCCGCTGATGGTCGTGCAGTCAGGTATGCACTGGTTTGTTGGAGTGAGATAATTGTTGTCATTACATTCAGTGCAGACCTCTCTGTCAGTCTTCGGGTTATCACAGGCCTTGCAGTTGGGAGTATTGCAGGCCCCTGCCTTCGGAACACACGTGAGCCCGTCCTCTGACGGCTGGTACGTCTCCGTGCACGTGCAGATTCCTCCTGCCTCGTTTGCGTTATCGGGGCACTTCGCTATGCAGCCCTTTCCGTTCGGCTGGACCTTCTGTCCGACCGTCGCACAGCCCGTGCATGTCTGCTCGCCCCCAGGAGGCGTTGCGCACGTGCTACAGCCGGGTATCGGTGGGTCACAGGCCGTTTTCGGGCCGATTCCTGCTAGAACCGTTGTGCACACTAAAAGAATTACTGCCAACATTAAGTTTAAGCTTACGCTCGATTATTATTCTCTTCAATTAAGCTTATAATTAATCCATAAGTTATAGACAAACCACTGTTACCTTTTGATAAATCAATTAGAATGGAAAAGAATAAAATCAAGAGCACACCTACCAGAGGCCGGCTGATAGTGCGGTTCTCCCTGGCTTCAATAGAAACAGGATGAGTGAGGGCTAGACTCAGATCGTGCGTCCCTGCGGAAACTAATAATTGTTCAGAGATGCATTCCTATACATTGCTGTCAGTATGTTTGTCGACTTTTTTGCAGAGGCAAGGTGTAGATTTAGGTAGTAAATGCGTTAACTGATATGTGCAGATCCCTCTGTGCCCAGCTCGGGCTCCTCAGTAGCATACCTGGATCTGATGGATAGAGAAGCACACCTACTATAAGCATCTCTTGCTGATGGCCTGTAACCACCTTTTACAGTCCAGTGTGCATCCTCTAGTGCTCCACTTCCCCCTGTGGCCAGTGTATCTCTAGGGCGAAGCAGACTCTTTTGAAAAGGTATTGACCTAGCACCATGAAGGAGCGCGGGGCACTGCACTGGGCCCGTACACAGGTCAGAGGCCCGTAGTTGTAGGTCAGCAAGATCCCGGTGCGACGGTCGGGTGCTCGTCCATCAGAGCTCTCAGGATGGTGGCCAGGGGGCAGGAGCGACGCCTTTCTTGTCGGTCGCGACGCTGGTCAGTTGTCGATGCAAAATGTGCAAGGCCCCACAGGCGAGGAGCACAGAAGGGCACAGGGAGCGTAAGGCCACCAGCAACTCGTAACTTTTTATATCTTGGTGGCCGGTCTCAGCACTTCGTAGGTGCAGATATGAGAAGCTGGGCCGAGTGATCTGCTGGTGGAGGGGCCGACACACACTTCTCTAAGGGTTCTGCCATGGGTGACGACGATGGTAGGCCGCACCACTGCAGGACCGACGCACGCCAGAAATAGATGAAAGGCTCGCAAGCAGGTGCAGACTGGAGCGCCAGCCGCTGGCCGGATCACCCGCACAGGCACGCTCTGGTTACTTCAATAGATGGTTCAGTGGCACCTTAACGGAAAACACTGCTGCGCTCCACTTGCTGGCCATTTGAGGCACGCAGGTTCGATTGGTCCCAGGGCCACCGCTAAGCGTGGCATGACAGGCTATCTCCCAACATCGGGCGGCGGTAAGACTCACGCCTACTTTTAGCCAACTGAGCTCGAAGCAATCCATGCCCTTGCGGGTCCATACTGGCGTGGTCTGTACAGCTATGCGCAGTGATGCATAACAGACCTCGGAACCGTAGACACCCTGGGCGCGCCCCTTGCTGCGCAGGGCCAGGGACGCCGGGCGTTTTTAGGCTGTCTACCTGGATAGGGTTGTATTCTGGAATGAATAGTAAAATGAAACGCGCTCCAGCGTTCATGCTTAATCGAAGCATAATACATCACTCCAATAAATTGAATGCAAGATCATGAGGTTACACTTGTTTCATCTTTCTACATGGCACTACGTCCTTACCGTTGAATATCAAGGTGTATGGGACTCACTGCCTGGTACGATGCATCTTTGTACAGTTTTGCAGAGGGACACGGTCATTACACAACAAGGTTCAGTAGGTGCTCCCGCCTTCACATTTGCCACCGTCTACACTGAACGAAGCGTTGCTCTAGTTGTCTCCAGATTGTCTGTAGTTTACTATGACAAGGCACTCTCTAAGTACATCAGTGATCTCGATATAACTGCTTTAGATATTCTCGCCCTGATGCTAACCAGTAATGATGATTATGAGCGTGTAGCATTAGAAAGTTACAAGCAGATAAAACTAAAACGATACCGCTATGCCGGACCTGTTCTGCAAAACGAATATTCCACTATAGTGTTGCACAATATCATTCATGCTCAAAAGTCAATATCGTATCTTCTTAATAGGCAACTGCTTCCAGTCTCTTTGGCAACTGACATATTCAAGATATTAAAAAGTGTTGAGGCCTCTAGAATCCGCGATAGACTTAAAAGCGATTTCCAGAAGACATCACAAATACTACTGCGTCTATCCAGCTATTTTAGTGATATGGAGTTACTGTTAATTAGTCATGAGCCCTATTCTTCTCGTCTCTCAGATAAGGATGCTTCATTTATAATAAGGACAACAAACCCTTATTTCTCCATTGTTCACGTTCCTAGAGGGCTCGCTCAGATTGCTACGCCAACACCTGCACAACTCACATCACTATTGAACGCCTTTTCTCCCTCTGAACAGGCTAAGATTGTTATGGAATCCGGATGTACATTATCTGTTCAGATTTTGTCTAATAGCACTGCTGATGCCCTCAATCAAGAATATCCCCACACACTTGCATATCTTATGCGGCACTATTTTTTTCTTCCAACACTCGTCCCCTTACTCCTCCCGTTTTATAATATCAACAGGATATTCCCCGTGCTGACAGATCCACACCTCTCTTACCTACATTCGCAATCACCTGATTCTGTTGATGCTACTATCTTCTCTGATGAACCAGCAACCTGTACATCGCCCCTCTCATTAAAGCCTTCAATATATATCGAACTGGCGAGGCGCTACGATCTTCGCAGTCCAAATGACAAGTCAGTATGGCTGACACTAGAAGTTTCTCAGCCCCTTTCTCGGGTAGGGTACATGTATGCTCCTTATGTGATTCTCTCTACTGCGTTCTCGACCCATACACTGCACCCAGATGATTGTAAGATAATCTTTGACAGGGTGAAAACGTTCGAAGAGCAGCAAACGCTGTATTTTTGTCAGGGCCGCCTAGCAACTGAGATATCCTCTTCAGGAGTCGTTCTTAGCGATATTGGTATGTTAAAGCACACTGTTCTCAATCCTATCAATAAATCCATGGCTTCAAGTGACATGGGTGCGTATAGTTTGGCGGACGCCGTGGTTCCCATATTCAACCAGTCTCCGGTTGATGGATCGGCGTCTGCCGGGTACTTTAGTCGCGAGGAGTTCTCAGAGGTGCTGTCCCTGTTTTCCAACAAAGTGAGTGCATTAGAGCAACAGCTAGCTGTTATCCATGCTGTATATGAAGACCTTTACCTGGCTATTACAGCCGGTCCTCCTGCACATCTCACAAATGATTCTAATATCTTCTACTGCTTGTCATGCGAAGACAGCTGGAGAGCATACCGGCTTGACTGCTTTAAATATTGGCAGGGCGTTGCACCGTGTATAGATAACGGAGCGGCAAAGGCTTTGGATAGTTGCAGAGTGCTGTTAGAAACCGACACAGAGCTTTGCTCTTATCATCCAGCGAAGGCCTTGTCTGATAAGCCTGTCCAACTATCTAAAAAGGACCTGAGGCAATACACTGCTACTCAAGTCAATCCTTTGCCTCTTTGTAGTCTCATGAAGCGACCCATCCTTATTGATAAGAGATGGGCTCTGCAGCAACAAGTGATTCTATACGTTTCCGGAATGGAAAAGCGCTTTGCGTTATCAACAGGCCAGATCTATTTCTCTATTCGACTTCACTATCCCCAGCTGAATCTCTATATTATTAGGATAGAAACGGCACGAATACTTACATGTGGGCAGTTTATTGCCGCTCTTGTGCTTATAGAGGATATCAATCTCAGTCTTAGCGACTATTTGAACTATCTGTCTGATTCCATTGTATTTACGCATGCACCACCGGCTTCTACCCTTCCATCAACCAGCGTCTATCATTGTTTGTTTACTTTTAGCTTGGATGGGGCCTTCATTGGAATCCAGCCTTTGCTGCTGGGAGGACTGGGTCGTTATTATCGATCGGACGATGCTGATGCTTTTACCGTTCGTACTCTGGGCATTCCTACAAGGAGTCAAACAAAGCCTGCCTCTAAGGTGGCCACGGCTTCATTTGATAGCACTTTTCCAGTGTATACAGGGCCTCTGGTAGCATCTCTATATACACGCATATTAAGTGACGTTGCAAGCCTTGCTGTCTCTGTCTCTTCTAGCGTTTATATTTGCCTTCATAATTTGCATTTAGTTTTACATCTAGACGTCCTAACAGGAGAAAAGACGTTGATGGGATGTATGCAATCTCTCGTCCATCCGTACAGCACTCGATTTGTGGTATCTTCAAGTGCTTCATTGCCAATCTTTATGGACATGAAGCTGCAGTCCATATTGCTCCCAGCATCTGCATCGAGCCTAGTGGGAGAGTTGCTTTCTGACTATACTGACACAGAGGTTGTTGACATTCTCCAGAAGGATCATACTATTGACACAGGGCCAGCAGCTTCCATTGCCACATATGCATTAGAGGAGTCAGACGAGATTCGGACTCCAGGCTACTGCACAGATACATCTGAAGGCGAAGTCGATAGTAAAAGGAAGGGCTCTCCTACAAATCCCCAGACTAAGCTCGACATGCGGTTTTCTCTCTTACTGAGTGACAACGGTAGACAGTTCCTTAGGCCACGTCTATTCAAGCCAAACAGATTGTCCATTACTTACTATTCCAAAAAGCATGGTGTTTCTTTAATCTTTGACGACACTATCATGCACTTTCCACACTATCCGGTAGCAATTTCTCGTTTCCATCTTAAAGATACACACCTGATTGCCGTCATTGGCCAGGGCAGAAATAAAAATTACTGGGGAGTTACATTTACCGAGTGTACCTTTGGAGGCTCGTGTTCCCTTGTGCGACAAATGGTAGTTGACTTGGGGGTTCCGTATATCTGCGAATCTCACCCCGTCCTCAACACCACCACCTCCCAAGCTCCACCTTCGTCCACTGGCAAAATTAGTACAGCATCCATATCGTGCACCGGAGATTCTCTAATATTTACTGTCCCTACAAAGTCTTTAATGCCAGGAAATTCCGGACAGATGATCCCTGCGACTAGGCTCGTTGAAGTAGGATTTTACACGGAGCTCCGACAGGTAGCTGAGATTGCTGGTGTCTATCGCACGCACACACCATTTAGGATTGTCAATTATCAGATACGACCTGTTGAGGGCTGCTTAGGAACATAGTGGACACATAATCTGCAACAGGTCGGGCAAAGGAGCCCCGCACCGGATGCACGTATTGGACAAGCTATTCCCATCATCAGTGTCGGGTCCCCCCGCAGTTTCAAGACGATCTTCCTCCTTTCGCTTCAGAAATCTGCCGAAGATCTTTTTTGTAAGCATCACAAATGAGGACGTTCGTTCTTTTGTAGAATTTGTTGTGGTAACTTCTGAGGTGGTTTCTTGGTCTACGTGGGGACTTTGTGCTACTGTCTCTGGGAGTGGAGCCTCAGTACCGCTTAATTGCCGCATTAGCGTCATCAGAAGGGACTGAATATCGTCATTCGTTCTAGTGGGATCATCACTCAATGCAATAGCATCAGTGATAAAATCTAAAAGAGAGCTGGTGAACTGAAGGTGCGACCCTATTTGGCGTTGAAGGGCAGTGATAAGTGGAGCTGACTCCTGATGTCTGTCTCGCAATTCCGTGAGGATGCGCGTAAGTTCTGTGGTTGTCTTTAAGTGGTGACTTATTCCAGCTCTGAATTTCTGATGGAGTAGGAGCGTGTTACCTACTGGAGCATATGCTGCTGGGTCTTGGCCAGGCATATATCTAGAAAAGATGTTACTATTAAGAGTGGATGATCTAAGAGGTCTCCGAGCGGATATACTAGGAGATTGGTTAGAGTCATTGCTATCTGTGCTAAATCTGTCCGACTTTATTCGTTTATGCCGTGACGGATTAGTTTCACCTATAGTGTAAAACAGGTCACTCATGCTTACATCGTCAGGATGCACAGATGCGCTTTTTGCTCTATTGGTCCGCCGATACAGGATTGAACCTTGGGCAGGAGACGCTGGTATAAAGTAAGTAGCGTCTGGAGTATAAGTGAACTTTTCAGTGGAACCGATGTCGTGTACACTTGCGCGTTTTGATGCGGGCGCGCTGCTAAACTGCAATGACGAAGAGAGCAGAGCCAGCGCGTCTTCCACAGGCTTAGAAATATTCCCACCCTCAAGGGGCTCTAGATAATCTGCAATATGCTGATAGCCAAGCTCGTATGCAATTGCGTGGGCTGTCATGCCCCTGTTATCTCTAATGCTAGCCTCATATCGAGCAAGCTCCTTTACGCCATCAAAGTAATCTTCTCTGGCAGCCAGCATAGTAGCAGTCTGACCGTTCTTATTTTGCAAGCGAGCCTCTTGATCTATTAGTAATCTGATCACCGGAACACGACGATGGATCACAGCACTCATAAGAGCTGTTGCTCCATTTTCTGCTTGCAGTCCACCCTCTTCCGCTTTGAGCAAATCTACCAAATCGGCATTACCATTGTTCGCAGCCATCATCAGTGCAGTTAGCCCATGTCTGCACTGCATCCCCGCTTCTTTTAGGGCAAGAATACGCGCAGAAATGCGTTTGTTGCAGATGACAGCCATCATAAGCGCAGTCACCCCTTTGTTGGTTGTCATCCGTGATTCACGCTCTAGAAGTATCCTAATAATCTTGAAGTAGTCACGTTCAGCAGCTAGCATCAGCGCTGTAAATCCTACCGCATCTTGCATACCTGCCTCGTGGTCAGAAAGTAGCTGCGCGCCCTCAGTGTGATTCCGCCTGGTAGCTATCATAAGCGCCGTTGTTCCATTAAGTGTCTGCTTCCGAGCTTCATAAGGCGCAAGAATTCTCATAGCATCAAGCTGCCTATTCTCTGCAGCAAACATAAGCGCAGTTCGACCGTGATGGTCTGCGTGGCCAGCCTCAAACCTGGAAAGATGCTGGACAGCGCGCACGTTTCCCATGGCTGCAGCAAACATCAAGGCGGTGATTCCGTGACTTGTTTCCGCGCCGTGATGTTCTGCAGTATGGGTTTCTAGAGCAGCCAGGTCGTTCTTTGCCGCTGCAATCATCAAAGGAGTAACTTCTGTCGAAGTTAAGGGAGGCTCCATATCAAAAAACAAGTGTGCCAGATTACTGTGGGACATATCCAGATCGCTATCTAGATCGTGGAGGGTCTCAGCATTCCGCCCGTCCATCCCTTTTTTTGTGACAGGGAAATCTTTATTTATTTACTCTAAGAAGGATGTTGCCGCTATTTTCTGCCCAGAAACTTATCTGCATAAGACCTTACCAGCGGTGGGTTAGTCTTCTCCTCTGGTTTTGAGGTTTCTGCAGGGTTAGCTTTTTGTTCTGGCTTGGACGCAAGATCAGCTACCTCTGGCTTCTTGGTAGCTTGTGTCTTTGCTTTTGCCCTGTTCATCAGACTATTCATGCGCTCAGCTTTAATATTCTGTTTCGCCTTGACCTCGTTCTGTATCTCCTCCAGCACCTTGTCCCTATCGGCTTTCCAACTTGAGTGAAGATCAGTATAGACCTGGCGGCAATCACTTATGTATGACTCTACAAACTCATCCAAACCTGGAATGCTGTTATATAGCGCTAACTCCTTCATGCTTTCCATATGCTTTTCTTTCTCATAATTTTGAGACGTCTCATGTATCCGCATGAGAATAGGTTGAAGATACTCATGTTCGGTGGAGTCTAGCAGCTTAAGACGGTCTGTAGCCTCTTTTCTTGCAATAAGGAGAGTCAGCTCTGCAAGATTCGAGATACGGACATCACGGTCGAATCTCTTCTGTGCCCGATCATGCTCAAATTGGTGATGCTTGATTTTAATGAAGTCATTTGGAGCCTGAACGCTTTCGAGATCAAAAGATGTCAGATAGTTGATTAGATCAGTGTCGTGCACTCTGCCAGCCACTTCTTCTATAAACTGTTTAGCCAGTTTGATTTGAAGCTGCCGGATTTCTGCTGCACGCTTGGCCTTGCGCTGTTTATTCTGAGCTTCCAGGTCAAGCGCCTCGTCACGCTTCTGCCTCTGAATGACCATCTCCTTGTACTCCTGAAGCCTTTGCTGCTCTAGTTCGCGAGCCTCTTGAATCCTGCTCGTACGTAACTTAGCTGAGGATTGTATTTGTTTAAGCTTTACGGAGCGTTGGTCAGTGTAGCTATAATCGGAAAGATCCTGCAAAGATTGCATAATAACCAATTGTGCAAGTGTTATATTGTTGTACTGGGATGCAGAGCACGTTAGTAAGGCGCTGGCATTAAGGCTCTTCGCTAAGTTAGATGAGACTTTGCTGTCAGCGTGTGGGGCAGAGTCAAATATGTTGGTAGTAAAGCACGCGTCGACCTTGTTCAAGTAAAAGGCACTAACCGTAGCATATGTTAGAACATCGATCACCTGAGACACGAAGTTATAGCGCCCGATAAAGGTCTTGCATCTAAGGGCATCGATGATGGTCTGCTGTATGAGTTCGCGTTTGTATAAATCATCGTTGGCAAGTTTGTCAGAGAATAGGCCTTTCAAAGCGACCATGACATCATCAAGAGTGACTTGTGTCGTCAAAGAAGTCAGTGTATCTAAGGTCAAGTCCTGGTCGTGGTGTTGTTGTACATAAGAGAGCAAACTGTCATGCGCACGCTCAATGCACAAGAGGGAAATCGCCTTCTTTGCAAGTGCCTCCTGCAGGTACACACAGGATTCACCGAGGCTCCAATTGTCGTACAGTCTTAAGAGGCAGTCTGCGGCCTTGGCAACAAATGCTTCCGCGGTTACAGTGATAAGTAAATCCCTCTCAGTATACAGCAGCGGAACCAAGTCGAGTAGTCCTTTCTGCAAGTTGTTAGAATAAGACGCTATAATATCCTGTAAGATATAATCCAAGATCGAGATTGATGTGATTGTTTCACTGATTGCTGCAAAAGAATTCCCATTGGCCAAGTTCTTGGTCTGGTAAACGGGGTTACTTTCTAAAGAGATAGCATGAACCTGCCTATCAAAACAGAATGCATTGGACGTGACCATGGATGCCGGGGTAAGACGTGTTATACTGGGATGGTTTATGAAGAAGCTTGGATTTGTGCTACGCGTGTTCCCAAACATATTAGCGTGGTTCATTAACATAGACGACTGCATGCTGTCTTGGCGAAGAGAAAGCAGTATCGCGAAGGCCTCATTTATAAGCGTATTCCTGACGTCTTGGTCTAGGGATGATATCAGCTTGACGGCCTTATATAGAGAGATACCTGCTGCAAAGAGATACCCCTCGGATGAGAACACAGAGATGGCTGCCTTTAAGTGCGCAGCAACCGCTGCATTCAGGTCAGCAAAGGTAGCAGGAGATGCACCACCCTTGGTACCAATAGCTTCGGTCATTGCGGTAGAGGGTCCCGTACGCAGCTGAATTGCGTTGTCGAGGCCTCTTTCCTTAGAGAGTGTGGAAAGAAGCGGCGTGGTTAAATCTTGCACTGAGGAGCACGGTGTACATGAAGCTCCCTTGCTGATCTCAGCGTATACCTGGATGATAGACTGGGTCGAAACCATATCCACAAGGTCTGGTGTCTCTTCTCCTACTAAGTATTCACAGGAAAGTTTGTGCAGGGGTACACAGGCTCGTGAAATAGAATTGGTGAGCAGCAAGATGTCGGCTGCAGAGCTCTCCAATAGTTTGATGGCGAGAGTGGGTAACCCAAATGTATGGCAAAACGGAATACAAACAAGCTTGCAATAAATGCCAGAAACCAGTGTGTTGGGCTTCTCATACTCAGACTCAGGAGACTTTACATCCACACCCGCGCCCGGACCCAGGTCTGAGTCAACCTCTCCCACGTCTGTGAGGCTGCGATCCTTGAGGTACTCAACTGCAACGGTCAAGTCAGACTTGAAGGTCATCTCCATGAACCCAGAGAGAACGCGATCGGTCACCGCTATAAACTCGTGTTTTCGGTTAAACCGGCTGCATAGCAAGAAGAGGGCCTCTAAGGCGTCCTTATAGAGTCCAACCATTGTCGTGCACCTCAGCGTTTCGACAATCATACGTAGTGCCAAGAAGGCGAATATTACTGTACGCGCCTGTGGCGGATACTTGTGTAAATCGGCTAGTTGTACAGAGAAAAGCGAAGTAGCCCTCTCGTTGGATCCCCCCAGCGGTGCCAACATGGCATGGTCAAAGTCAGGCCCTATGCCATCAAGCGTGCTTTGGACACGCCTTATGTAATCACGGAAGGCCTGATCGACGGTAAATGGAGCGCTAAAGCTGAACAGCTTTCTATAGTGATTTAGGCTCTGGCGCGATGCTGGAAGTTCATGCAGAGAAATAGCAAGTTCGTTATGCAGAAGAAGAACGGGAAGGAATGGCTCTGTAATTACCTTCGGCATGTTACGGGAGACCAGTATCGGCTTTTGCACGTCAATAAAGCTAGAAAGCTGCTGGAGTGCTGCGCTGGCATCGCCGGCTGCTTGTGCAGCGCGTGCCTTGGCCAGCACATCCGAAAAGTCGCTCTTTCTCATTTAACTCAATTTAATGCGAATTTATGACAATACCCTACCATACCATACACTACATTGGCTGCATTTTTAATTTTCATAATTAAGAGATAGAGAGTCCTGCATCTACCATAGATCTTATACGGTCTATAGCCTCTTCAGATGAGGTGCAATTGATAGCCACAAGAATCACTTCTCACATGGAGCGAGCCTTTCAGAGCCGGGCTAAGCAGCTACATATGATTGTTTTTGGCCTGGGCTCACTTACAGCCAAGCATTCTGCTAAGATCGCCTGTCTGCAACTTGCATTGTTCGAATGTATAGCAGGCTATATTGACGATGACGAGTCCTCTATCCCAAAGTATGCCATTGACCCTCTTTTTACTGAGCGTGATCGTACTATATTATCTACGCTGGGTTATTCTATTCTTCCAGCACAAGATAGTTGCGTACTTTCATCATTCCTGAACTTGCAAGAATCGGATAGGGTGCTTTGTTATCTTCCGCACCTTCCTCTTCACTTGGTTCTTTCGGCCCTTCTTTCGGCCCCTTCTGGCAGTACGTTTTTGTGCCCGTCGGTGAAAAAGGTCTTAGAATTAGAATTTCTGACCGATTCCAGCTCTCAGTTATATCATCTATCCTCAAAACTCAAGAAGTTATGGGATGAATCCGACGAATACGATTGGCTCAAAAATAATACAATCACCATTCAACCTATTGTAGAAACGACTCTTCTCAGGAGTGCCAATGTGGCTTACAATTGCACGTCTGTGTATATACGGCCTTAGTATAGCTTCTATTGGAGATTGTAAAGAGATAGAAGGTAGGTAACAAACAACGTGTTCCTTGAGCTGAGGGGGCTCATCTGCTCATCTTTGCTACGTAAAGATGAGACATTGACTCAATCTGTACATCAGAAGATTTACTAAGGACTTCTATGCTACTAGCAAGGCAGTATCAATATGATGAGCGCAGATTCGCATGGTCGGGTTTCCATTAGAACGCCAGTGCTCTTTCTCCATGGTCCTTAGCGCACATCTGCCTGTTGGATGCTTTTGTGCTTACATATCTCTCGCTTCTCTTGCCTCTTGCAACATTCTTCTTCTAGTCTGGTCCAATCGTGCAGCTGTGCAACCACAAGCAGCTTAACACACTCCCTTGCTGGAGTAAATTGCTAAGAAGTGACCACAATAAATAGCACAGACCATTCACATGCAGCTAAGCTGAAAGCTCGCCCCTCAGGATGTTCGCTATCTCCGGTATAGTTCTCATCTCAAATGCCGTCGGCCTCTTTTTAGGATCAGGGTTCAGCATGGATGACACTAGGTTGACTAGCTTCTTCGAATATGTCGTTATTATCAGCGGAAGGCGTATCTTCTTCAACGCCTCCAAGGGCTCCTCTGGATTGTCTTCCACCAAGACCCGCTTCATCATGATTTCATACATGGTGCAGCCAAGCGCAAATATATCCACCTCGCGACCATAGCCTTCGTTGACGATAAGCTCCGGAGCGTAGTATTGAAGAGTCCCCTGGATATAACCCATCTTTCCCTCCATGCTGAGAAGGTCGCGAGACCACCCGATGTCAGCCAGTTTGCACCTTGTTTCGGAGACCATGAAGATCCTGCGGGGCATGATGTATCGATGGATGATCGCTCGCGTGAATCTGTGCTCGATGTCCTTCATGCGGGACGGTTCATGGAGCTGACAGATGGCCTCCACCAAGCAGGCCAGAAGACACCAGCAGGTCTGCTCAGGAAGGAACTCATCCTCAGGAAGACCGTACAGGTAGTCGTTGAGCGTGCCCATGGGGAAGTCCTCCATGAGGACAAACACCTTCTTGCTCTTTGCTTCATATGTCGCCTCATGAACCGTGGCAAAGAAAGGCGATGCGACCTGTGTAGAGAGCGTGATGTCCGTCTTGCAAAGGTCACACACCTTGGTAGTGTACTCTTCAAGAGAGATCTGACGACATAAATATCGCTCTCCTGTCTCTTTGTCCTGGACCTCCACCAGACGCTGATACTCTGCCTCCTCGATGACACCCACTTCAGTGTACTTATCCGCGAAAGAGAAGGTTTGCATTTTTTATGGGTGCATGGAGTGTGAGTTTTTTTGACTCTGTGGCGTCTAAAGAAGAGGGAATTGCAGTACACGGAAAATGGGTTCAACTGTCTTAGGGACAAGGGAGGGATCCACCTGTTTGCAATTAATAAAATGTCAACGACGACCGGGCCTTCTAGCACACAATTGCCCACACTACCGCGTCCATACAGCTACATAGAGACATCTGCATCACACAAAGCGGACTCTTCTCATGCTACCGCCCGTAATACTGTCACAGGGGAGATTCTACTCTGCCAATTTTCCCGAGGCCCTCAGCTGGATGAGGCAGGTCGTTGGCTTTTACAACTTGATGCGCAGTACATTTGTATGCTGCAGCATGCCAATCTTCTGTCCTATCGCTCCATATACTACGATCCTCCTTTGAGCACTTTGACCATTTTGACAGAGATCCCTGGCCAAAGCCTGTTATCTTTTTGCACTGAGCATTATGCTACCGCGGGGATCCTTCCGCCCGAGTGTATCCTGTGGCGCATCATAGCCCAGACCCTTTCGGTCTACCATTACTTGCAGACCCAAGAGCTCTCCCTCTGCGCCTCTGAGGCCGCCCAATACCATTATTATATTATTCCAACTATGACAAACACATATGTGTCTGACAGCTCGTCATCTTTTTCTATCAAATTGTCATTCGTGGGCGCGACTCACAGTGGGCTAGACTATAGCATTACTCAACCGGAGGACCTATTGTTCAGGCAGTACAGGCTGGCTGATGCCGAAAGCTTCTCTTTCACCCGCAGGACGAACGTGATTCTTAGCTTAAAGGCATTGGGCCTGCTTCTATATAATTTCATCTCGTTTGGAGCTTCCCACCAACTATCTACAGACCCTCTGTCTCAAGAGAAGATAGAGGACATATTAGACTCTGAACAATTTAGAAGCTACTCCCCGGAGTTCCGCAAGATTTTTTCACTCTTTGTGTCTCCAGGAATATACATTCAGGAGAATGCTATAGATATCACCCATAGTGACATAGATCTTCTTTCATTTTTATCTCATCCTATGATTCTATCTGCATTAATAAAATTTGACAATATCAATCTACAATTAAGGTTGCAATCCGTTAAAAAATTATATTCAAAAATTAAAGCTGGGGCCCGAAAATGGCTGGCTAGGAAGGGCTTGCTTGTTAGGGGAGTCCTTGAAGACTCGGTGGTAGCAGGAGAGTCACGGACTAAGGGCGATAGCAACTCAAAGCAGCGAAAGGAAAAGCACCATAAGATGAAGGTAAGCTTTCATACTGACCTTTCTGTGCAGAATTATGACAAGAACAGTTGCATTGACCCCAGTGTAGCGTTGGCCATACTAGATAATCCTGCTCCACTCGCAACTGACTTTGCTTTGTCTGCAAACATTACTTCAAATGATAACATAACTGAGAACAGGGCACCACAACCCCTAACTTCTGATATGAGCTCTGCCTCATCAGGCTATTTTATCATTTCAAAGAAGTGTGACTGGAACCATTGCATCCGTGAGCTAAGAAAGGGGCGAATAAGGCCATATAGGTATACTCGCATATTTATTAATCATGAGCCAATGCTCAGTGAGTATGACACCCTCAATAATAACGATCTGATGCCCGACACTTTAATGGAAGAAACTAGTCTCTTTGTTAGCCCTTTGATCCTAGCAGCTCTAGAAAACGATGTAAAAGCAATCTCAGAATTTGCACCAAAATATGCAGGGTTGCGCTCTGATCGGGACGGAATGACGGCCCTCATGTTGGCTGCCGAAGCAGGACACATCGAGGCCACGCTTGAGTTGCGTAACTACGAGGCCTGCTTACGGAGCACTACCTTCGCCACTGCCATGATGCTAGCTGTTGCTGCGGACCAAACAGAAACAGCCAAGTGTCTTGTTGAATATGAGCACGGATCCACTGACAAGACCTTGCAAACCGCGCTACGTATTGCGGTTGATCGCGATAATATTGATATGGTGTTCCATTTGGCTAAATATGAGAGCGAGATAGGAGACCTGGACAATTACACACCACTTATGTGCGCCATAGAGCAACGAAAGTATGACATTGCTAGGCTACTGGTTCCATATGCTAGTAGGTGCCAAACAACAGACAGACACAAAAAGACCGCTTTGCTCTTGGCGTTAGAGCAAGGTTACCTGGATTTGGCAGAATGCCTCATACCCCTTGAGGCGTGTCTTCAGGATGGCAATGGAACTACTGCTCTAATAGTCGCCATTGAGCAAGGATATGTAGACATTGCCGGTAGGCTTGTTTTGGAAGAGCAAGGACTATGCGATAAAAAGGGCAGAACGGCACTTATGTACGCGGCAAAAAGAGGCTCACATGGATTGGTACACAAATTAGTGGATGCGGAAGCAAAGAGGCAAGACATCAAAGGTTTCACAGCTCTTATGGTGGCCGTGGCAAAAGAGCATGTTGAGCTTGTTGACATCCTAGCACGCCACGAGGCAGGCCTTGCCAACAATGAAGGCCAGCGTGCTATAGATATCGCTATTCATAAAAATAACCAGGAGATAATCTCCATTCTACTAGAGCATGAAGGACAATATCTTTCTCATGAAACTTTGCTAAAACTTCTCAAAACATTTCATAGTTCAGACATCCCCATCCTCCTTCGGCTCAGTACTCTCCTTCAGAAGCATTCCGCCCGCTTCTCTCTCGTCTTGTACGCGTCATCTCACAGCCTTAACGACCTATGCAGTCACATCCTTCACTACCCGCAGCTGGTTGCTCGTCACGACCATCTTTATCTTGTAACATATCTTCAACGTACAAACAAAGACACAGAGAATGTCTGGAAGAGCTATTTTAAGGCTGTGAACACAAATCAGGCATTCAGGATTAATCATTTGATAATGAATGCCCGTCTTAGGAATAAGGAACTACACAGTTACATAGACGAAAAGGCCAGTGGCGTCCTTCGCTTTAAGATGTTCCTGGAATACGTTATTGTAGCCTCTGTGCAAAAGGAGTTCGAGCCGCTGGAGAAGTACTGCTCAAGCATGGCAGTGTGCTCAAAGCGTAAAGGCTTTGAGCGGCAGAAGGTTCCCATGCACGCTGTGGGAGACGTGTCCTTTATTGATTTGATGGTCTCCTCAAACCCCAATGGCAGTATTCAGTCTCCAATGGAATTTCTCGCGCCTCGGCCTCCAGAACTCCGTCGTCCAGGGGAGTTTCCAGTCAAGAGCTTCTCTACTTCTCTAGCGAACATTTTGATAGACTTCTTATTGGAATATGCAACCACCCCCGTCGAGAGTCTCCCTCATCTCTGTGGAGTCTATGACGCTGCAGCTAATGACATGGCAGTGCTTGTGGAGGAGCTGGAAGGGCACAACCTTTGCTGCTACTGTCATGTACAGCCGATGTCACTGATTTACTGGCCTTGCAGGCACCTTTATGCGTGCTGTGACTGCGCCAGAAGCATTCAAAGACAGTGCTGCGAGATCTGCAGAGGGAAGATCGAGGGTGGAATCCCACTACCGATGCCGCACGACTAAGTATGTCGTTTACTGCTCGTCCAGCTTAGTAAGGAAGCTGTCGACGTCCCCACTGCTCATCCCCACAAAGTTGTGGATGACGCAAGCAGACGCGGGCACCACCTTTATGATCTTGTCGGAATCTGCAAGGCAGCGGACCTGCCCAGTGAGCTCCCCAAGGGTCCTGCGGGTGAACTTCTTGCAGAGGTGCACTTTGTATTCCTTGCAGAGGCACTCGACTATATCTGCGTACTGCTTCTCCTCACAGTCAGATGCGAGGAAGCAGATCTTGGCGCGCTTCCTTTCCAAATACTTGAAAACCTGACGGTGGCCGGTCACGAGGCCGTCCATGTTGTGGATCCTCTTGAACGTCTCCTTAAGGAAGTTCTCTCTGGTCGTATCTGCCATAGTTTTATGGAGAGTCAGCACCAACCATTTTAGTCCATAAAATTTCAAATTAAAGTAATTAAATTTTTTTATTAAACCGTGTTGATATTAAATCTCGTAAAGAAATTTAATCAAAGAAACTTAATGAGCGCTGATGACATTTCCAGCGTTGAAGACATCTCTGGCGGTGTTCCGGCCACCAGCCAGACAGACAACAGTCTTATCGAAGCCTTTTCAGCAGTGACAGACTTGCCGTCCTTTTCTGTGTCTATCGACGTTTCTGACTCCTCGGAAACAAGCGGGTCGGACTCCACATATAACATTTCATTCTACTCGCGAACGCTAGGCCGGAAGAAATGCTTAAACATTAATAACTGTGTCTTGCGCGTTGCAGACGACAAACAAGATGACTTGGCCGCTGCGCTAGAGATCTTTCTAAAAGCTCGAGACCCCCTCGCTAACCAGAAGTTCTACAACTACCCCAGCCTAGAATTTTATGTTGACCCAATTCACACAATTATACTCAAGGCAATAGAAGGGTCGTCTGGCCCCAAAGCAAGAATGTCTGACATTTATGCATTGTCTGCCCTACAGTGTGATCCCTCCTCATGCAGAACCGAGGACACACTAATGCGTACCAAGTTGGAGGCCATCTATCCATTGCTTTCGTGGGTTCCTCAACGCTCTAAGGCATACCTAGAGTCTATGTTGCCAGTTAGCATGAGTCGCCATTTGAACCTGCCGGCAAAGCTGTGCATGAGCCAGCCCCTGGGCCGAAATAATGATGAGTCCAACGAAGAAGTTGATGGCGAGGTAGACTGCATAAGGATTCAAATAGGTAATAAGATCCATCCCTTTGAGAGAGTCACAAGCATACCCCATCTAGGAACCACCCTACTATCTAAGGCATACGTCGGCATTGATGATGAATCCCCTGTAATAGTAGAATTCGTCTGTCCAGTCTGCAGCATGGAGCTAAATGTGGATGAGGTAATTAAAGATCTTTTGATTGAACATGGAGTTTCACTGTTAGAGCGTCAAATAGAAGGACTCGACCTTTCGGACCCGGATTTCCCAAAGGATAAGTACACTCTGTCTAGGGTAGAAAAGGCTAAAGAGATCAGCGTCCACGAAGCGGTAGGACATCTTCGTAGAGTCGTGAGTGATTCGCTGCGTGAGTACTTCTGTAGACATCTGGCGAAGGAGAAGTTGAGGCTTCAAGGCATAATGTGCCCCGACGAACTGATGGAGGGGCAATATAGGATATTCATGACAGAGCTTAAGAGGCGACTGGCAGAGGCATCTCTGTAGAATGAGATAAGGCAGAAAGCTTCACCAGAGAGGTAGGGTAGGGACACCAGCTTCAATTCTGCGCATCCATCATGTCCAAAAGTGTAATTATCCCTGTGTATGTGCACACCACGTATAGGCCCACTATGTCGCAATCTTGAGTTCGTCTCAAGGGGCTTTCCATCCGTGCCTTGGGTGCCTTGGTGCCTGAGCCAGGTTTCTTGATTCCTCCGTCCAGGACAGACTCGGTGTCAATGAATATTGCCAGTATGCTCTCGAGTGTCTGGCCGGCCAAGATAATGGCGGCTTTGCTTTGAGTTGTATCTAGCAAGCTTTCCTTCAATTCTTCTATGCACACGCTGTCATTGTCCGTCGCTAGCTCAGTTGACTTCAGAGTATGCCCGTTTATCTTCATCTTCTGTTCCTGCAACTCCAAGAGATGGCGCAGAGCGATCCTAGCCTTTGATTTGACACTTAGATGGTTCAATATTATTCCTATCTGAGCGACATTCCTATCAGTGACATTTTTGGGACTGTCTCCCTCCAGGTCCAACGCTCGAAACAAGGACTCGTTTTGAAGTTCGCCACTCATAGTTTTCTCCTTTATCGCTTTCTGGATGAGAGAGTTCTCATTCATGGACGCTATGGTGTTTCTCACCCTTTCATTTAGCTCTGCAATAGTACTGCTGTACGTGTCATAGAGGGATAAGGCCCGTATGTACTTGATGCGGAACTTACTGTGATCAGCTGGTGATAAGACACGGAGCCTGCTCAGTGACGATTGCTTGATGGACACGGTCACTTGAGGAATCGCTAACATCAATGTTAGCAGCGAGGTCAGGCTTGGCTGCTTGGTGCTGGTCACGAGTGTCTGCGTTGAGAGTCCAGAGCAATCTAGCTGGATGTGCACGTGCCTGGGCAGCTTCACGCATGGAAGCACACTTGTCAGCTCGCCGATCTTCTCTTTAATAGTTTTCTTCGATAGAATTAATGGTAAAAATTCTATTAAGCATAAAATTTGTATTGATTCAAAGGTTTTTGCCTTATCACTTTGAAAGTCAGTGACGTCGTTTTCTCTTTGTAGGAGGTCAGAGACGTTGAGGTTGTGGAGGTGAAGATACTGTGCTATAAACTCTATGGCGAGCACCTGCAAATGCTGCCAAATGTTCTGCAAAGCTGAATGGCTTGCACAAGGAAGTAGAAACACGCCTTCTAGTTGTCTGAACAGGCGTAGTCGTTCTGCTAATTCCTTTTGGTAATGTTTTGTTCTGAAGAGAGTCATCAGAAGGCCTACAAGTGACGACACCAAACTTGCACCTGTACCCAAATTAATAGTGACCACAATTGAAGGTTGGTGGTTCTTTTTATTCAGCTCGTCTACAGTAGTGAACCGGTACTCCTCTGTGACCCCTGTGTCGGCTAGGCCCTGGCTTTCTAGCAACTTTCTTACTTGATGGGCATCTGGGTCTATCCCGCTCGCTGTAATGCCGGCGATAGGGTTGTAAGCGGAATCTATAGGGTAGGGTAGGTCACTTTCCAGTGTTGATTCCTTAATAGTATAGGGTAATTCATCACATGTAGAGAGACGCACACCGGTCTTCTCAAGTTCTGCACAAAACTCTTCCTGCTTGGCTTCAACCTCTGAAGTGTTAAGAGCTAGATGGCTCAGCTTGTTTAATGCGTTGCTCCGCAGCAGTGTAGTTAGTGATTCTACCAGCACTTTATCTTCGTAGAGTCCAGATGTTACCACTGTATACCCAGAGAGTAAGCTGTGCATGCATGAGCCTATGAACAGCCTAGTGGCATTCCACTTGTGATGGGACATGTGAGAAAATAGAGACGTAAATTCCGTTACTCTTCGATCGGACTGGACAGGCGTTAGCTCTCTCAGATAGCTTTCCCAATGTTTGCTCAGCACATCGAAGCCACCGACTGGACCTAGGGCCATGTCGCGCTTACTGGTCGCCTGCTTTCGGAGTTCTTGGGTTGCATCAGGTGCTGTAGATGGCTGGCTCTGGGTATGTGTCTCCTGTTGACCTTTAGCTTGTTTAGAATTGGTCGTCCTGCTGCTACGAGCTAGCTGCAAATTACTGTTGCATTCTGACAGGCTATATGTCTTTAGCTTACGCTGCGCGGCCTCGTCCCACGCAGCGTACCGTGCTCCTTCCAAAGTAAATATTGGCATACTCAATTTACAATTCCGGAATTCTTGCTTTGGCTCATGAATTCACTTGCATATACATGAACAAGCCTAGCTTTCAGGGTAGCTTCTCACGGGGAAGGATGTTGCGCTTCAGTAGGGTTTTTGCCAGTCTCTTCATACGATAACGGACCTGAATGTCGGTTCTGCCCTTGACATAGTTGGCTATCATCTTCCACTGCCTTGGAGGGCAAAGCTTGACCGCCTCAATTAATGCATTATCGTCCTCAGGCGTCCATTTTCCCTTGACAATTGAGGGATCCAGCACACGGAGCCAGTGCTGGCTGCACTGGTCCGCAGAGCGCTCGGGGAGATGTGGACATTCGCGGTGGACAAGCCTGGCGACGTTCTTCCAGTTTCTTGTGCCAAGGGCGGCGACAACTTTGATCAAAGCCTCGTCTTCTTCTGGTGCCCAGTTCGTGCACGGCTTCCTACGTATTACGTAATAGTCAGTTGTTGAAGAGTCGGACTCTGCATAGCCATCAGTGCCTCTATCATCCTCTGTGGCCTCTGGCGGGCCGGGAGGACGATAAGCGTCACTCTGGTCGTTAGCAGGCATGTGGAGTGAACCAGATGTAGGCATTTTCTTGCTCTTGGAGCACGCAGAGGCCAAGTCCTGCTTTGGTCTAGTCTTACCACGTTTGGCGTCATTAGGGAGGGTTGGAACGGCTCTAATACGCTCATCAATTATGGGGCCGTCTGTGTAGCTCTGTGGAAGCGGATACGCTCGCTGGCTCTGACCGTGGACTTTATGAGCATGTGTGCTATCTCTGCATCCTAGTTCGTTGGAGCCAGAAGAACACGTGGTGAATGAGGATAGTGTACTGCTCCCGTTGGCTGAAGGAAGAGACACGTCTCCGGTATCATAGCTGGTGCATGAGTAGGAGCAGTGTCCGGTGTCTTCCTGGAGGTCGTGAGATTGGATGGGCTTAGACTGACCACAATAAACTGGATTGCAGTTGACGTCGTCATGGAGAAACTCAGAGTGGGGATGGTAGTACTCTCCATAGTCGTGGCAGGTGGCGCCAAAAAAGTTTTGAGGATCATCATATGAGATATCTACCTGAGAACGCGCTATGTTTTTAATAGGGGAATTTAATTGGTCTACATGGATTACAGACTCCTTCGAATCCCCATACTCCTCAAATAATGGGTATTTTGTTGATAGCACAGTAGATCCTGTCTCCATGGGATCGTGAGTAATAACTCCCTTGACATTTGGCATGCCCGCGGAAGAATAGCTGGAAGGCATCGGAGTCAAGGCAGGTGGACTGTATACTACTCCGTGCCCGCCAAAGGAGATGCTTTCCTTGAAAGAGTAAGATAGGGAAGGCGAGGAAAGCTGTCCAGAGCAGTGCGTGATGTAGTAGCCGTTGTAATGAGGATGCTCAGACGCATTGACGTCGTAGACCTTTTGTGCTGTAGCTACCATAGGAGAGCGGAAAGGGCCAGCTGGTGCCACGTAGCACGGAGAGATACGAGCCTTGAAGACGTGGAGCAGGTCATCATTAAAGTGGTCTACAGGATAGTTCTTAGAGAAGGGAGAGGAAACGGCAACATATCCTTGAGCAAACGGAGAGTGGACGCACTGTGGCGGAGTTGGCTGGGGTACGCGTTTCGGTGTTGATGGCTGAGAAGGTACCGGTAACATTAGCAGTACAGAGTAATTATTATTTTAGTAAGCTGTAGAAGAAGAAAAAATACATAGCCATAAAGCGTTCTATTGACGCCAGTGAAAATTGCAAGGAAGCGCAACTTCTTATTTCGCAGACTTACCCGTAATGGCGTTGACTGAAGAGAAAAACGTGAACAGCAAATGGAAACGCTACAGTGCATTGTTACAGACTACACTACAGTCGATGCTATGTCTACAAAAGTGTGGATGAGATGGCAGTCGGGCCGCGCTGCATCAGAGTGGTTCAATTGGGACGGAGCGGGAGCAGTCCGTCTAATTCTTTTGAATCAGAATTCTTTGCACGAAATGCATGGCTATCATATGCATTGGGCTGCTCTCATTCTCCAAGACGCCTGGCAAAAGTTTCCCAGAACTGTACCTCTACAGCAACAGGTCTTTGCGGCGTTACAATAATAATTTAAACAGCACTCAAGCGAGAAGGCATGTATAAGTGGGCAACACCCAGGACAGGTCTTGGCGTTTATGGCGTTTCGGGCGTTTACCTTGTTGCGCATGGCGTATATTCTAACGAACCCCAAGGACCCCATGCCATGTACTGCTCATGTGCCAGTTGGATGCTTTAAAAACTCTGAAAACTCATGGTCGATAGCGAAACGAAGAAGGGGAGCCGGACAAACCAGGCTCGAAAAGGCAGACTCGCGGCAATTAAGCTTGCAGCCAATTGACGAAAAAAATCTTTGCAAAAGTGTGGTAGAAACTAGTTACTAATCATTCTTAAATGAAAACCGGAAAGCGCGTCTAGAAGTAGTGCTGTGCCATTGTCGATCAACCGGGAAAGTGCATAATCTGTTTTGGCTCCTAGATGAGGGCCTATTCATGGTTTGCATGTGTCCATCAAACAAACACCAGTTGACATGTTCCATAAGGGATAGAATTTTTTTATAATATTGCAATCAGTTGTGTTAGACAAACCATCAGTAGGCAAGACAGAGTAGGGTAGGGTTAAAATACATTGTGCAGTCAGCTATAGAGGTGCAGGGCCCGTTGGTATGTCGATACACTACGCTGATACAGATTCAGCAGACTAGTTTTGCATGAACCATGGATGGGCACATCCTGTCAACTGCCAAGCCCGCATGCTACAGTGCCAGTAAGCTCCTAGAGGAGGGCCTGAGAGGTTGCGAAGATGAATGACGGAGTAGGTAAAATCATAGACTTTCAAGAAATTTTCAAAAAATGGAAGATGTTGTTGAAGACCTCGGATATGATATCGCACTACCCATGGTAGATCACAGCCTCTCGTCTGCTACAGTAGCAGGGCGTGCAGCCATAAAACTTCACCAGGATATCGAGCGGCTGGCCATGGCAGAGTCAACTATGGAAACAGCGAAAGCATGTACAGAGTCCCAGAGGCTACTTTTTATTTTCATAACAACATACGCGGATCGTATGAATGTAAAGTTAGTACTCGCTGCTGATACCCTTCATCACATGCCTCTAAATGAGCAGGTGTTGGCAATCCTATCAGATGTGGGGCTCCGAGAAAAAGTTGCTGCAGGACAGTGGGTGAGCGGTTATAAGCTCACTATTTCACTGTCTGTAGGCGATGATGTTTGCGAGGTGTTCTGCGAAAAAGGTGCGGTAGAACTACGGTCTGAGACAATCGATGTAGATTTGCGTGCAGCCCTGCCGGCGGTCTGTCGTGCTGTGCTGCAAGAGCAGTCGGGTACTAAAAGGTCGAGGCTGTCTACTAAGCTCTTTTTGAGTATGAAAAACCAGGAGCATGGTGACGTCTACAAGCGGAGTGTTCGCATAGACCCTGCCTTGTTCAGCTGCTTTAGCCAGCTCACTCCCCTCACAGCTTCGTCTGCATATTATCGTACTGGAGAGGGATCTGGTTCCAAGGGCTTTTTGTTCGTGAGCACTCACATCCATAGCAAAGAAAGCATACTATCTACCATATCTACTCACCTGCGTACTGGCTTTCGTCCATGCTCGCTTACTGATAGGCTCAAGCTCCCGATCGAATCCAGCAACAAATACAAGAGCTACGCAGATTGCCTTAGAATTTATAGCCTCCTTGAAGACCAAGGGCTTCTGAAATTGTGTACGGATGAGAACGAAAAGGTGGGCACGACGCTAGATGTTGGGATTCCTTCGGAGACCCTTGCATCCTGGGTAGAAGCCAATGACTCCGATTGCGTAGACTCCAGTGATCAATTAAGTATGCAAGCGTCCTGTGTACCGATAGTCCTGTCATGCATGCCCACAATCAGTCAATATCTAGATAAGTTTGATCCTTCTGGTATGTGGCGAGACATGCAACCGAAGGAGATACGAGAGAAGTTGCTCCAAAAACAGGGCTTGCTTCAAAGTGCGCAGCAGAGATTGAAACAATCCAAAGTACTGGAGAAAGTTGGGAGCCCAGGTGGGTTTGATTATGCGTTACGAAGGCTCACAGACGGCAGTGACCTGCTTGGCGGGATGCACTACCTTATGAAGCCAGGGGCCGAGCACCGACTTGACGAAACATGTGACTTGGAAGCTCTCTCACAGCAGTTAATTCAAACCGCTGGTCCAGAGTTCGTGCGAGGATCTGTTGGTAGCGCACTTCTGGGCCGGTATAGACAAGATTCCCTGCTCTAAATTTCATCCAAATTTCATTTTATAAATAAATTCTGCGACAAGTTAATTTAAAAGAAAAGGACATATTCTTTGGAAAGCTTTTGTATTTTGGAATTTGACTGAAATTATAAATGTCTAGACCCCTGACCTCTCTTCGTGCACACTCCGGAAGCACCTTTCAGCATTCGGCGGACTTGCGTAACGAGCTCGAAGAGGCCATTCTCGCATATACACATGGATACGCCGACAATCTTCGCCAGTTTTTCTTGCAGAATGATAAGGCCAAGACGGGGCAGCTCTCTGACATTCTGTTCCGCCGGGCGCTTCGCTCCATTGGTATCCACGGACCAGTTGAGCTGCTTAATCGTGCAATAGAAGAGGCCACTGACCTTAAGAGTGGACTAATAGATTATGAGGCGTTTTTGGGGCTCTTTGCGTTTAAGGGCGACATACCCCCCGAGGCTGAACGAGGAACATCAACCATTGTTCATAGCCGATACGTGGGTAATTACGCAGAGCTTGACTCTCAGAAAAGCAAGAGACCTTCCTCGCGTTCAGCCACAAATCAGAGACAGCATCATGACGAACCCCTCAACCTTGCTGATGTTGAAGGTGATCCTCTACCTCAGGAGGAAGTGATTGCCGGCGCACCCTCGAGCAGAAGCACGTTTAATCTGCAGGAGGAGATGCGCAAGGCAGCGGATGACTTAAAGCGCATGCAATCCGAAACAAATACAGAATTTCAAGTTGGATTGAAGCTCATTGCGACCCAAGTACTTCAAAAGGGCTCTTGTGTTAAGGTTTTCCGAACGAAATTTGACAGAAACCACAAGGGAAATATAGGGGTCCAAGACTTCCTTCTGGGTGTTCGATACCTAGGGATACCATCTGATCTGATTAGCAATGATGATCTCGTCGAAATTTTCCAATCGTACTGCACAGAGGACGGCTCCATCTCGGTCATTGAGTTTGAGGCTATGGTGAACGCCGGTGAAGACACCAAGGACGTTACCCGGACTATGCACGATCGTCAAGCAAGGTCCACCAGAGACCCGACCCATGATGTGGCTCTTCTGCTGGAGGAAGCCCAGACTGTTAGTGCAAGTGGGATCTCAGGTGAAAGGAAACCCTTACGTCGCACTCAGGGCACTCCAGGAAGGAATCTAACTGTTTCCAATCTTGCCACAAACCAGGGATCTGATCCTGCTTGCTCCTCAGCGCCTAGTGTTGCTGCAAGCACAACTAACCGACCATCTAAGTATAGTGATGAGGAAATAGTAGGAACGCTCAAGCGAAAAATTGCATTGATATGCTCTAACAAATACTCCTCTTTTGGTGATTGCATGGCTGATGCCCAAGACTACAACAGAAAAATTACACCAGACTCGCTGCGCAGGTTTGTTAGCTCTCAGGTGCCAAATTTAGATAAGAGATACGTCAATCTACTCGTCTCATACCTGTGCACACAGGAGAATCTCAGACAGAGTGCAAATTCGCTTGGGATAAGCATAGCGGAAATACAGCAGAGCCAGGTGGGAGCATCTAGCATGCCGGAACCAGCCTACATATCGGCAGTAGTTTTCAATGACCTTTACAAGCTTCCTACCGCTACAGACGGCGGGAAGAGACGCATAGATGATGCTATCTGGACATGCATCACAACAGAGGCCAATCTGAGTAACATGGCTCTTTCTAAGGCAGAGCTTATGGCCATATCTGTTAACAACCAGAGGTCGCAGGGGCTATACACTGATGACCCCCCTACGCCCTGTGAGCTCCAGACCCATGCTTCGGTGTTTGGTAACCTGAACATGGCTGAGGGCCGCCAGGGTGGGTCTCAGGGTGCCGCCATGGCCCAGGAGATCGCGCAGCATCAGCGCCACACTAAGTCTGGAAATTACTTTGATACCACCGCGGCCCAAAATGATGACATCACGTCCTACGTCAACTGCAGTAATGTCAATATTGCGAACCCCGACACCCCCTCTACTCGCCGTCTCAGACAGTCTGGTCGTCAAGCCGAGCTTCTAACAAGCCAGCTCCAGAACCCCGCCTCGTCTACTCAGGCAGAGCGCGCCAGCGAGATAATACGTACTAAAAGACAGCTCCTTGAGGCAATGAACAATAAGCGGAGCGCACTGGCAGAGGCCTTAATCATGGCAGCAGATCGAGCGACAGATCCAATATCATTCAGAAACTATCTCAAGGACTTTACTCAGGAGTCTCTGACTAATAACCAAATACAATGCATTCTTGAGGGCTCTCTGGATTCTAACGGCAAGATCCAAAAGGAGATCATACTCAAGACTATGGGCCTCGATAACGAGTTTATAGCATATGCAGATTCCGGTTTGGAGAGTTCGAAGCTGAAGAACGATCGTGTTTCTGACAGTATGGTGTGCATCTCGGCCGTTCGCGAGCAAATGAATGCTTCGATAAGCGGAGCGCCACGCGATATGATCTCATCCAAGCGTGCCATGCAGGCCAGACAAAAGCAGGAGTCATCTATAATGAGGCAGCTGTCGTCTGCAGACCTAGATCTTATCAAACCTCGTACTCCAAACATGAGCACAGTGGCAAAGCATCAGGATAGCTCTGCACTCGCCAAGGTTGTATTCGACGTAGAGAAGAATATCACTGAGGATTATGAGGGCTGCCTAGCAGAAGCTACCGAGGCCATTGTTGGGGGACACAGAAGGCGCCACCTTGGCGGTGACCTCAATAAGAAGGACAACTTGGTTATGAGCAATGGAGGAGTATACTCACTGCGAGACAGACAACTAGAAGAAGCAGAAGCAAACACCCGACGAATCAAGAACACCCAAAGGTCTGTCATGGAGCACTCCACCCCCGCCGATGCTATTCCACGACGTGGACGCGGGTGCAATCAGGCTGTATCGCAGCTAAGCAGCACAATTGGTAACACACTTAAACAAATTGATGAAGAATATCTTGTAGATTATCAATCTGGCCAAATTGATGAAACTGCCCCTGCTGAAGGAGGAAGTGTCCCGAAACCAGTTGCCTTTGAGGTTTGAAAGGCCTCGTGTCTATGGTATATACTATTTCCGATGAATAAATCGCTTTGTTTTTGTCATGCATGAAAATTTGACTTAAAATTTCGCCCTGTGATTTGCGAGGTCTATGAAACAGGCTGCCCACCTAGGACGCTCTGTCGTTCGTCCAGAAGAAAATGGCCTCGAAAACATGGTCTATAACCATGCAAATGGGCGTGCCGAGACGTTCCGCAAGGAGTTTCAGCTACTAGACTTTGGAAACACAGGATTGCTTTCCGAAGCAAGGTTTAAAGCTGCACTGCGAAATGCTGGGTTTTCAGCGCCGGGGCACATGATCCAAAAAGCAATAAAGATGACTGCCAACTATAAGGCCAACGCCATCGACTACGAGAAGTTTCTTAGGATATGTGGTCTTGCAGATAACGAAGCACGGCCTTCTGATGATCTTTCTAGGATAGGGAATAATTCACTCAGCGTCAGCAAGAGCGGCTCTCCGAGGAAAAAGGCGCGGGGCCTCAGTGCAGATCATGACGTCTTGGAGATGCCAGATCAGTTCCTGACATCAACAGAAAATGCACTACGTCGCACCATTGCGAAGGAAAACCAGTTGGATGCTATTCGGCCAGCTGGCGTGAGAACTCTGAAGACTCCTCCTTTATCCCGTGCTGGCGATTCTGCTGTCCCACTGTTGGCATCTGCCTCATTACAGGGAGCGTTGAATAAGCAAGAGCTAGAGGGACCCTGTCGTCGACGCAGTCTAAGCTCCAAGGGTTCTGAAGGTCGCGTATCTGACAAAACGTACCTGAAGCTGGATGGGGCAGCCGGGACTGCTCAGAAAATATTTGCTGATCACTTGTCAGCGAGAGGGAACATCTCTAAGACATTTAGGACGAGGTTTGACATTAAAAACAGGGGATACATTGATGAAAAGGACTTCATCTTTGGGCTGAGGTACAGTGGGCTTCCATCAGAGCTTATATCCGATAAGGAGTCACTTGTACTTTTCACAGAGGCGACGAGACATAAGCCGGAACCTAAGATGACACTAGTAGACTTTGAAAGGCTGCTGACTCGAATAGAAAATATTGATACTGTTTCTTGCTTCGATTTAAGCCGAGATAGGGGGCCTGGACATGACTCGGAGTCTTGTTTCATGGGCGATGATTACAGGGAGGTTGCTAAAAGGGTGAGCAAGGGTACTGCTGACATCGAGCGGGATATCGCTCTTATGGAGCAATATCCTGAAGAATTGGAGCAGGAAATAGAAGAGCACAGACGGCAGACAGGTAGATCTCACCGCGAAAACCCACAATTACCAGCGCACATGCCTGCAGCGAGACCAGAGTTGGATGCAGAATCTGACCATGTTCAATCAGAGCAGTCGTTTCGATTTTCTACTACAGATGGATCTAATGTTTCTCAGTATAGCGGGAGTTCTTACAGGACAACAGACACAAATGACCGTGTGCCTTTGATCCCTCCATCCGTTCCTGACAGTGTGCTAGTGGACACACTCAAACGTAAGATACAGGTAGCCATAGAAAACAAGTATCCCAGCAAGCAGGCAGCAATGGTGGCAGCTTCTAGTCCTAGCAGATCTATCTCCGATGCATCTGTCTTCCAATTTTTACACAGGCTGCTTCCCGATGCAACAGATCATCAGATAAGGCTTGTTATGGAGCACGTACAAGGCAACGATGCTGCACAACACTCTTCAGAGCACATGGGCATTGATGCAGATTCATTGCCTCGTCAGCAGAGCTGTTCTAAAAGCGACGCATTCGAGACTTCTACAAAGAACATCCCCATAGACTCGGCTGTAGATATAACTACTATGAGCAAGAAGCGCTCTGTCAGCGCTAGAGCAAACACCTATTCGGATCTTTTTGCTCCACCAGATGAGGAATGCTCCAGAAGAAGACGAGAAGATGACGCCATATGGGCAAAGGTCATGGAATCGAAAGCTATCGCTGAGCGTGCTACGGAGGATGTGGCCGCTTCAACCCCTGTTGACACATCTGTATCAATGCAGCCGCAGCCGCAAGCGCAACAGCGACAGTCGAGTAGGCGGTATTCGGAGGGGACCAGACAGGATCACATCTCTGTCATAATGAATCCCAAGGCTGACACAGGCTACAGGGCTCCTTCCTACACAGGAATGAGCACTGCCAACACCCATAAGAAGTGTGATTCAAGCGGCTTAATGGGTGCCATTACCACCAGTGTCACTCCTCAGAGTCCATCGGAAAGAAAGGCCAACCGCCGTGCCAAGTCAAGCGTGGATACTCGCAGTAGGTACAATTCTGAAGCGCTGGAAGCAACTATAAAGCACGTACAAGAGCCGGTATCTGGCACACCTCGCGGATTTCAGAACATAAAGAAGTCGCTACTTGAAGGCATGCACGGCAAAAAGGTTGCGCTTGCTGAGTGTATTGTCACAGCTGCAGCGAAGTCGAAAGATGCCTATGACTTTCGCACTTTCATATCAGACTTCACAAACAAGCAGCTTGACAATAGACAACTGGACACTCTTGTTCGCTGCTCACTCGATCCAGACACCCAGAAGATCTCTGCTGAACGGGTTCTTCGCAATCTAAATCTCACCACAGAGGGTTTGTACAATCTTCCAACTATATCCCATGCATCTGGTGACCTATCAGATGGGATGGTTCTGCAACCTGCGTATAGGCAGAGCCTGTCAAAGACTCAGTCAGCGCGTTCGGGATCGGCGGCCTCAGTTCTTCATGGCACAGTGTTGGAGAGTTACATCAACAATGAGTCTTGCATAAAGACTCCGCAAATGATTGAAGACTTTGCTCCGCGAGGGAAGTATGATCGGTTTGTTAACAGGCAAGACAACACATCAAGCCGCTATGAGAATAGCACAAATCCACATGATAAGGCGCGTACCACCGTGCAAGAGCAAATGACGAAATCTAATGTATTGGCCTGCTATGAAACTGTTTCTTCCAAAGACATTATCGAGGATAGAACCTCTGCCGTTGCCATGCCAACCTTCAACTCCCACAGGGTGCAGGATGCTATGACTACCCTGGATCAGTCTGCACATAGAAACGCGCTAGCGTGTGCTGACCAGGAGTTTTATAGTAGGACCGGCTCCCGACCTCGAGCTGATTCAACTAGAAGAGAAAGTGACGCGTCTGCATCACATAGCATAATGGACGGTTTCAGCCGTAAATCTATGGATGATCCCGACGCCAGAGTAGTGCGGCGTCACTCAGACATCCGTCAGCGGCATACAGACATCTTTGGGGCGCCAGAGGCCAGCAACTTTCATACCATGGGCTCCAGCAAGAGACATTATCACACGGAACGGACGAATGACAGGAGTGTGGTTGGCTTAGAGATATCCCAGGTTGAAGATGGAGGCCTGACAACAAGTGTTGAGGCTACCTCATACCGCAGGCCCCACAGCGCTGCTCCATCCAGCAGAGACATTACTGCATTTGAGGGGCTCACTGAAAAGGGATCTGAGTAGTGCAGTATCGACCGGAGAGTAAACCTGTGGTAATATTCCCAGGCAAGAAGCTTCTTTCAAAAATGGGCCGTGCTTCAGAGTCCCCACGGACAATGGACATTCTTTCGGTAGCCGAGATACAACAGATTTATGGCTTCTGCTTTGACGCTACCAATGCAACAGGCAATGTTCCCTCGCTCTTACTGGAGGCGTTAGGTGAATTATTTACTCGTCTTGGCATTGAGCCTCATATGACCGGAAGCCCTCCCTCGCGACGTGTGCAAAGAATATTAAGATGGTACCACATAGTGAGAGTCTTCTTTCTAATTATAATCTCGACGAGCCTTTTCTTGCTTCAGTTGAAGGTTACAACTGCATCAAAATCTATAGAATCATATGACGTCAGTAAGCAGTCCTTGGGTTCCTCTGCTGTGCTGCGCATAATCTACTGGATCCTAGCTCCTGTATACTTTATGGTGGACCGTTTAGGGTGTCTAGCTCACACACAACTCCTGTCAGCACAAGCAGGCAAGGCAGTTAGTGACCCAAAATTTGCCACCACATCACCAGTTTTGTTAATCTACTGGCAACTGGTGGGAGATACTCTACTCTCTGCTGTACAGATATTTGTGTCGGTGACTCCAGCTATTCTCTATCAATTCCAATTTGGCGTCTCCTTCCTCTTTCTGTTTCTGACTGGCATCACAACAATGATGTATACAATTACTGCATTAAGGGAATCTACGCCCCTACAGCCTGCCTTTAGCTTCTGGATCCGTAGCATAATACTTCAACGGATGTTAACAATACTGTTATGCCTTGTTCACCGCCTTAATAGAATCATTATTGTTCAGCTTTTCATTCCAAAGACCTTTTTGTTTGTTGTCCTGGCTATCGCAATCTATCTTCTACCATCTGCGGCTGTTTGCTTGGCCAGACAGATCATCGTGGAAAGAACTAATTTGCGATCACATAGAGCAGACCTCACATGGACAGAAAGTCTGACAGTGCTCAAGCAATGCACTCTATCACGTCAGGAGCTCCGGCAAATACTCCACAGGTTCATAAATGGAACATACAGTGCTGCAATTGCAATGTTATCCATTGCGGTACCACTCTATCTGGTCACCTATAGAGGCAACGAAGCTACCCGAGGAGCCCAGAACCCTGCTCAACTGATTGTCTTAGGAGCATATCTGTATGGATTGATAATATGCTCTTTACAGTTTCGCGCCCTTCTGTGCTTTCTGCGGGGATCCCTGGAATGGGACAAACGCATTGAGCCGTATCTAATCTTCTATCCTCTTGGAATGCCACTTCTTTACCGGGCGCATATAGCGAAACCACACGGATGTTACTTTGGCCTCATAGTTCTTCTTGCATCTGTTCACTGCTCACTTGTGAGGACGTTATATAAAGAGTTACGTAGGCTATTTAAGTCAGGATTACGTTCATTATGTTCACCCCTTTAGTAAAAAATTAAAAAAACAGAAGATGCCTGCAGACGCCTCCGAAAACCTCGGCGATAGCGAATTTGCATGTCCCATCTGTATGTCCGATCCCAACTATCCTGTACTAACACAGTGCGGACACATATATTGCTACTCATGTCTGAAGTTGTGGCTCACCAATTCTCGTGAATCCAACTGCGCCATGTGCCGAGCCCCAATTAGTTTATCAAGCGGTCTCACACCAGTGTATGCAGGCCGGAAAGAGGGAGAGGATCCGCGGCCCCACGAAGATCTCTGCAGGGAAATAAATGCTGCTCGAGAAGAACGGGACAGGGCCCGCAATCGTTTTCGCCTTCCACGGCTGAACGCACAGGTGAATTTTGCTGCACAAAATCTCACGCCTCTTGACCTACTCTTCAACGGGCTCTTGAATATACTACGAGAAAGAGCGGATCAAGACGAGCAGGATCTAGATCAAGAAGATAGTGCCAGGCAAGCAGGCAATCCTAATGATGATCCTGTGCTTGTGGCGCGCAATAGGCGTCGACTCAATGTGAAGCAGTTGATAAGGGCCGTTCTGTCTGGATTGCTGGTGGTCATTTGGGTGGCGATCCAGATGTACTTCAACACGCCAAGAATTCAGGTCTATAGATTTAACGCTAATCAGGAGTGATAGTTTGTCTAGACCAGTTTCAAGAAACATGTCTTTGCCTTACTTCTATGGGCACCACTTTGGTCATTTCGCTCACTTTTGTTTCCCTCTTTTCTTGGCTTGCTTGTGGAGCTTTATGAACTGTTTGGCCTGTTTCTGCACTCTAACGATCATTATTATCCCAAAGATGAGCCCTGCTCCAACTATGCTACCGGAAAGAATACCGCAAATGAAATAAACGGTACTATAATCCATGTTCTGAATGGTACTCATCGTCATCATGGGGGATTTATAGCTCACATAGTCAGCTATTGAGGGATCCACGGTGAGCTGTAGCCCTACAATACGCTGCTTGCGATATTTCCACATATCCTTTAGCGTAGCCAAGCAAGCCTTTTCAATGGTGAGTGAGTTCATGGAAGAGACCTGGGGAGAGTCGCCCCTTTTGAAGTCAGTAGTGCACGAGAAATAGATGGTGGACACGAGAGTACTAAAGTTAAGATGTTTGCTGAAGGATCCTAGCGTAGAGATCAGGTCGTCATTGGAGAAAATCTCCACAGAAGCTGTGAAAGGCATCTTGATGGATGGAAGAGCACAATCCTTCGCGCGCACGTTTTGAAGCTGAATACGTAGACCGTCATTCTCGATCACTGCGACTGTATAATTGAAACATGCCGGAGTGAGGGTGTCGAAGAAAAACTTTGATGCAGCAGCTGAGGTCGTCTCTCCCGGTCGACGGTAGCTGTACCCCAGAGATCCAGTGAACTTTGATATCGACCCATTGGCCCGCATGTAGTTGTAAAAGCGTAGTGTTTGCTCCTTCTCTTCCTTGGTAACAGCAAAGAAGAAAAGTCGCTTGTTGGCGTTGAATTGAAACTTGGGGAATTGGAAGGATAAGCTCATCTTCTGACCGGTGACAAGGTTCTGAATATTAATGCGCATGTCAACTGTGTTCACGCCTTGTGGAAGCGTGCAGGAACTGATTGCCGTGCCGTTGGTTACCAGCTGTACGTAGACAAGGTCTGGCAATATAAACGTGTCGATGGTTGAATAACACTCACTCCTGTATGAAGTCCTCAGTACGTCCATCTCTGTTGTTGAGCGAATGGTGATCTTATCGACGACTGCCTCCAGTTCAAAGGTGGCTCGAGTCCAGGGGTCTGCAATGAAACTATTCAAGAGAGCAATTTCTTCGGTATGATCGTCATCATATTCCACACAATAGACGCCTGACTGGGGATCATAATGTTCACGGTTGGGATAGAAGGGATAGCTGGAACCATCAGACGACACTACAAACTGGAACTTTGTGATGCGGTAGTTGGCCAGAAAGGTGCATGTTCCCGTGGACTTCATGAAAGTACAGCATGCAAACTTCTCTGTTATCGACGTCTCCCCTGTGGTAGATCGCTCCGGGTTGCGAATTAGTAGTGTGGAAGCCAGGGAATCAAAGCAGTTAGCGTAATTGGCTGTTAATGTCGTCATAGATAATACTAGAGCAAAGCCCAGATGGGTATCTGTGTAAATGGCCATAGACGAGGCCTGACTAATTCTCATCGACTCGCAGCACTCACGAACGTGGTCAGCAGGACAGGATATGCAGATACTTTTTGTGTTAGTGTATGAGTAGTTGTTGAGCAAACGTCTAAGTGGCTGGGAATAGCTGCTAAAATTAATTTCTAAATAAACAGATTGTGGCAAATGCAATCTACATAACTGATTGTGAGTTGGCTCAATCGTGAGGCATGCTTCGTAGGTCTGGTAATTGATTACAAGATGAACGTCCTCCTCCCAACAGTTTTCCAGCCGAACTAAGCTTATCTTTCCTGCGTTCTTATCGCAAAGACCTGTCTCCACATTGCAAACGTTGTAAGCGTCGCAGTCGCTATCCAATACACAAAAAAACTTGCATACACCCTTTATGCATCTAGAGTTGGGCAAGTACTTGCTGCAGACGCTGTTCCCCAGTTCAGCTGACGTAGTGGGACATTTTTTGTAACAAAAGTTGTTCCTGCATGTATAGTCAGCTGTGTTTGGGCAAGTAACTGATCCTGTCGGTGTGCACCCATAAAGACATTGACCGTCTGGACTGCAGGACAGGAGACAGGTGGGATCAACACACTTATAGAGGCACTTTCCCTGGTAGGAGCAGTGCATGAAGAGCGGGCAATCTGTATCTGTAACACAGTATCGATAGCACATACCCAAGAAGGATTGATAAGTGATACCTTGGGACTTGATTAGATTGTTGTTACACTCGTCGTCAGTATCTCCAAGGGCGTAGCAGAATCCCTTATTGCACACCGCTGTATCTCCACACGCAGAGCAACGCATCCGGCAGACTCCATCAGGCGAGCAACCATATGAATCTGTCTCGGGGCAGGGTGAGGGAAAGCATTTAAATTCGCACCGGGACGTCTTTGTATTACACAGCATCCCGGCTCCGCAATCGTCATCAAACAGGCAGCCCTTTTGGCAGTACCCCGCGATGCAAGTCATCCCTGAGGTCAGGTCACAGTCAGAATGGAACCGGCACATCTCGTAGCAGAGGAGAAGCTTCGGATGGCACATTAAGTGAATGCCCTTACTGTTTGATGGGCATTGATGAGAGTTTTGACATTTTACCCTGCAGACGCTATCTGGTGCACAGAGTTGCGTGTAATCTGAACACTCTGGAACGCACGTCTGGACAAATCCGACTAAGAAAACAAGTAGCAGTGGATGCAATAGACCGAATGAGATAAGGTTCATGGAGGTTGGAGGCGAGAGGTGTACTTTGTGCTCTATTCTTTGCTAAAAAATCAAAAAAGGTATAATTTGTGTAATTTTTACATGTTTGCAGTTTCACACTTTCTTTTCTAGGAAGCAGATGCGCATAGGTGAAAGACATGGGAATCCAGATACGCAAAAACTTGTTCAGACAATCGTCTTTGGGCTGAATTTTCTTCTTACTTTTGTTGCTCTAACCTTTCTTTTTTTGGATCCCTATGAGCCTCCTCTTCCGATAATCTACATCAACTCCTTGGTTAACTTTCTTTTCCTCTCCCTCTACACACGGTTCACGTTTCCATACCCCGACGCGCTAGGATTTTCGCTTCTAAGTGTTCTGCGTTCGTCTGCTTTAACCTTTCTGATGCACCTCCCTCTCAGCATACAATACTTTAGAGAGACATCCGTTTTTTACTCGTACCTAATTTTGGTACTCCTGGTCAACATTCATCACATTTATATCCTCATGCTCTGCGTTGACCTTAAAGTAGGAATACAAATGCTAAGCACTGTGTGAAGTAAATACAATCTATAGCCCTAATCTGCGCTCCTGTACAGTTCTAGAATAATTTAAAAATGGAAACCAGAAACCAGGGGTAAGAAATGATCGAGACGATGAACAGATGATCTGATTTCCAAGGAAAATAATTGTAGGCGTTTCCTGGAACAATACTAAAGCGATGGCAAGCTTATGTCCAAGCACGCGGAAACCATGTACCAAAGGTAAGCCCAACGAAGAAAAAAATGAAAGCCAGGTTTGTGAAGCAGACGTTGCTGGGCGAGGGCTCATATGGGCGCGCATATCTAGCCACCGACAATGTGTCAAATGAAAGTGTGGTCATCAAAGAATTTGTAGGGAAAAAGATGTCGACAAACGCCAAACGCCTTGCGATGGAGGAGTGTGCTCTGTTGTCCAAGATGAACAACCCAAACATAGTCGCCTACTTCGGCCACTTTATGCAGAACGGCAATCTCTCTATAGTAATGGAGTACGCCAATAAGGGAGACCTCTCTGGACTGATAAATAAGGCAAACGGAAAGAGGATTAGCGAGGAAATCATCAAGGACATCTTCTACCAGCTCATCAAGGCCGTTGCGTACATACACAAAAGGAACATCCTCCACCGTGACATCAAGGCGGGGAATATCTTCCTGACATCGGCGCCTGACAGCAATTTCTACCGCGTGATGCTGGCTGACTTTGGTGTGTCTAAGGTGCTCAGCAACGATGACGCTTTAACAGAAACCCTAGCAGGCACTCCGTACTACCTATCTCCAGAACTGTGTAACTCTGAGCCATACGGGAAAAAGAGTGACATGTGGGCACTGGGTATAGTCCTGTACGAACTGATGATGCTAACAACCCCCTTCAGGGGAAAGAACCTCCAGGCAGTGTCGGCAAGAATCACTCGTGGAAAGTTCCCTGAGATAACCGGGCCGTACAGTGAGGCAATCAAGAATGTGTGCTATTCGCTTCTGCGCAACGATCCCAATGAAAGACCTTCTGCGGTACAGCTCCTAGATCACAAGATGTTTAAGGGATACACTGAGCTCTACATTGCAGAGTCTGTCAGAGGCAACAAGACATACATCTCAAATCCCGCCTCTCCAGCACCGGAAACTGGCAACAGAAACAGTGTTAGCGGTGTCACCAGAGAACCATCGAGTGCAGAGGTGTCGCCCTCCAACGGATGCATCAAGCCATCTGACCCAATGGACAGCACACCCACGGAGCCTTATCTCATAGAGGTATCACCTTTGAAGATAGCCAAGAAGCAGTATCACCGCATATTGTGTGATCAGGTAGAGAAAGACGGCGACAACTCGGATTACGAATGTATGAGTGAGTCTGCTCTGCACAACCTGGTCTACAGAAACAGCGTTCTACTCCAGCTAGCAGGGTATCGCAAGCAAATCGTCAATGAAATAGGGAATGATAGATTCCAGCAGTATCTGCAGAAGATTGCTGCTAGCGACCAGACGCAGTTGACCAGGAGTGCAATAGAGACTGTTGTCAGACAGATCTTAGTGGGCGAAAAGGAGAAGGCTATACTCACGGTGGTAGACTATGTGACGTGCTATACGTCATTTATGTGCTTCGAGCGCAACTAGACTAGGGGTGAGAAGAAGCAATCTGTCCTCTAAGCTCTAAAGTCGAAGCTCTGGTATGTGTGCTGAGATCTCCTGCAAAAGATTGTTGCCAGCTTCATGCCGCTTTCCCGTTGGCTTGGTAAGCAGCACTGTTATGTTATGGGCAGGAATGATGGTTCCTAGAAGGGCTTCGTCGACAGTAAATGCAAAGTGCCTGTGAACTGTCGCGCCCGGAGGAAGGGGCGGTATGCGTGCCTGGCAAACCCTCAGCTTGAGGGGTGACGCGGCGCTGTTCACTATGAGCATCGCCCCCAGGGTAATTTCAGAAGATGCATTACACACCGTTACAGTCAATGAGGCATTTAAGCCCGCAAGCTCAACAGATGTGACTGCTTGGAGAGTCGATGCCGTCACTGTTGCAGAGGGATCCTGCTCATCCTGTGCCATTGCCAACAAGGTCGCTTGAACCATTGCCTTAGCGTATGCTCTAGAGGAAATGAAGGACTTGAACATCTCCTGCTGGTCAGCGAGGGGAAGAACTTTGTCTTGTAGAGACAGAGCTTTGTTCCCCAGCTGTTCAACATCTAGCGGATGATCCTGAAGAGCTAATCTACCATCATCGGGAGAGCTCTTGTTCAGGTCAGTATTGGGTGCCAGTGGAAGATGCAGTAGCTTGTTTGCTGCTTGACGGACGTAGAAAACACCAAACAATCTCCGCGTAACATCCATGCCAGTACTTAAAGAGCTAGACCTGTGGGCATCAAGACTTAGCAGCCGTGAGAAGCAAAATGCCTTAAAGGACAAGCCTGCCGATAGTTGGTTCATTGATTCAAGATCTGATTGCACCCGAACGATGGTAGTTACACCAGTTTCCGCAACAAAGGCGACAGCACCACTAGAAAGCGCGAGGGCGAAGCCAAGGAAAGGTCGGCCAAGATCCACGTGGACTGCAGAAAGATGGGTGACCGTACAGGGCAATGCATAAACAAAGTCTAGTTTTCCCTTCGCAGAGAGGCGCAACAGATCATTAGTTTTATTACCAACAGTCACGGCGAAGATTGCACGGTTTATTCTGTGCACAAAGCGAAGGATAGAGCCAAAGCTAATAACGTTTTTAGCCAGTGAGCTACCGCGTAACGTATAGATGGAGCCATGACCTGCAAGTATCGTGCCACGCCAAGTGGGCTCGTCGAGGGCAGTCACCTTGGATGCATGACCTTCAATCTGGATGCTTCTGGGGCGTTCAGGAAGCCGGATCGTTACTAGCACTTGAGTAAACCCGGGCGAATACACGTAGATAAAGCAGCACATGGTGCCTACTACTAAGACCTTGCCAGATGGACCATTGTCAGAATCGAAAGCGTCAATGGTCAGAGTCCCTATACAAGTTATTTCGTCATGCACTGTTGTCAGGCTATCAAGTGTGTAATTATCAAGTAAGCGCGCGCGATTGCTTACAGCAGCCCCCGTGGATTGAAAGAGTCCTGTTTGCAAAGGATATTGTTCTGCCTTTGAATCTGCTGGGGAGGGGTCTGGCAGGGATAAGAAGCGCTGGCTTAACTCTGAAAGGGTCTTTCTTTCTTGATGGAGCTCTTGCGACAAAGTTCTGAGAAGCTCCGCTGCTTCTGCTGAAGTTATATCCATAGCACAATATCTGCGCAAGATAGAGACTTCCCTATTATCCCTGCTTAAAGAGCTTGTAAGAGGAAGGTAGAAGATGGACGAGAGAGACGTGCTGTCGGCAGAAAGCAAGCCGACTACTGTCACATGGGTTCGAAAAATAATCGCCACAAACTCACGTGATGGAGTCATGTTAGGCAGAGAAATGACTGCAAGAGTAACAGGATCTTCTAGGAGATCATAAGTGAGAGTTTGGTCACTAAATCCAGGAGCCAGACGAGGTTTTGCACGCCATAATAAAAGTTGCCGGCCAGCAATTACCGCCACAGAGTAGGCACCAGAGCCATCAAGATCAATAGGCAGGAGGTCCACGGCATCAGAGGATGGCAGCGTTCCCACCTCCTCAGGCCCTTCAAAAAACATGTATGCCTAAAATTAAAAACTAGCAAATGGAGGATCTTGCACCGCCGCCAGCCTTTGATCTCTCTGAACTGAGCGTCACGGAAGTAGATATAGCTGCAGAAATTGCTAAAGAGATGCAAAACCGGTCTAGGTCGACAGGGCATGATGCAGATTCCACCGAAATCGATGCTATGATCCAGCGAAGCAGGGACCTTATTGCGATGTTTGAGAAGCAAGTCTCTAAGGATGAGGCGGCACAGCTCCCGCCAAAGCAGCCAGGCAGCGCATCTGGAGCCCTTACAAAGGAAATTGGGACCGATCAGGAGCCTATGCTTAACGTTGATACTGTCAGCGTTGGTGCAGCTGACACGGAAATCTCAGATGTCCAGACAGTCATAAAGATGTCAGCTTTACCGGCATCCTCGGCTGAGTCTCGGACAACAACTCAACCTTCTTCTGCATCTTCAACGCCACAAACATCCCAGACACCGATATCTGGGGACAAAAAAACGTCTTCCAAGAGCAATAGTCGCTTACCGATACTAACAGACGCGGACGTTTTCGCCGCTCAAAATCAATTTCCGCCTACAAGCTGTCTACAAAATGCTGTTCTCACGGCGGAATTAGTGTCTCGTAGCAGTGAAGCAGCCCTAGAAGAGATCCATTCTGCTGGTTCAAGAACCAAGATCAAAATACCTACTCCAAACCTGCCTCTCCAGGCACTCCCACAGCAAGACGCTTTGCCCAAGCAACCCTCACCTGCAGGGCGCCTTCCTGCTCCAGGATTTCTTGCTGCACCAACAGCAGCGGGAGACAGCCATCCAACTGTCTTTTCCGCTGAGCCGAACATCTCTGCTTCCATAGCTAGTTCCCTCACATCATCTACTAGATTATCTCTCAATTCTTCACTGCGAACTATTCCTGTGGGGGCATCTTCACTCCCTCCTGTCGTAGCAAATCTTCCAGGACAGACAAACGTCCCTGCACACGTTGAAGAGCATATTCTAGAGCCTCCTCCTATGTTCAACGACGATAGCAGTGACGCTCTTCCAGGGGCGCTGTCTGACAGTGTCCACAGTGATTCTCTGGCTCCCATGAAGATGGAAGCCCCGCCCCCCAAGCCAACAGCTATGATGGGTATACAGCCATCGCTGCATTCTATACCCAGCACTGACCACCTCAATTATGACGTAGAGGATGAAGAAGCTCTAGTGAAGGTGATAAGAATCTCTGGCGGTCTTACGGAGCAAAGCGGACAATCAGCTAGGCTAGCGGGGTCGCTTGGCACTTCTTCTAGGCTGCGTTTGGAATCTATGGTGCTGGCACCAAGTGCAAAGCACAGTCTGCCTCCTCCATCTCAGACAAGTTCGGCAGCTGAGAGGGAGACCCGAACACTTACTTTAGAAGAGAAGATAGATGCGCAAATAGCCAACTTGGAGAGGAGCCGACAGAATGTTGTGCTGACCAGAGAGGATCTGGCAAGCAATATAATAACGGGGAGATCACCTCCCAGAAGCACGCATGGTATTGATCCACATCAAGGTTATGATCACTCTTCTTCAGCTAATAACGCACTCGTCACAGAGGGTGCTACGGGCTCTTTTACGAAGACAATTAACGAAACCATTGAGCAATTGATCAAATCATCAAGCAAGCCAGAGTGCACCCCGACCAGGCCACTATCTACTAGCAGTATGGCTCTGGGTATGCCACAATCCACTTCGGTGCCCACTGTGCAGCTGACGAGGTCCTCCCTGCATTCACGTTCTCAAGGAAAGCTAGAACAGATGGATGCTGGTACACCTTTAATAGACTCTGCTATTAACGCTGTGCACAGCGCCATGTCACCTTCCTCGAATAAGAAGCTAAATAGACCAGAAGAGCGTATGAAGGACAAGGAGCAACCCACCACCAGATTCTTTAGTGCAAAAGAACTAGCAACTATTCAAAAGCTTCCACAGTTGATGCCATCAGATCAGATTCGCTTTATGAGAGTCCTACAGCAGATTAGTGGTAACCACACCCCTCAAGCGTCTTCTGCATCTCGTTCTGGAGCAACTGGAATACACGCTTCTAGCGAGTATCCCCCAGAGCTTACATTTGAATTTGTTGAGGGAACCGGCGACCTCGTTGTCAAAGTCGTGCAACTCCTTAAGCAGTCGAACAGAAAGGTTTATCTGCCCGGAACAGTTTTCGAGGGTCTGGTAGAAGATAGCTATAGGATAATGATCCCGGCATACCTTATCCCGCCGCGCCTATCGCTTACAAATAGATACTCCGCCAAGCTTCTGGAGTGGCGGCAAAGCAAGAAGATTGCAGACGAAAAGGTACACTCAAACAAGGTTGCAAGCTACACAAAGTCTCTATTACCGTCCCAAAAGTCACTTAACTGGCTTGTGTCATTTGTTGACAATGTTTTTAGAGCCAGACATGTTTATTTGGAGAGAGAGGCAGAGAAGTGTCTGGACAATAATTTAGATGTCTTTGAACCGCAAAATTTCAGCGATTTTATAGATTCTTATATCAAGGGAAGGCTGGGGAACGTTCACCGAGCATCGGTACTTCGTGTAGAGTTGGAGGATGCCATCAGACGGTACTATTTTGTTTCTGCACATGCACGCCTCTTGCATTTGTTTTGGGAGACCATCCACGAGGACACCGACAGAACCAATGGGTATGAAGAGCAGGATCCTAGCCCAATCTCGCCCTCATCGGTCTTGGACACAGACCTGAACACTCTTGATACGATGCCAAGGGTAAGCCTTCGCGCTTGTAACAAGAACTTCTCTGGCGGACAGGTGCGTGAATCGATGATACCACAGCGCAAACTAAACTACACAAATCAGTGCTCAGCCTTTCTGTTAAACCTTAGGCAAGCATGCTCAACTATTTGCGTGGACAGACGCATCGTAATTCCGGAGCATTTGCGTAAACGCGCAGAGACACAGCTTATCCAGAAGGGCTTTGGAAAGGAGGTCTTCGCCACAGCCGGGGTAACCAAGCGTCACACGGCATCGGCGAGTCAACATGCTCACGGTGGAATGAAGATAGGTGGCGCCACATTTGATCCAATGAACCCTCTCGGCCTTCCGAAGTATTACGATGCCAAGGTAATCCAATTTCCCACGCACAAGGCGTTCTTCTCAAATGCGATATTCAATTTGCTGGGAGACTACGAAGGTTTGACAACGCGGATCGTCAAGAAGTTGGAAAAGGCAGACATCTGGACTCCTGGAAAGTCGAATCCCGCCCGCGTCTCCTGTGATATCATCGAGGGGGAGATCTACACTGTTCTAGAGGCTGCACTAAATATCTTTGAGCATATGCTTGTATCTATTAATGGAAGTGAGGAAGCTTTGCGAGCCGATGACCACGAGGCTGGCTCTCCGTCTCCAGAATTCCCACCTGTGCCAGCTGGCTTTTCTGGCAGCGGCAGTCAGTCAGGGAGCAGATCCAACAGTCATCCAAGCCGTTCTGACAGCAACAGCCTGTACCAACAGATCGTGGAGCCGTCCAGGATGGTTATACCCGGCTTTGGCTTTCCTCCAAGTGCTCGTGGACAGCCCAAGATCATACCGGAGGATCCTGCATCAGATGACGAAATACGAGAAGCCATACTAGAGCTGCAGAATGCTAACTATGAGGTGAAGGCCGTTGATGGTGTCGCAGACGCCGTAAATCATGGGGATTCGAATGCTACATCTCAGGCAGTGTACGATATACTTGCTGAGTTTGCGGGGGCTGAGGTTGGGGTTGATGCAGGTCACGAGCTAGTGGAGGGCGTCCCTGATGGGGAAGACCAGAGCGCAGAAAGCTTTCCCATCGACCAAATGTTCTAATGCATGCAGCGGCGGGCTCAGTTTACTTCTTGTTGCTTTCGTAAGTATCTGTTGCAAACTTGAGAGCTTCCTTGGCCGCTTCTAGCTCTTTTTCAGGAGGAGTCGGAAGGGCTTCTGCCTCTTTAAGCACGGCCTCCATGGCCTTTATCTGTTTCTGCAGGCGTGCAAGATTGGCAGGAATGGACTCCTCCACATCCTTTATGACATTTGTTTGAATATTAAGGCGACCTTCTTCTGCGCCTTCTGACTTCATTTTCTCGAGGCGGGCGCGCTCACACTGCAGCTCCTTTGCGTCAGCTAGCACGTCTTTCGCCAGCCTCTTTGTAATGCTGGCCTCTTTTGTCAATTTCTTGGCAATCTCAGTCATTAGAATTTATTTTTACCGAGTAAAAGGTGCGATATGTATTAAGAGCTTTACTAGAGAGGTGCATTCACTGAGAAGATCGCTTACAAGGCCCTAGCTCTTTTTCAGGAGGAGTCAGAAGCAACCCCGCTTTTTGCCACTCTGTAGCTTTTGCTTCAAGAGCTCAATCTGATGGTCCCTTTCGGCTAATTGCTTGGTCATATTGCCCAGATTCTCGCGCAATACACCGACGTCCTCTGCATTAGCCAGGGTTTGTTGCCGTCTTCTGAGAGATCCCACCTCTTGCTGAAGGTTAGTGATGTACTGTCTAATGGGCTGGTTAAGGCCTTCGAGAGACGGAGGCGACAGACTGTTGCTTATGGTTCGCATGGCCTCGTTCAAACAGGCAACTAGGATTGTCGTCTCTTCAGCCGTACTTCCAGATTCTGCACGGAGCTGTTCTATAATCTTCCGATTCTCAAGAACCTCTTGCCTGAGTGCCTCTTCGGTCATCGTGGTCAACTCGGTGCTTTCCCTGAACATATGTTTTTTTGAGATTTTAAGCACTGTGCAGGGAATTAAGCCTCCAAAAATAAAGAGGCGGTGACGAAGATTACGATCAATCTTGGATGGATGATTCCTTATTACTATATAAAGTCGTCAAAGAGCGCCTGCGGATTGTTTTTAGTCCCAGTTAAACAAACATCTTTGTTCGTGTAATTGGTGCAATCCCATGTTACAGTGTAATCACGAGCCTGCTTTTCGCGTCGCTTATCCGCCTCAATTTCCCTGTTTTCCTTTTCAATCAACTTCTCGACCGCCCTCATTTGCTTTCGCAGCCATCGCTCGTGCATATCTCGCTCATTCATGAGGTTGGTCTCTTTGTCTGCAACTTTGGTTTTCTCTAACGCCTTCAACATGTCCTTGTTCTTTTCCTTGACGTGATATCGCTTTACGAGCTTATCTTTTACGAATCCAACGGTCCCTGTCTCCATGGTTCCGTCCTTTCTCAAGTTTTCTGCAGGAGTATAGATGATAGTGAGATTGTCCAACTTACACCCTTCTATGCTATTCTCCTTTGTAAGTTGCGCGACTTCCTCAAGTAGATCCGCCGGGATATCCGGGAATTTCCATTTCTCGTCACAGTCGTGGTTATGCAGGGCAAGAGGATCAACGACTGGCGGCCTCAGGTATACATGTGCTGACGAATGCTTATCAACATGGAACCAGATGTCGCCATTCCAAGCGTATTTGATAAGGTCCTCGTTCTCATACTTATCAAAGCCAATATAGATGGACACGTCTGGATGGCTCAGTGATTTGAAGCGGAAGGGCATTGTAGACTTTTTTTGAATTTTCTCAATGCCGTAAAGGACACGATGCACGGTCAGTTCTTTGCGAAAGATACAACTTATCAAAGGCTGTGGGAAATTGGAAGTAATACTTTTCACATACCTAATTATAGGGACAATCAAGTTAGAAAAAAAATGGCTAATATAGTTCAGTTAGCCAAGCAACACCGAGCTATGGCCATTGAATACGAAGAGAGGGGAGTATTTGTTGGAGCCATCCGCTCATATAAGCTCGCTGCGGAGGGCTTTCTGAAAGCCGCGATGTTCTACGAGGACAAAGTCTGGAGCGATATGTACAAGAAGCAGGCCATGGATATCATAACTCGTTTAGATCAGATACACGATGCTCAGGCCAAGGGTTTGCTACGACCCCCAAAGTCACCAATTAGCGCCAATAAGAACGATGTGAGACAAGGTGCCCCTAGCAAGGAAAGTAAGGCGAGCGACCCTCTCAGTGCTGCTATTTCTAATGCAATCGTTCGTATGAAGCCTGACGTCAAGTGGGACGATGTTGTGGGCCTGGAAAAAGCGAAGGAAGCTCTCAAAGAGGCCGTTATTCTTCCAATGATGTTTCCCCAGCTCTTCCAAGGCAAGCGCGAGCCGTGGCGCGGGATCCTCCTGTACGGATGCCCCGGCACCGGCAAGTCGTTCCTCGCGAAGGCGGTCGCTGCAGAGTGTGACGCCACCTTCTTCTCTGTCTCGAGCTCGGACCTGGTGTCGAAGTACGTCGGCGAGTCTGCCCGCCTCATCAAGGCCCTCTTCGAGCTGGCCCGCGCAGAGAAGCAGGCCGTCATCTTCATCGACGAGATTGACGCCCTTGCCTCTGCTAGGGGCGGCGGAGAGGAGAGCGACGCGTCTCGCCAGATCAAGACCGAGTTCCTCGTGCAGATGCAGGGCGTCGGCAAGACCGGCGGGAACGTCCTGGTTCTGGGCGCGACAAACTACCCGGAGGCGCTCGACAGCGCCATCCGCCGCCGCTTCGAGAAGCGCATCGAGATCGTCCTCCCAGACGCCGCTGCCAGAAAGAATATCCTACGAAGTGGTATCGGCTCCACGCCTAACGTGTTGACAGATAGTGACTTTGCTGAGCTAGGAGAAAAGACAGCCAATTACTCTGGCTCCGATCTTAGTGTATTGTGCAGAGAGGCTCTCATGGTTCCGATTCGCGAACTACAGCGCGCTGAATACTTCACTAAAAAGGACGGGTTCTACTATCCATGCGAAGCCAACGATCCTGGTGCAGAGAAGCTTTCTCTAACCGATTTCACACTCAATAGTGACGATAGAAAGCTCGGCGTGCCGCCGGTTACCAGGAGACATATGGACATGGCCCTGAGTACTACAAAATCCTCAGTTTCAAAAGCTGACATAGAAAGAATTAATATGTTTTCCAAAGAGTTCGGTGAAAGTGGTGCCTATAATCCAGACGTAGAAGCAGAACCAGAACAGAACCCAAGCCATGATCAACCGAAGGCAGATTCATCCGCTTCTGCGGGGAATGCTGGTAAGAAGAATACATCTCCTGCAAAGAAGTCGCATTCGAGGGCATCTACGGGTGGATCAAAATCTGGAAAAACTTCCAAGTAAATAAAAATGAATGGATCCTAATGTAGCCATGCGCTTTGTTCAGGATAAGTTGACGCTCTACCGCAAGCGCATGGATGTGAGCGCAATCAAAGATTTGATATCCAGAATCAGAGTTTTGAAAACACCGGAGGACGCCGAGGATCTCGTGATGAGGGTCATTCTTTGCTCAACCGGAGCTATGATTACGAGCGATATCTATGCGAATATTGTAACCGCACTAGAGTCCCAAGGATCGGACATTTTCAAAGCAAGCGCGATTCTGTCTCTGGGTAATACGACTCCATTTTATTCTGTACATGAGGACCACCTAATCCTGACCTCAGGCGTGCAGAAACATACACGCGAGACTATCTCCAATACTATCAAGCTTCGCATAGCCTTTCTGCAGAGACATCTTTTGCAGTATGTTAATACTACCTTTCCCATTGGCTCTAAGGATGCGCTGTTTGCTTCGTGTTTAAATTCTTGTAAGCACCTCTCATCACTAGCTTTGCTGGAAGGAAATAACAGCTCTTGTGTCCTGGTTGCGGGAGTGCTCCATGACACTCACGACGCTTTGCAACTAGAAGATGAAACTGCCCTTGTTACTTTGTTATTAGACAAAATAAAATACAACAATATTCAAAATTTTGACACATTTTTTTTAGAAAATCAGACTCAAGTTTCCTTGCCTCTTCTAAACCAGGCAGTTGTGGCAGTGGTTGGATCGGTGGAAGGCGGGAAGCTACGGGCTAACGCAATATTTACTCCACTGATCGAAACGCCGGAGAGCTTCAATGCCTTGATGGGCACAGATAAGACGCCTGCATATAAAAGCATCTTCAGTACAGTTCATACAAACACACCCGAATTCGGTTTAGTATTTTCCCAGGTATTCTTCTCCGACAGTCGATGTGTTAATGACCTCCTGCTCATGCTAAAAGAATACGACAGGAACACAGAGAGCAAACACATACCTTCGCACATAATTATTTTCGGAGTTTTTTGCGAGGGAAGACAATCTTCTCCGTCTAATGCGCTTCTGAACATAAAAAAGTTTCTTGATGCGTTAATTACCGAGCAGCTGACCAAGATGACTGAACATACACTTTTTGTGTTTGCTCCCCACAAAGCTGACCCGTCATTGACAGGTGATGTATATCCTCGACAACTCTTTTCCAAAAAAACTGTCGATACATTAAGGACAGACTATCAGACACTAAAGCTGTCCTTTCCCACAACGCCATTCCACCTCGCGTACGGGCACCAAACATTAGTACTTTCGAGCATGCCCCATGAGGAAGTATTTCTCAATCTCACAAAAGATAGTACAGTGATGACGGAGATTGAGGAGTACTATGCGACGCACGAGGAGCTCGCAAACTTCATCGTCGCCCAGAAAAACTTATTTCCATTTCCCCACAGCACGGCCCCTTGGCTCTGGGGCGCAGACCCTTTGCTAAATCTTCTTCCACTTCCAAATAGCATTATACTAGCTGATGGTGCGTTTGCACGGTGTTCTGTAGCTTCGGGAGTAACTGTTGCGAGTCCTGGAAGTTTTTATACTGATAGAACGTATGTTGTCTTCCACGCGGCCAAAACCAACTCACCCATTGACATTCTTCAATTGAGCAAGCAGATGGACAGCGCAGAGTTGTAAATAACTAAGTCTACAGGAAAATCACGAGGATCACATGATGAAGCACCCACCCTGCTTATCCGCAGAGCTCTTGAAGTTGTCCCACGACGCGCCATCAATGAAATCATAGTCGTCTGCGACACCTCTGGCCAGACAGAGGACAGACCGGACGATCGACTCGGTATACACGCTCACCTCAGCCCAACGTAGCTCTCTGTCGAGCACAAAGTTGCGCATTTGTGCCTTTAGCTGCTGATCTACCACATTCTCAACATTGCAAACAGCCAAGATGTGTGGCACAAAGCGAGGAGCAGTCATGGCACGCTTCAAGGTGTCTAGTGTCAGGCCAGAGGAAGGATCAGACGACGCTGGGAGAAGAGCCGCATTATAGATGCTCTGGAGTCGGACAGACTCTTTTCTGAGGATGACAGTCACCTCGTCTACGTGTGCCTTCATGAAGGCTACTGATGCGTCTGAGGACAGATCGCAAACGAAGACACATGCAGAAGTAAGAGGATAGTCCTTCTGAATTCTTGTTATCCCCTTTTCAGGCACATTAATAATCTTAAGGCACAACTGCTTGCTGTCGATGAAGCTGGCAACCGTTAGAGAGTTGCTTTTTTCTCCCTTTTCCCCGCACGGAATCTGAAAATACTCTCGCAAAAGCTCAAATAGTTGTGTCTTACTAGAGTCATCTGTCCCCAGCAACAGTATAGTGAGCGTGTATTCCCGTGATTCCTGGGGCCGTGGGGCTGTCCTCTCTTCTATCAAAGATACTATTGATTCAACAACTGCCGGCTTGAGTGGCGCTGTTGTAGAATTAACGATTACTTCCATCTTTTTTGTGATGATGGCAGAATTTAAGTTTTTTGTCCTCTCTTGATTCTGTTCTGGAGATCTAAAGCCGGGGCCGTTTTTACTGCTTACCCCCTACTTCTTGCGTCCACGGCCCTGCACCTGCTCCAGTTGTGTCAATATCTTCTGTCCCTGGCCTTTGTCTCCACTGTGCTCGTCCATATAGCAGACATAGAACTTCAGCACGGTTTCAAAGAAGGGACAGGGGCCACATAGCGCGAGAATAGAGCGCTGGAAGACGTAAAGATCGACAGCCATCGTCTCTGGGGTGATTGGCGACCTAGAGGCTAACCCAAAATCTATGACACTGAGCCTGCGCTCATCTCTATTATAAAGTAAATTACTTGTAGTCAGGTCGTTATGAACTATGCGAGCCATATGAAGCCTCGCAATGGTAGACCCTACGAGCTTTGCAAACGCCTCATCGAATAATAAATCGGTGCTGTCAGCCAGGTGGGTGGAGACGGAGGAATCACGTATCCAGGACATGTATATACACCCGTTGGGCTCATCAACATAAAGCACACTAGGAACAGCTAGGCCAGCTGCGTGTGCCGCTTCCAAGGCTCGTGCTTCAGCTCTAGTTCGCCTCTGTCGAATCTGCCTGTCTAGTGCAGGGTGCCTGTATTCTTTAGGGAAGCGGTGCTTTGCGATAGCATCCTTCCCTGACGTGGACAGAGTCCCGGAATAGATGCGCGCCTCAGCGCCCTGAAATAGAAGGGAGCAGTTGTCCAGGGCTACGGTGAAGTTAGATGTGCCTGGAGGTCCCGTTTTCATTGCCGTGGTCCCAGATTCAATCATTAAAACTTTTTGACCACATGTTCCCCTCATTGCATTTGTCAATTAGGCCGAACTTTTCGCAGAGGAGTGTCATTGGTGTGGCCATCTACACCTACTCCACTCCCCTCAAGCTTCCCCTTCCCATTATACCCATATTCTGCAGGTCTTCTATCATCAAACAAATTCTGCTTAATGGTATTGAATGCCCTTCAGAGGCTTTGTTTCCCATCAACCACAGCTTACTATACTCGGCGGAAAGTGCACCGAAACCCTCAAAGTCTTACACCTCTCTTTTAGACCTTCAGGATCTCGTTTACACAGCGCGCACCGTCAGGTACCGTGTCGGGGACTTCTATTTAGATCTCAGCTCACTTCTTCCTCAGTTTGCTTTAGCGGAACAACTCAAGGCATCAAGCACGGCATTGGGTGGATCCCTGGACCCAGACGCTACAGACACCGTCAAGGATCCGCTACACGCATCAGCTGCAGCCCCCCGATTCAACCTCATGACCATCACTATTATTTTCGAGACCTGCAACAGATCTCTTTTTATTGAGTACCCCAGTACCTCCACTCTCATGTCTGGACGGCTGAGCACAATGTTAGTCGTTGGAAACACTGGCAACTCAGCTGATTGGTTGCCCATTCCATTGTTTTCTATGTCGGTTAGCCACAACATTACTCTTCAGTTCGCTTCGTTACCACAGGAGTATAGGCCAATCTGTGGGGGCCGGCTGTGTATCTGCAGCCGAGCTGGTAGTCAATCTCTTCCCGCTACACAGGTCACATGTGCCTCGACGGGATATCTATTTACGGATCTTTTCGGGAGTTTGCACAAGCTGTGCTTTATTATTGCACGTGCTAATGGATTTCTTCACATGGAACCCTTCCATACTCCAGATGCTAAGAATGTAAAAGATGGAACATCAGCTAATAGAAAGGAGTCTCAGCATAGCTTTGACTTCCTCAGAACAGAGTACCATAAGCTTATTGACCAGCACAGAACAATTAGTATTTACGAATTAGTGAGATTGTCACCAATTCTCCAAAGCATCTTCACGTTTCCTCATAACGCCAAAGATGGAGGGTTCATCGGGTTAAATCTCGTTTGCTATACATTAACAAATATGAGGCAGTACGATCTTTCTGCACAGGTGTATACTCTTTATAAAGCGTTTAGGCTGGCCATAGACTTCCTGTCACTCACACCGCACAGGGGCCGAAATTTCAATATTGCTATCTTTTTTGATGGCTGTGGTCGCACGATAATCGGAAATGGCATCATTGTTATCCCACTGATGCCCTGCAACTATATGGCTGCATGCATGAGCTATATGAGGGTTATTTCCGAGGTCGTCGCCAAGTACATATTTGGGGTTCACGTTCCCGCTGCAGACTACGCTAGTCAGCCCGTATGCACGGTTCTTCAGCAGGCTCTCATGCTTCACATACGGCACGCGTTGCTTGGTGCTGTGGATACTCGTCGGTTCTATTACGAAGTGAGCATTCGAGGGGCGTCGGAGGTTTCCGCGTCAAGTCCTGCACTTTGGCATCAGTACCTTACGCATGATGTTGAAGAACGGTACAACCCAGGCCAGTTTTACCTCCATCACATCAAGGGAGCTCTCAATTATGGCTTGTATGGCACACCAATGGATAGGATTGATGGCCTCTTGAAGAATGTTGGCTGTACATCCAAAGGCACACTGAACGCCAGCATAAAAAAGGCATCAATCAAGGCACCTGCGTGCATAAGTCATCTGGAGGCAGTCTATAACTTCTTAGATACTTCTTTCGGCACATCCTACAGCGTAAAGCCAAGCAATAAAAATGTATGGTTAGCAGAAAGTGACAAGGATCGCTTGCACTTTCTGAACAGTCAGGGATCATATAAAAGCGCAAATTTGAAGCTGAAGAAAGGGAAAAAGTCCCATGCCTCAAAGTCCCACGAGTACTATCCGTCCGATTGCCAGATTTATACCACACATTTAAAGGAAACAAATCCTATTGAGGTTGCTGCGCTGACAGCAGACAAGTCTCGATGGTTTAATCATAATACTCTTTACAATGTTGATTTTCTATTGAATTTGTATCGATCAACAGCCGCAACAGCTTTCACACAGATGGGTGCACTCACTAATAAGCATGTAGAAGATCTTGCGCAGACAACTATCCATCATTCCAAACATGCAGTCTCATTGGATCCAGATAACTTCTCGCTCGGCAATTCCTTTTCCTCTCCTACTATGCCGCGTAAGATGGGGATGCAGCTCTCAACGGCACTTAAGGTAGACCAGTCTTTTGAGGTTGATGATGTTGTGACAGATTTCGGTGTAGACATTGATAGTCAATCGGCAGCATCAAGTTCAGTTTTTGCTGGAGGAAAGCAATCTGGAACGTTCCGTAGCGTCGATACCCAAGCAGCATATACACTGTACGGCACTCAGAAGTCCGGGATTCTCAAAGGAAGCCAGTACTCGGCCAATATGTCTGACGGAGTAGATGGCGATTCAGCCCTTCTACTGTCGCTTAAGCGACCCATGGATGCATGCATTCAATCACTGGCCAACTCTCTTTGCCTGGACATGGAATCGCTGTCTTTGATGTACTTTTATATTAATGAGCCATTCTTCCCCATAGCATATGCGGTTCCCGAAGATAAGATCCGCACCCGTGCAGAGATTATTGGGATGACCATCAGGAACAACCTCACTACTCAGGGTTTTCGCAGCTTTCTCCAGAGCTTTCTTGACATAGGGTATGTGCAAATTAATTTGTTCTTTAAGTTCCTGGACGAGGTTTGCTCAAATAAAAGCTACTTCACCGGGGGAACGTGGCTTAAGACAGTAGCAAGCGATGCACCAGACATTTCTCCGGAGAAAGATGCAGGGGTTGACTTTCCGGATCCTAACCTTTCACTTTTGCCCGACACAGGTGAGTATAGTTTGAACATCACAGTACTAAAAGGAGCCGCTGGAGCGGGTGAAGGCTTCTCTGCTGAGCAGTACAAGTTGGGCCACGAAACGCTTCATGCCAGTTTTTCTTTAGATGCTTCTTTACGTGAAGCCTCTTTTGACCCTAGAGCTGATATTGAAGGTGTTTACGCTAGTATGTCTCCTACAGCACGACTCGGTGACGACGGATATAATAAGCTCGAACAAAACCAAAGCGACACACAAGCAGCTTCCAGTCCTCATCCATTTACATTTCTAATCCACAAATTGGGTATTATGCCCAATTACATATCAATAGCATACTCCTGTCAGCAGGATAGCACAAACAATCAGTTCACAGACCAATTTGATATCATTCTCTTAAATATGACTACAGGGCTAACAGACTGTTTAAAAGACACATGCACGAAAATAGGTCTACCATTAATCAATAGAGGAGAGTCTGCGGCTGGATGCAGACGCTTGCTATTCTTCCCCAACATAGAAGGGCCACATGAGTTCAGCAAGAGCTACGATTTTACTACTTTTAGAGGCACTATGGCATCGGATGCTAACCTTGCGGTGCATGAAATTACTGACATGCAGCATGCGGAAAGACACGATAGCCGCTCCTTCACAGTTATAAAAGGCGCAAGCAGCAACCTTTATGCTAGCATTCATATGCTCCAGCAGCCGGGACGGATGGGCAGTGGTGGATCCGGGACCTTGAGCTTTAACCTGTTGACAAGGATTGGAAGTGAGTTTCTAGAGAATATAAAAGCTGAAACCTTTATTGAGAAGAGCTTTTACGATACTATCAAGACCAAGAAGTTTGCACACGTGATTATAGACCCTTATAATCAGCTCCCGTTTGCATATAAGCACCACTATGCGGAAAAGAACGATAAAGATAATAACAATTGCTACAGATCTATCGCCAAGGTCGATTGTGAACGAGACATAGCTGTGCAGCTAGAGTCTTTGAACTCACTTAGCTATAATTGTAACAATGACGTCATTCCCCTTCTCTTGGGTATTCTTTATTCTGAGGCAGTAGCACCAGCACTCCAAGAGACCGCGTTCAAAATTCTCATCTATAAAATAACCCGCGATAACTTCTATGAGGCTGTTAACAAAGAAATGAGCCGTCTTGAAATGAATAGCAAGGTTAAAGAGCAAAAGCAGTGGATTCTCTTGTTGAACATATACTTCTTCGGCCATAGACGCCTGTTGAACGCATTTCCCATTCTTCCAGATGGGTACACCGGGCTAACGGCACACAGATATGATCACGAATGCATTATGAAGCTAGATGTAGGATCGTTGGTCGCTTATGCCCTGCTGTGTGGGTATGTCTCTATGTCCAAAGCCACTGACCTGCTCTCCTTGTTAAACAAGGACAGTGATACTGCCTCCTCTAGTCACGCACTAACGATAGCGGTTCTTCAGGCACTTACCTGGCAAATAATCCGTAAAGTGATCGTTATTAATACAGAAGTCTACATGGTCTTGCTCATCTTCATCAACTTTCTTATTAGCAACGCCACTATGATCTCTGTTCGCCGAATGGCCATTTGCTCGTTGACATTAATCGTATCGACGGCCTGGGAAAATCCTGGAGTAGCGACTGCTCTTATTGATCTTTTCAATGAAAAGGAGCTTATTTCGGAAAAGATACGCCTCCTTATTAGTTGCTTATTTGGTGGTGGTTGTTGCGACCAGGATTTGCATGCTATTAGACCCAGTTTGCTCGATACAAAAGATCGTCCTAGATGCTCCTGTAATTGCTGCAACTGTGCACTTATAAACAGCGATAAATCACTCGGTCCCTTTATTATTATAAGGGTGATTTTTGTCCACATTCTGTTAGATATCATAGATTTATACCTTGAGAACAATAGAAATTCATCTGAATCCAGTATGGACGCGACACACCTGCATTACTCTCCAGCTGTGGCCGGGATGTTCATCAGCCGGGAGGTTGTGGACGAGTGCTTCCACTGCCTGGACTTGCTGGGAACAAATAACTACATGACCTCCAGCGACTCAACCGCGTACATCGTCCAGCCGCTCTCGAGCCGCTTCGTCGCGGCCCTGTACAGAGGGACGGTCTACTCCCAGACACACAGCATGGACCCGTGCAACCGCTACGCCATGTCCAACGCGGAGGCGCTGGTCTTCATGATGGCCTACGTGACCCATCTCTTCACCCTTCCCCTTAACGAGTCCAAACAGGTTGAGTGGGACGTGCTGCGCGGGTGCCCCGTATGCCTCGTCAACGGGGGCTGCCGGTGCGTACGAGTGAGCTGGCCTGCCGTCAGGAGCCCCGACTCAAAGTCTGCCCCACAGAACTACGTGACCGTTCGGTGCCTGACGTCGGACTTCTTCTGGACATACGAGCAAAGCTCTAGCAGCTATGCTAGCCTTGAGGAGTACTTCGATAAGCATTACGTGGCCCAGGACCCCATCACAGCCGCAGTGTTTGAAAACGGCAGGCTGGTCAACGCCCACTTCAATCCCAAGAAGCGCTACGACGCGGTCCTGTTCAGACGAGCGGACAGGGCGGACAGAGAAGACAATAGCACAAACCCCGAGCCCCGGGCGAGCTCGTGCTACCCGGAATTCATGCTTCCGTGCCTCTACAACCCGACCACGCGCATCAACTATCCCGGGTACCTATTCAGACAGTGCCTCTTCGACGCCGCGGGCTGCATGATCGGGCAGTCTGTCGCATCCCGGCTCATCGACATGCTCTTGTATCCGGCAGGGCCCCGGGTGCAGCAGAAGGAGGAAGCCGGCGATGCCTGCACTCCCGCCGCCTTAGAGTTGTTCAAGAGAGCAGCAGGATTTGGAGAAGACATGCCACTTCTTATCCTTAACGCCATCAGCACGCTGCACGGCGTGAATCTCCTTAGGGCTCTGCCGCCCTCTCAATTCGACAGTGAGGCAGAGATCGAGGCCCTGGCAGAGCACCAGAGGACGGCATCTTTCAAGGACGCACTGCTGGCAGCAACGCACAGCCACAGCGAATACGTCAACGTTATGACGACGTTCTGCGAAGAGAATGTCACGCTGAAGGCGGGAATGAACGACAACGTGTGCAAGATGGAGCACAACATGGGGTACCTCATCCACGCGCGGTATGAGTCGTCCAACGACCAGGTTCGAGGAACGGTGCTGCGGTTCGCTGGATTTGTAATAGGTTACATGCCCAACTGAGCAGCACTGAGACCAGGAGGCAGCAGCTCGTGCCGGCGCCAGTTGTCCCTCACAAGAGAAAGCGCCTCGTCCCTGGATAGGCTGCGCTCAGACGCAAGAACCTCAATCGCGGTCGCCATTGACCTGTCCCAGTCGTCCTGGTCCTCGCGGTACCAGTCCGTCTCCAGAAGCAGGCACTCCTTGTCAGACTTCCGTATGCACGCCCGGGTGGCCTTGTTTGCCTCTGTGAAGTGGGACACGGAAAGGAGCACGCGTCCGTGGCATGTAGAGACGGCAGCCTGCAGCTTGCGGAATGTCTCGTGGGTCCCGTTGTAGGAGTGCATTATAATGCTGCGATTGTAGCTGGCATACTTCCTGGCCATGGCCTCCAGCTGCTCCGTGAAGATAGGCCAGAGGCCAGGCTTACGAGAGATGATGTGGACGTTGCAGTCCCTGTTCATCTCGAAGGCCATCTCCAGCTGCGGGGAAAAGTAGCGGGTCTGTGTGTCCAGTGGAGAGTCAGCCAGCGCGGCCGGCCGAGTGTCCAGGCCTATCTCCCCCACAAACGCGGTCTGGTCCGCAGCCAGTCTTGCTCTGACTTCAGCCAGTGTCGCTGCAAGATCGGGGTGCATGTGCAGGTAGTACGGGTGCACTCCGTACCCGACTCGTACAGAGAGGGGATGGATCCTCCTGAACTCGGCAAGGTCTTCGAACTGAGTCGGGTCTGTGGCGTTCAGGAGATAGACGTGGTCCGGCCTGAACCAGGTGCCGACAAACGCCGAACTGAAGTGGCAGTGAGCGTCAAGCATTTTAAGTGTCGCCCCTGGGGGCATCGGAGAGATCAGCGTGGGTCTGGAAGAACCGTCGGACGTCCTCAGCAGTAGCAGGGGCTCCTCGAGCTGGCCGCTCCGCTGGCGGTGGGCCTCGGACGACAGGTGTTGCACCAGGGCCAGGGAGTCCTTGAAGGCGAGATCGCACAGCGTGCACCTCAGACAACCGCTGGATGCACGCTTCCCGTCGTCGATGACGGTCTGGGTGCCAGAGAGGGCGACCAGCTGCGCATACCTCGACATGCGGACGGTGTCCGTGCGGTCAATTTTCGTTGGTCCATTCACTCCTATATCTCCGGACGCTTCACCGCGCCAGGACCTAGAAGGGCTCTGGCGGTACGTATCCTTCATCTGTGCGTTTTTCTTCTCACTTATCTCCCTTATATCTTAGGGATACTTCTTTCTGGAGGACTTAGAAGCTACCAATAGGGCAGAGAAGTTAGAGGTTAAGGAAATGGAGGCAAAGCCATTGATGACTGATTTATGACGTTGTTTGCACAGCAATTATCACAGGCTTAGGAGACATCCCCCTGTAAGTAGGAAACTCACGAGACAATGAAGCTATTGATCCACGTACACAGGTCTTTCTGCTCGGCCAATGAACAAAAAATATCCGCTACGCTCACCCCTCCTGGAAATCTTTTCATCATATCATTAATCTCTTCGCCAAAAACGTCTATTTTATCGGACACGTGTGTAAATAATAACTTATCATTTTTCGGAACTTTGATCTTCTTTTCGGCCTCTACCAGGGTTTCGTTGACTTCCTCTGAATTGGACACAATATCCTGAAGCTGTTTCAGTGCTTGGTACTGACTATTACTAATGGCTTCGACTCTATTCTTGGCACTTTTTAGTTCGTCCCGCAGGCGGTGTAGCTCCAAGTCAAGCTCGTACGCGTACTTGTAGTGAGTAGCGAACGCTGCGATATGGCGGGATGTCTCTTCTGCAAATTCTCTGTAGAGCTGCTTAAGCTTTGAGAGCGCCATCTTGCTGGGCGGCCCCTCAGACGCCCTAGTTAATTGATCTGCGGCACCACTTGCCGAGTGAACCAGTCCTGGCTTCTGACCAAAGTTGAAAGCAGAGCTTGTTGTGTTCAACTGTGAGAGGCCTAGCTCACTCCCACTCAATGGAGCCACCCCGAATCCACCGGTAGACCCTCGAGATAGGTCCACCGCCGGTGCCAACGAGCCCCCGAATGAGAAGCCGCTCTGCATTAATAAAAATCTTTCGCGGAGAGCAGCTCGCTATGCTGGAGGTCTTCATCTCCGTTTTTGTTTTTCTTCGACATCACTCCTTTGATGCTAGCCCTGCTGTTTTACTAATGTCCATCTTTTGGGTTATTGCCGGTACCACACTACTGCTGAGCCCCCAGCTGGGTTCGCCTTATCTTCTAAGCCATTACATATATAACGTCATAATGTCTATGCTTTTGATAAAAGATGTTTACTTTTTTCCCAGCAAGGCGAGTGTACTGCTCCTTCTAATTCCTCTTTTAAATTTACTTCCATTATTTATGATAATCTTGATAAGATTTTTTACTCCACGTCCTCCTAACACCTTCATTTACATATTATGTTATTTAACGCAAATTTTTATGTTTCTGTGGCTAGAAGGCTGTGGGCCGTATGCGTTTTACAAGTTGTCCGGGTCGCTGGCCCTTTTGCTCAAGCGCATTGCGGAAGGTATCGCCACCAGGGGGTTTTTTCCTGCCATCTTTAGCACCGATTCTCTTGTACTAATCTACTATAGCGTGCTTACCGTGTTCCACTACCAAATCAATCTATCCTTTATGCATGCCCAGAACACTGCAGCCATAAGGGAAACAAAGCTGTTCTTTGCGCCCTCGTTCATTCCTCTGCAGCGGTTTCGTCTACTTTATCTCATTTCCTTGATCGTCCAGCAGTTCTTTGAAAACATAGTCTTTTCCATCTACTTTGTCTATTGCGCTCTGGTCTTTGTTAACGCTTATCTCATTGCTTCGCGCGGTTCGCTCTCCCATGTTCACAACGGTCCCTGGATAACCCTATCCCTTTCAACCTTCATTTTATTTTACAGCTGCTACAATATATTAATAACCATATTTCCGTTGATCGTAGGTAAGGTCTCTAGATACAGTACTCTTTTAATGATTTGTCTACCAATCTCTTTGGCTGTTTCAGTCGGTGTGACTGTAACGCTCCTTGTGCTCGGAAAACGAATTAGGATAAACGTCATTAACGATCATAAGCGGATCAAGGTACGGCACTCTTCTAGCTTTCGTGGACGACACAGGTGCCTTACAATCAGACTTCTGTCCACCATTCCGGCAAAGAATGTTAGCGTTAAGGTTCTGACTTCAGATGGCCATCATCCTGCCATGCAGAAGGACACTGCTGTTCTCCTGGATCCTACTGCAATCCAGAACTATACCCTTCATACTCCTCTCTCTAAATCTATGGTGATGATATTGGCGTTCTATTTTGACATTCATACAGTCGCTAGCTTTGTTTTACCAAATGACTACACGTTCACAACCGATGATATCAATAGCTTGGTGTACCTCATAAAGGATAGCAAGTCCACCAGGCGTCTGCCAGAAGAGCGCGTCAAGGAAAGACCAGGAGCACATCCCAATTCTATTGTTTCTTTACCACAGCTGCATAGCGACGCGAACAATCTAATCGGCTCCCCGCCCCTTACCAGCTCTATTGTGGATTCATCAAATATTGAGCGGCCACGTTCAGCCAGTGCTACCCACCGACATACCACTTTCCTACACCACGCCTTTTCAATTCCCGACACTAGCCTCACCATGAATAGAGAGGCACTGGCGGTTGAGCACTTGGTGAGCTGCTCGACAGATGCACCAGCGCCCTGTTACAAGTCATCGAATGACGCTCTCACTTATCCATCTAATAGCTCGTCCGAAGACTCGCCCAATTTGTATGGCATATCAGCTACACAAGGCGCTAACTGCCCGTTGCCAACTGGACATACATCCAAGGCTTCGACCACCCCTAAAACGGGCTGTGAGACACCAAAAGAGCTTCCCCTTACGCCAAATCAAAAGATTTTTAGGGATTTTCTGGGCACATTAGACCCTCAGAAAATCTTCACATATGTTGTACAAGCAGAGAACCTTCTAGAGGATTTCAGACTTTTCTATGAGAATATATATGCATCGCTGTTTCTTTCTTATTGCGCTGCGTCGCAAACTTTAGAGTCTATGACGTTACTGGACATTGAGGAATGCCTGCCTATCCCTCTTCTTTTACGCTATCTGCGTGCATGGAAGACGCCTAGTGACGCATATAACAGTATTATATACTACATTGATCAGTTAAAGAGCGTAGACGACTTGAAGCGGGAATACCAAGCAGCGCGAGCCACCCGTCGAGAACTTGAACATGCATCCACTGCCCCTAATGCAACGCGCAGCCTTACTCTCAAGCCCATTTTCGTGGAAGCAAGGAAAATACCATCTTTCACTTGTAGCAACTCGTGCACAAACTGCCCTCGGTGTAGGGTACACGCAGTCTGCAACCACTGTCATGCAAAAATAGCAATCCTTCTAAAATCCACATTTAACTTTGTTATGGGGAGAATGAAGACAGATAAACCGCCATCTAGAGGCTTCAATTGTCCAGATTGCAATCGGCCATGTTCGCTCAAGATTGTAGAGTCACTCTCAAAGAAACAGAATAGGAAGATCCCCGGCACAACTCTGCACACCACATCTGTCAAGCCAAGGATACCTCAAAATTACACAACATTTCTAAACAAATTGACCCCTCTTGGGCGGCGCATTCAAACACCCACAGCCTACTCCAGAAAAAAGCTACCAGCCGTGGACTTCTTAAGCTTTGAGACTGTATCAGAGCAAACAGACGCAAACCTACCTCACTCTCGCCAGCATTCAAAGCGCTTGTCGCGGGATGTTGTGCAGTTATTACTAAAGGCATTTATAAATGACATGGAAAACAGCATAAACGAAGAGACCCCCATGATATGCGAGTGGGCCACACAAAAGTATGCGTCCACTAATGCTACTGATCAGGCCAGTCTCGATGCAAAGCAGCGGCCAAACTCAAACACAGACTCTAAGATGTTTTCCCGAGATCAAAATATTGGACTTCTGCACAAGAGTTACTCCGTCATCTCTCCTCAGAACTTCAATGGATCAATCTACTTTTTATCGCCCGAGATATTTGCAGATGTCACCATATCCGAGGAATCGAAATCTTTCCTCTATAACTGTAGAAAGCAGAATTATCTCTTTACGATCTTCCTCCCAACAATTACAAGCACATCAAGCACAACAGGCAACATCCATCGTTTAAGTTTTGCCTATGACAGAGCGGCAAGCCTCACTAGCCCCCTGAGAATTCTACGGATGAAGGTGCTAATCCACCTGGCTCGGATGCTTTTCCCTGTCCATCTGTATGTGGATAGTATTTACCCAATCCAGCTTGTCCCATGCTACAAGTTTTATACACTTGGAAGAAGCTATATAGAAAATGCCACAAACCGTGTTTCTATGATCTATAGTCCTGAATTTTTATTAAAAAGACAAAAGGACTCGGAGGTCCGTGTAATTAGTAAGAACACGAGCCTGAAGAAAAGCATACAAGCAATGTATCATCAAGAGCCTCTCTACCTATATTGTCTTGCTCAGAATGCTCTAACTATAAAGACACAAGACAAAATGGATAGCTCTATTCTGCAGTTTGTTAACGTAGAGTATTTATTTATGCAGGCTGCATTTACTGGTATCAGTAGCTCCTATCTATCGTTCTTCTATCGCTTGTACTATACCAATAACGTCTCCTTTTTCACCCACTTGCTATCTCTCTCGAAACACTCCAGCGACGCCGATTTTCCAGTGGATCTGACAACGAAACTGGACAAGCACGGATCCAGCCTTTCTACTATTCCTGGGTCCATAGCTATCAATGGACTATCAATAGCTTTGAACTGCCACACCTTATCAGATCAAACGGCGGATGCCTACGCAGTGATTGATAGGTTGCTAGGTGGAATGTATTCGGTTCAAATACCGATCTATACTTGGCTGGAAATGGCAAAGATACGCCTCTCTACATGCACTGTTTATTTGGAGCTTTTGCGCGGACTTAACTCTGACATATTTTCAAGATACGAGAGTGTGCCTGCAATCACCAGCAGCCACTCTGTCCCCATGGAAATGTCAAGCATACCAAGCATACCATCGGGTTTGGAACTGGATGCTGATGAGAAACGGACTCCATTGGTATTTGAACACGGCATTACAAACGCAGAAAGGCAGGACAAAACGCGTCTCAGACACGGGCACTCCTTTAATGTGTCTACACTTGAAGATTACCACCGTCTGCATGATGCCATTGCCGAGCTGCTCTCTGTATGCCAAACCCTCCTGGATAAACAAGTGAGTGAGCTAGGATTTCCTAATGAATCACATGAGGTCCAGATGACAAGAATATTAGATGGTTGTAAGAGCTTTTTTAGGCATTACTATGTGTTCTCCACGCAGCACTTGCTTCACGTTGTCTTTGATCTTCCTGGTATAGTGAAGTACGCTCCTCGCAACACTCGTAGTAAGCCTATTTATCGTTATCGCAACGGTATCCCAGAGCTCATTACTCACTCACGAAAGTATTCTAATCATCCGACTGATACCCTAGATGCAGCAAGCGCTGATACTGAAGAACTTGGGAGCGAGTCTAGCAGCGACTATCTGGAATCTCCCCCCTTGCGTCTGGAGCCTGACATTGAGGACAGTGGGTCCGATGTCCAGGACAATTCTACTGCCTTTGTGGCACACTCCCCGGCGCTAGCATTGGATGGCTTCAACAAGTTATTTATTCCGCAGCTCCCTCACATGGCGACCTCCTCCCACCCAAAAGCCTTAGTGATTTCCAAAAAGCAGATTGCGGCTAATTTATTTGCTATTTATGAGCATGTGATCCTAGAGAATGATATGTTGGAGACTATATTATTAAATAATATTACCATCAACGGACTGCCATCAATTGACATCAATGGCATGCCCTTTTCTCTTCTATCTCTTTTGGGAAAGACCCCATCTCGGTGTGTCGATGGTTCCCCGACAAAAGACTCGAGCGATACCCCGCACGGGTGTACCCCTACCACGTCCATAGACGTAGCCAAATTGCAAGATTTACTGAGCTCACATGCACAAGCACTAGCAAAAGAGAAATACATTGATAAGCTCATGCAGCATTTTAGCTCTCGATCTCTCTATGACAAGGTGGGCTCTGATCATTACTCGCAAATCTCCGCGCCTCGTCTGCGTCAAATTATTCTCTCTCTTATTACAGATAATGCAAGCGACTACCAGAGTAGTGCTTCGGGTTACGGTAACATGTCCTTGGATAATGCCCCGCCCTCGTCGAGCGTCTTGGATTCCGAGCCATGTGCTGGTGCGGCTCCGGCCCTCCCCAATGTATCGGCAACATTTAGCGCAACGTTTAGCACCAGTGCCAGCACAACCTATTCTCACGTAACAGAGGCCCAAAACACGTTTACTGAGCCCCTAGTTTCTGCTAAAGACTTCGCATTCTTGGGGCCAACAATGGCGAGTAATGTAGATCGGTTTGGCATAAAGAGGAAAGCAGGCTACAAGTCCTCCAAGCTTTCAAGTTGGAAGTTCTCGCTTTCCTCATTAAACTCATCAAAGCTACTTCGTAGGTTTATCAGCAAAGGAAGCAAGAGCTCATCGCTGTCTCTTTTGGAACCGGAAAAAATCAAGCTCTTCTTAAAAGCAGGTTCCGCATATGTCCCATTTGATTTTCCTCTTTCAGGCGGCTCAGTGTCATCTTCACTTGCAAGCGATCCTGTTAGCACGCAGCAGCTACTCCTTGCGATGATTGTGATGCTCAATTTACTTCACCTGTACTCCTCTTCTAACGTGCTCACAACTTATGAATATCGTGGCCGGCAGCTTCTAACTCTTCAGCAAAATCGCTTCATTGTGGACTCGACTGGAGAGTATTATCCGGCAGCCTATAGACAAGAGCTAGAGCAATCCTATACCCTTAACTTTAATACTCAAAATCCAGACGACGCTGTCAAGAAGTTTATCTATTGCTTTGATGAATCCTTCACGGGACTGTTCCCAATCAAAAGCCCGATCCTGTGCAAGCGCTACCTTAACACAGACTTTGATCTGACGATACCTATTGATGGTATGAAGTATATCCACGTGTCAGATTCCCCCAGTAACCTTCTAGCACCTACATCGCGCTCTAAGTGGCTTGAGAACTTAAAGCAGCCAGATTTCAATACACCAATCAACGTTTATGAATGTATAGAAGCACAAGTATCAATGAACATGGGATTCTCGCTGATTAGATATAGACTGAGGTTTAGGAACTTGCTACTATATAATAGTATTGTCTTCGACACTCTTATTCAGTTGCGGAATATAATTAGGGTAGATAGCACCTTGAGAGCAAAGATACATGCCTATAAGATGCTCCCTCGCTTAGGAATGTTCTCTAACCACTCTGATGTCCTGCTAAAGAGCTTCTTTGAGAAAATAATAAATATCCAGGACTCCATTCTTACATCAGATCCATCTGCACTCCACATACCTCATGGTGGGGCCACCATGAAGGCCTCAATTGCTGACACGAGAAACAGCGCGCCCACACCCATGCTAATCCATCACTGTAAGCGCCTCCACGAGTGCCTAGATGTACTGTGCAGATATGAGCACATCCTTCAGAGTCTTTGGACCATGAGACTTACGCTGTTGCGCCACAGCTATGCAGAAGAGGACTTTCTTCTTCTGCTACAAAACGAGTGTCTCAGAGCCCTCTCCACAAGCTATGGGATTCCCAGTGAGTACTTCTTTGCGCTCTTTTCTAATATTATGAACTTGGACCCCGAGACGAAGCAGTGCTACATGTCCTCGTCCATAGAGCATGCGTTCCCGAAACATTATGCACTATTGTACCAATTACGATCCAGTAACCAAGATGATAGGGAGGTTACTCTATCGTATCCACTATTGGATGAAAGCACATATGCCCGACAGCAAAACGTTATTCGTTACTTTTCGGCGATGGAGTATGACGCAAAGAGAATCGAGACGGCAAACAGAAAGTTCTTTATCACGATAGCAGAGCTGTTCGCATTAGGAAAAGATCCGCTCGGGCAGATAGAACATATCTTGGCAGCGTCACCCAGGGCCGCAGGAGCTTACATTCTCGGACCAACTTTTGATACCTTACAATTATTTAAAGGAACTATTGGGGTTGATGCGGCTTTTCCTCACTCCAATATCTCAATTGCAACAAAAGACCCTCTAGACAAAGCCGAGGAACCCAAGGATTTCGATGATCTTGCATATTCTAGCTCAGTCTTAACAGATGACCCAACCAATAGCCTGTGTCCTTCGTCAGAGACGACCTTATCAATGACGCAAAATTCTCATCCTCCATTGGCCAAAACAACCGCCAAAGACGTGCAGCATTCTGATTTTCAGAGTATCTTTCGCAAAGACAACTCCACAATATCAAATGTTAAGGATGACTCGTTCAATCGGAACAAACGTAGCTGTGGAAAACCAGATCTTAATTCAGGAGCCTGTGCGCGCATACATACGCAACATTGGCGGATTGTAGCTTGTCTCTATACAAACAGCTCACTGATCCTGATAACGCTCTTTTACATTTTCCTTGTGTGCTACCTTCTCTTTATCTACTCATACTCCCTAACAAACCACGTAATAGCTAAGAGCTTGCTTCAGCAAGGCGGGCATATCTCAGGCATGATGGCGGCCCTCTCAGACTTGCAGACTGAGATAAACATGAATGTGGCCCTCCAGCAAACCAAGAATAATCCCTTTGAGATTCTTTCCAGCTATGCCGAACGGTTTAATGAAATTGCAAACAATGCTTATTCTGCCCACGTAATCACGGCTGCCATGTACAATGGTTTATCTATTAACGATGTTGTTCAAAGGGAGCTGGAGCTCTCTGCCTTCTGGCCACCCCCGATGTTATACTATTCTGGAGAGCAGATAATGAACGTAGAAGACTTGAATGTTAATAGTGGTCATCAAAATATCACTTGCACAGTTACAATGGGTACCCTTTCCGACCAGTCTATTGCCACCTTGACGAACTCCAGGGACAAGTGGCCAGCGAACTTAAGCTATTTGAAATCGAAATTATTGCCACTTAAAAATCTAAAGTACCTTTTAAACTTTAAAGTTTGGACGCAGACAAGGGATTTTCTACAATTGCAACAATCAGATATAAAAGAGTACCTCGACACTTACAATGAGTTTAGCATAGGACTATATGATGGGAGCTTCCGTAATTTTATCACTAACTACCCTGTTACAATCCCAATTACCTCATCTTATTCGATTGAGCAACCAGATGGCACACTAAAAGACCAACTCAATTCTCACAGTACTAATTATTTTGAAACTACTGATATACTCGTCAATAGGGTAGTGTGCATAGCTGCCTCTATGATATATATTTCTCAGCAAGCCTCTAGCTTTAATCCTCAATACATATCCTCCAAAGAGTCCTCAATGTTGACTCTTTATAGGCCAATGGCCAGCCTGATGTTGGAAACAGATTTCTTACAAACAACTTACCAGAGCATGTATGTTAATCTTCAAGAGATTATGATAAACACGTGGGCAATGTACTCTAGATACACGCTTAACAGGCTGGTTCTTCTTGCATTTACATTTCTGGCAGTTGGACTTTTTATTCCCCTCTATTACTTAAGCTTTCAGAGAGTGCAGCGAAGGCTTTTGAAGGCAAAGCTTGACCGCGCCTGCACCCTTGCCAACATCCTCTCCTTACCAAAAGCTATATTAGAGAGCCTAATGGACAATTATGCTCAAGCCTCGATGATCCCCTTCAAGCAATTCTTGTGGGGGAATAAGGGGTATTCGGCAACAGACATAGACTTGCCCAGAGAATACTACTCCGACATATACTCATATACTCAGAGCAAATCAGTGTACAATCAGACACACTTTAACTTGGCGGAGCTCACCATACATTCCTCCAAAGTCATTGAAAATAACGTGAAAATCAAGCAACACAACGACCCCGACTGCAGCTTAAAATTTTATTCGCACACAGACGAGATCTCCCTTATTCTTCGCCTTGTTGCTATCTACGACAATTTAAGCAATAGCAAGATGCACATCTTATTATATACCTTTGCCTGTATGGTGTTCTTTTTCTTTTTCATCGTTAACATGACATTTCCACTTCATTTTCGGAGTCCCTTTGTCTCCTCTGGGCTAGACATCAACAGCTACTACGGACACTGGGGTAACATCTCTCACTTAGCTTTCCAGCTTCCTGTCAATGGCTGGGACTCTGCAACGATATATACGGAGCAACTAGCGCAGCGGCAACTATATAACATTAGCCAAATCACAAAGTATTGGGCAGCAGTCCAGTCAACCCCGTCTTCTTTTATCGTCGATGGCAGCGACCTAGTGGCATACATGACTGGAATTCGCGCCACCGAATTTGCTTCCGACAAACTTTATTCCCCATTCTACATTAACAAGTACATGGATGAGCTTGTGCAGACACCGTTTCTATATGCTTTTGACTACATTAAGGATCATACTAAACTGGTTGTGTCGCTTCTGCAATGGTTAGATGATGTCAGCTTTATAAGCTCCGCATCCTATGGCGCCTCGAGATGCTTGGAATGTACCACAATATACTACCTCTTGCAGTATGTTCTAAAAGTCTCTCCTGTGTCGCTAATATACCAGATAGAACTATTATCCCATCTTTCTAGCGTCAGCACAGAGGATCTTATAAAAGCTGACTATTATCTGGATTTCTTCACGGTACACAAACGCTTTTTAGACGTGTTTTCAAATATTCATGATAAGCTGTGGCAGGGACTTGCCTCTTCTGCAGACGTATCCACCATTTCTGCATTTATGCAGCGCTATAAGTACTTTGCCAACTATAATACCACAGGGGCTGCCAATTACGATGAAAGCGCAGCTATTGCCCTGGTGAACAGTGTGCCGCCTAATACTGCCCTACCGAGCATGATCAGCAAGCATGGAAACCTTGTGCGCAAATTACTCGAACGTCTCTATGGAGGGTCTATTATTTTTGATGCTATCATCTTCTTGCTATTCTTGATCTCCTTGACTGCATACTTAATAGTAGGCTGTGTATTTGTATACAAGAGCGTTCTGTTGACGGTTAGAATGTATACGAAAATCTCTGCTGTCACACGGTGCGCGTGTAGTATCAAATACCTTGTTTCTTGCTTTCTGCCCCTTGACTTAATGTTTTTGGTTCCGGCTCTGTTAGTCGTGGCCCTTATTATGTCGCTGCCGATCATTTATGACGCAAGCACAACCATGGTAGCAATACTTGGCAACTACATAAACTATCCTCTATCTGCTGAGGCCATTTTGCGTGAAAATGCCGCATTTTCTCATCAGCTGACTCCTTTGTCATATACAAAGTTCTCCACGATGCAGACTATCACAAACTACCTTGCTCTTCTAATCTTCTTGTTGTCCTCGCTGTCTCACCACGTAATTCTTCGTAGCAGAACGGTTATTGATACCGTAGGCTACATCAGGTATACCAAGGGACAAGAGCAAGAGCTGTTCAACGCAGAGAAGAATCCATTTGTGCTTTCTATTAAGGAAAAGGTTACTATCTGCAGGCCTGCGAACAACTCGGCTATGGATCATGACAAAAATGATGATAGTAACGACAGTAACGCTTACTTTAATTTGTATGATGATTATATACCTACAGCTGATAGTCTAGCATGCGATGATGCTAAAAGCATTGGGAAGGCTGGCGCCCATAAGCCAAATAAGGACCCTTTCCTGCGAGAAGAGTGCGAAACAACTGCTACTTATGACCTACCCGTTTTTCTTCCACCGTTGTTCATACCTAAACAGAAGTTGGAATATGTTGAGGTCTTCTTGCGCTACGCTCTGATCTGCTTGCTTATCTGTTCAATACACTTACTTCTTTCTGCATCTCGTTTGGCAGACTACAATCCAAGGAACATCCCAATTGCGTTTCTTGATCAATTAATACATAATTATAATGTGCTACGGGGGCAACTCTCACAGATGTATGCATATCCGCCGACAAAGTACAGAGAGTCCCATCTGATCGTCACTACCTTTAGATGCTTTAGACAACTGATCACCTTTCTCTTGGCCAACAAGTACACGCAAAGGACCCTATCCATCCCCATTCAAAGCATGCGCGTCTTCAAAAATATAGGCATAGACAACGCCTTCTACCAGTATGGCCAACACATTAAAGACTTTCTCCAGTCAAACATATATGGCTATACCAATAAAGTGATGGACTTCTCAGGATCAAGTGTGGAATATGACCCCGTAATGCCGACCACGTGGATGAGTGGGAGCAAGTATTATAACATGTGGTCCAACCTTCCACCTAACAACAGGTCACGACTGTTTGTGTCAACCAAGATTCCTAACTATCACAAAGACGGGTTTGCTGACAACAGTGTCCTTTTTCCGCTCTACCAAAAGCTTCTTCTTTTTGAGTATGCATACTATCAGCCGAACTTCGCCAATATTCAGAAGGACCTGGATAACTTGTTAACGCGCTCGGCTACTGGTACGTATGGATATAACTTTCCTAATTTTCTCCCTGAGCACAAGAAGATCATATTCTTTGACATACTGAGGAACCAGATGTGGACGGAGAGCCTCTATTGTAACCATTACCTTAGAATGGCCGGCATACTTCTACACTCTATTTCAATCCTCCGAGCGCTCACAGAGCTGTCGGTTCTTTTAATTATCATTCTAGTTGTTGCAATTATTCATATAACGGCATACAAGCTTCTGTTACTGTTTTACAATAAGAAGTTGACTCTATATGAGGTTTTTACGGTCCTGTTGTTGAAGCGGATTCGTGGCCTCGTGAATTAGTGTTTCTTTTTTGACTACTATGAACGTTGTCTACCGACAATCGTTGCGAAGTCGTGGATACCACGGTTTGGGGTTCGCATAACTGTTCAGGTTCTAACTGATTAACCGACTATTTAATTTTGTCTTCAATTACAATTAGACTTTTCCTTAAAAAGGCGAAAGATCCTGGATGAGTGACCGACTTTTTCACAGTGGCTGGATTTTAAAGACTGACAGCGTGTCAGCGTCGCACGGTCATGGAGCAAAGCCTGTGTTAGCATCTCGGCGGGGCGGATCGGTGCCTAGCAATATTCGGCGCATAAGGACATTGAATCAATCTGGGCCGACTGTGGCGACGCCACCGTCAAAGCGACGCAATCATTTCAATGTCCCGGTAAGCCAGGTGATGTCGAAAGGGAACCTCCCTGGGCATGTTATTGCGTCAACTCCTGGGCACACCTTCGGAGAGACGTCAGAATCGCTCCAGCAGGACATGCGGCTAAGCAATCCGGCCCGGCAGAACACTCCGCAATCAAACATTTTCTCCGAATCAGCCCTGCACCTCAGCGGCGAGCACATTAACATTGGACGCAGTAAAGAAAAGTCGTCCCGATTTGACGACTTCAGTCAGTACTACGCCGTTCTTGTGGGCACGATAGCTTCAGCGGACAATCCAGCTATTGCGGAAGTGAGTGAGTCATGTAACTTTTACACCGGCCTTACGGACAAGCAAGCTCTTGAGCTTAAGAGCCTCGTCAAAAATAAAATAGCAGCAAAGAACGCATTTGATGAAGTAAGTGTTGTGCAATTTCTCACGTCATTGTATTATTCTAACCAATCTCTCAATAAAGTCGGACTAGTAGAGCTTATTGAGGACTTAGGCGCTGCATATGTTGTCACTGACCCTCTGCGATTGATCAAAGAAAGAAATAAGAGAAAGGGCTTGAACATTTACGGTGAACCATTGGAGGCAACTACTGCTCGAACTCTAGGTAAACCGCCAGAAGCTCCTCGCAAACAATCAAAGGAGCTGTCTCCGCAAGAGCTTCAGCTGAAAGATGAGCAAGTCATCAATCGGTTGGATTCTCCTGATCCCGTACCTATTTTATCTAGCATATCTTCAGTCTTACGCCAACGCCCAGAGGAGGTTTCTGTTGGAGTCGGCTCTATAAATATTACTACCAACGCAGACGAGCCAGAATCAGAAGAGGTCTCTGCTGCTGGAGCGCAACAATCGAGTAACAAATATGGGCTCAGACTCAACTTACTTCCCAATGCTCCTCCACTTATGCACGAATCGCTATTATTGTCGTCACGACGCCGATCTCCAAGTATTGTAGGGATGGGAGGAACTCCGCGACCTGATCCATATGCCAAAGCAACCTTTGTCGAAGGCTCAATCCCTCCTCAATCTGATATCGACCTTGTGGGTGGCACTCCACGTGTTTTTGATACCCAGCCGATTCAACATGCTAATCACGCTACCTCTCCTATCCGTAATAAAGATGCTATCACTATAAATTATGCAGAGGCCTCTGGTCTTCTGGGAGGACCTGACAAAAGCGGCATATCTCTTGTTACGGAGGATTACCAACGCGATCATTGCAATCTCGGTAATTATACTCTAAATTATCTCACGGGCCTCGAGAGCGAATCCATAATAGGATATGAAGGTCCAGCAGATACCAACAAAGAGCCCTATGTAATGGGCCGTTTTATAGATCCATATGACAATTAAATTTTTTTAGATTAATAGTGAATTATTTAGATTGGAATTTATTCAACACTCATTTTTAGATTAAAGATCAAGAGTAAAGGGTTGATAAGTTATGTTTCTAACGTTAGTCGTATCTGTGCCTTGGCTCTATTGGCCTGTAATGTGGAGTATATGAAGCGTCGTGACATGGTATGCCAAGAAGCGCCCGGCGAGCAGGTATGCGCTAATAACCATGGAAAAAAGCACTAGGGCTCTAAGGAAAACATGACCACGCGCGCCTAAGTTTATGAGGGAATTGCCTAATAACAAGTCCATTAGAAGCAAATTGATCCGAAGGAATTCAAAGATGCCTTGAAAGACGAACCTTCCCTGATAAGCATGTTCATCCGATATCTAAAAGTGTTACTTAATATACGAATTCTGTGAGATAAAGGGTAAAGGGGGCACTTTCTTATAAGATATGAATCATGTACTAACTGCTACAGATTCTTCTGACCTGGAGATCCTATGCTAATGATCTTTACTATGTATTCATTGTGACTCTCAGACCATGGTATGTTGATTTTCTTTGGCAGTCTTCCAGACATGCCTTACGACGCGGGCCTCTGCCTGCTGGCCCTTGCTGCGGGGGGACGCCCTTGCCGTAGCGCCCTGGTGGCCCGCGTCGCCGCTGAGTGTCCGCCGGCGCGTAGAAGACGAGGCAGGCCGAAGACGGCCTCCGTTGCCGGACGGGCGACGCACGGAGAGCATCCTGCCTCTAGCGCTATGCGTTACAGCAGGCTCGGCGAGCTGCCCTGGTGACCTCTAGTCTGTCCAGGCCAGCTGCAAGAGCGGGGGACTCGAAGGAGACGAGCCTCGTATGTTGTGGGCAGATGACATCCCGGACTAGCGATAGGAGCATGCTATCTAAAGCCTGCTCTCGAGCTTTGTAGGAAGAGCCTGGGATCTGGATGGCAGAGGCGCGATCGTGCAGATGCTTCGGGCCAAGCGGTGTGTTCGCCTAGCCATTGAGTGTGCTGAGTACCTCGATGCTGGTCACAGCTACCGGAGACTCGCAACAGAGACAGGCTCTGTGCAGTTGCTTAAGAGTTCTCGGTGCAGCATCAGATTCCCCGTACTCTTTCGATGACCAAGTACAGGCTGCCCGATGGTTCTAGATTTCAAAAGAAGAGGCTCCTCTGCCGGTTTGCCTATCTCGCACGACGGAGAGAGCAGTTGGGGCTATAAGGAACATCGCAAGCGGCACTACTCAGGCCTGCTGGCTCCCTATAAGCACAGAAGAGAACCTTTTAGGTTCTGAGAGCATCTCGGGGGTCCTTGCCATACGCAGCACGATAATTGAGAGCATCGCCTCCATACTGCAACTAGCAGGGTAGCTCTGCCGCAAGTGCCGAACCTCCCCAAAGAGAAGAATATAGTGATGAGACATCTGGATCTCTGCACATTCTGAGAGCCTGGCTTGAGATACTAGCTGCTGTGCCCTTCGGTATCTCTGTGAAGCAACGGGCACTGCCACGGTGCCCGTTCACTGTCCCTGTGCATTCTTCGGCACGTGACAAAAACCACACAAAAGAGGCTGCTACTGGCTATGATATTGCCGATAGAAATTCTGACACCATTTACTTCGACCGAGTGAAGAGCGCAGGCCCGCTTCTATTCTCTCATAGAGGAACTTGGCTCTAGAGCTTTGATCTCTGTTCACACCTATTGGCCCCTGTGATCTGGCTTTTGTTCGGGGACGCGCAGATAGACCGTTTACAATAGATCGCGTCCGCGGCTTCTAGCCTTCGACAAAAGCTTAGCGACCGCCCAAGTATGTCCAAAGGACAATAGCAAAGAGAAAGCATACATGCTCAGATACACGGTCACACTGGATGTACTCGACTTGCCTGACGACGGTGATAACCCAGCCATTCAAGCAGGGAATACTATGACCGCGAGTATAGAAGAAGCACCCTATCCAAGGGTCTACACTTGCTGATGGCACGGTGGTGCCCGTCCAACCACTTTTCTGATCCGGACTGGAGTCCCTGCCCACCTCTCTGCGCTGCATGCTCTGTTATGCAAGGGTCTCTGCACAGAGTCCGCTTGCTCGGTAGGACCGGCCAGTCCAGCAAGGCCGCATGTAAGCATCAGTAGAGCTAGCCTTCTACCTTCTGCATCGATAAAGATCCGCCTTGAAAGGAGATGGATCGGGTACTAGAAGAGTAGACTGTCCGTCGAGATATCCGCGTCTTGAATTCCGTGGCACTATAGGTAGTGACTCTCGATCTCGATCTCGGTCACGGAAGACCGAGAGGAGGAGTGGCCCTCGCAGAGAAATCACCGAAAAGGCTGGGCCGCAACAGCGTTAGAAGCTACATTGCACAGCCTTCCAGCGTATGTTCAGCATGTCACCAGCGACGACTAGCGGGGACTACAAGATGGCGCGCTGCAGCAAATCTCGGCCTGCCGTCAGGTCTCTTGGGGCCTGGGTCTGACATGTGCGCATCAACATCAGAAGGATATGCATGCGTACTACAAGGGCCTAGAAAAGATCGTTGAGGATACTCTGCCGGGTATTAAAGATAAGAGGGAGCCATTTGCGAAACTAGCGTGCACGTAATATAGTCGGGTGGGCACATACTGGATACCTGTTAAGAGAACGCTGCTTTATGCTAACGCATTTTTGGGACCACAGAAGAGCACTTCGGACGATTCTAATAAGGGCACAACCATACTCGTCAGGGCTGGCAGATGCTTCTCTTAAGTCTAGGCACTTCGAGACATCTCAAGCGATCGAGCAAAGAGCTCTGGGATTTTGTACTAAGGTTATGCTTAGACTGAAAGAGGCGAAGGAAGGATCCACAAACCATAGTGTTGTCTGTTAATAGAAGGATGCCTTGGGCAGACTCTCTAGAACATCTATCAGCGTGTATCAAAACTGATCTGCAGCATAGTACGGCTTAATTTTAGGAACTTCTGTCCAGGCTATGGCATGCTAAATATAGTCACTACGTAAGAAGATTGGTTTTCAGGGTACCACATTGCGCGCAATACACAGTGTGGTTCATTGGAAAATTTGTGTCTAATCATTGTGGCAACAGGGCTTCCATCTTGGTAGGTCATTGTCTGGCCAGTAACAAGACTTGCTTTCGATTCAGAAAAATGAGCGTCTAGGAAAAAATCGCGCACTCCAATGTGCATAGACACTCCGCCCGGCCTATTTTCCTGGGCAGAGCCACCTGTTGGCGCCTGCGTTGCATATGCCAGAGTTGGAAGGGGCCTCGAAGAAGCCAGCAGCTCACCATGGCTATTGCTGAGGAGCTGGATCGGATCCTCTGTGGCCTGTGCTATGCTAGGGAAGAACAAGCTGAGGGACGCAAGATCTTAAGCAAGGGCCCGTTGTTCTTACCGCTACGACGGACTACATTAATCATTACGCTTGAGCCTTGATTACGTCCTTAAAGCAATACTATAGCATAGCAGCAGAGACTGTGAGAATGCTAACTGACCCTAGTAATATATGCTATTGCTAGTGCAGCCCCAGGAGTGACGTGTCCTTTCTATTCTGCTATGTTACTCTGCACTGTTGCGTGTCACTTCCCACGTCTGGGGCCATGGATCACAGCAGCGAGCCATTGGGCCGCTCGAAGATGTGCTTTAATTATTCCGAAGGTGCATGGCCTTCGTTATCTGTCTGGATCAGTAGATGAGCCAATATTCTGGCCATTGCGGCTAAAAGTTCCCACATGATCTTTTGTGACCCAACAGTACACGACCAGTAGACAGCCAGATGGGTTATTGCCGGTCCATTCTCCACCCTGGGCTAGATGGGCGCGCATCCTCAGCAGAGTGGGCTCCCCTGGAACTTCTGTGGTCTCAGATCATTTAGAGCATTCTGGGAGCATCCTTGATTCAAACTTGCATTAGACAAGCACGAACCGTTACATGACTCAGAGGATCTCTAACTGCTCGACTACCCTACAACCAATGGTCAAACAGGCATTACAATGAGCGCGCCGGAATATCGGTTAATAGCTGTAATAATTGTGTCATCGATAGTCATCTAGAACGCTACGCTGCAGCTAACATCAAGGAACGCACTTCTGGAAGTGCCGCAGCCCGTTCAGCCACGGCTTCTGCTACCCTCAGGCCTAGTCAAATTGCTTCGCCAGGACAGAGAGTCATATGACTCCACAGTAGGTAGCTATGCGGCTCTCACCAGGACACTCGGCTTAGGCCAGCAACTGATTCAACTTCCCTAACACGGGAACGCATGTTGACCCACTTCGCAATACGCAGTATGGCATCTTTTGAGCGTCGTCTTTGCACTTTGATGCACGGGAGAAAGCTTCCTGTTTCTGGCTAATTGGCACAGTGTTCACCGTACACTACACCCAGACCCTGCTTAGTTTCTGTGCATAACGCTTATCAGTGCTAGCAGGCGCAATGAGTCTGCTATGGGCCGGGCATTCGTGGAACTGTAGACTGGCACAACGATATTCCAACCGCCGTATACTTCTGTGGTCAGAAGGCCTGGACAAACATACGAACTAAGCACCGTCTCTTAGGCGTTACTGCAGTAGCAGATCGGGTAGAGAGGACGGGAGGAGACCTGGGCAGAGAATCAGACATGGATCCAATTGAGTTTGGCTGCAAGGGCTATAAAGACCGGGATCGTACAAACAGCAAACGAACTTCTCCAGTAAAAAATATGCAAGACGAAGCATGGGCCTGTGGGAGGGTGCCACTCCTATGGTCAATTACGATTAGCTTAACTCATTAGGATGAATAGGACAGTTTCTTCAATGTAGCCCGCCTAATGAAAAGATAATGTGCTAAATACTGCTCCACAAATAGATTTGTGTAAGCAGCCATGCGTGGCGTAAGGTAATTACTTGTAAACAGATACAAGTAGGGAGATACGTTGCTAATTTTAACGGCCTGACTTTGCGGAAGGCAACTTAATACCTGTTATGCAGGGGGCAGCTGACTGATGATTTATGCAACCCTGTATTTGGAGAAAGATACCTTGTGAG